TTTTTTGCAATCTGTCTAATGGTGTGCTAAATGTGGGATTAACTATGTCGAGTCACAATGCTCTGTTCAATTTCCCCTTCGTTGAATAATGTTAGTTTAGCTTTCAAAGGAATTCACTTAACAAGTTTGATTTAACGGATATGCCTCGAAGAAACATTTTTAAAGCAAAAATGGAACAGTATTTAATTTGTAATTAAAATTGGTTATTTTCGAACCAATGAGATTCTGACCAATCAGTTTCGGACCACTGGGTTTTGGACCATTATTATAAACAAAGCTAAAGCAAGATTTGAGGGAGCTTTTTCGTATCAGTTTCGAATACCTGATTCAATTCAATTCCAGTCTGCCTATTAAATTACAGTGGTATTATGCCAGGACACGTAAATCATTTGGCCATTTTCCGCTCTTTAGGTTAATTGCCGGCTTGGGCCGTAAAACTGACCTTTGAAATGGAGATTAAACAGAAGTTCGACATTGAATAAGATAAACTGATATTTTATTCAGATTTCATTCCATTTAGAATTGGCATTTTCTCACTTTCTGTTCATAGAATCTAGGAAGGCATGCTTAGAGTAATGATAACGTCACCTAGCTGCTAAATTATCGCAGTTTCTTACTTTCATCATTTCTCACTTATTTCTAACAAATAGAAAATATCTGATACAAAACTGTTTCTAATAACAAACCACTTAATAATATACGACGATGATCTATAAAAAGCATTATTATTATCACGACTGAAATATGAACCAGATTGATTAAGCATGTCAGGAAATATTGAACATAGCCAGTTCAGATTTATTTATATTGATAGTGGCATCCAATGATTACGTTTTCCTTTGATAAATTAATTGAAACATCTTTTGGACACAAATTGTGATATCATTTAACCCAGTGATGTTGACTAATATCTTTGATGGTTAGAACTGCTCATCCCCAAACAACAAATATGATGTGATTAGACTATATCCCCAAGGTCTACCAACGATGCGTATGTCCAGATTATTGTTTTGTTTTGAAATATATATATCGCATATCGCATCTGACAGGGGATCATCCCGTTACTGATCTCTCTCGCGATTGATCTTGCCTCATTTAGGCGCCAGATTCAAACTTTCCCAAAGACGTCTCTTCAGTCTTCATGCACTATGATGGAATGGCCCTTCTTGCCTTGTTGTGACACTTCTTGCTCAATGAATTTGTAAAGCCTACTTTTTGATAGTGAGAAGAACATATGTGCATTAGGAACCAATTTGAAAGAACAGTAAATACTATATTCAGGGACGTAGCCAGCTTTCAGTCAAGGGGGGTTCGATCGCCCAAAAATTTCGAATTTCAGTCAGGTGGGGTGCGACTGTGGCATAAACAAGCCAAAAAATTAAGATTTATCTTGAATAAAATTGATGCAACTTTCTTCAAAATTGAGCTAGAAGCTTCAAATAAAAAGCATTTTAAAGCTCTTTTCCTCTTCTTTTCCTCTTCTATCGCGTATTTTCTTATTGGTTATGAGGGGGGGGGGGGGGTCGCACCCCCTGTCCCGCTGTCCCCTACCCAAAAAGTAGAAGATGTTCAGTGTTGTATCACTTGATCGGATCACTAAACAACAGATAAACAAACAACAAGGCAACCAAGCAAACGCACATGTAACTCCATAATATGGATGAACGGGACTGACCAGAACAATGTTGAGGCATTTGCATTGAAAGGTGTTTATTACTAATACCATGCCTGGAGGAACTTAAAGTACTATCATTATTGATTATTAATAAAGAATCCACAGGACAAGTTCTACCCCGGGAGTTCTACTGAGCAAAGAATTTGAATGATTTGAGACTTGAGTTTTAAAAATTTGCCTTTGTAAAAAATTAAGAGCTTCTCTATATCTAGAGGCGCTATGGAAGATGTAATAAATTCTATCCGTTCGTTGTAAGAAATGGACGTATTGACACATGTTTGCTTGCTATTTGGCTGAAGCAACAACATCGGAGGATCCCTTTCAGATTCTACCTTTCAAACAACTCAAATTTCATTGCTCGAAGGCTTTTATTTTGAAAAATCATGAATGTTTAGACACTTTTAATGGAATTTAAACCAGCAACACAAGTAAACTCTGTTCCTTCAATGTTTGATTATTTACAGTCATTTGTGGTCAACAGCGCTTGTAGAGACAGTAAGTCAGATTTGCATTGCTTCAGTCATTTCTTAAGAAACGTAAGGTCAAAACTTCTTCATAATACACCTTATTGAAATGTAGTGAATATATTGACTTTAAGAATCAATTTTAAAATATTTACTGGAGTCACATTTTAAAGTACTATTTTGAACATCAAAGGGCTTACCAGTACTTACCTCAAATACCTTGATCTGTTAATTAACATCGTGGCTATATCACATTGGAATTTGCATTTACAGATATGCCAAAAGCAACGCCAGCGAATAAAAATAAACAAACAAGGAAAACTGAAAATGAATTACAGATTTTGTCATCGACTGTTCTCAGATGCTCTTAAGATTTGCCACGAGGATAGTTCTTGAGAATAAAATTACGCGTAAGAAAAATAAAGATAATGCGATTCAATAGCTACGGTATCTTAAGTTCACGACAACGAGGTATCATGCTAATCTTCATATGAATCAATACATGGAACACAATGTATTTGTAATTAAAAGTCAACTACCGATTTCTTGCTGATGTTCATAGATGCTTACCAAGGTAACGTTAATTATGTTGATATAATATAAGATCAATGAGACATATCTAAGCAAGGTAACGTTATGATTAACTTTCCAACGATGCAAAACAACCAAAGTAACGTAATGAGTGACGTACCAACGAAGTAAAACAACCAAAGTATTGGAACAAGGTAACGCTATGAGTGACGTACCAACAGTACCAACGATGCAAAACGACACCAAAACATAAACAAGGTAACGTACTGAGTAACGTACAAACGATCGGGTAAAACAAACAAAACATAAACACGTTATGAATGACGTCAAAACGATGCAAAACAACCAAAACATAAGCAAGGTAACGTACTGAGTAACGTACAGACGATCGGGAAAAACAAACATAACATAAACACGTTATGAATGACGTCAAAACGATGCAAAACAACCAAAACATACAAGCAAGGTAACGTACTGAGTAACGTACAGACGATCGGGAAAAACAAACATAACATAAACACGTTATGAATGACGTCAATTAAACGATGCAAAACAACCAAAACATAAACAAGGTAACGCTATGAATGACGTCCCAACGATGCAAACAACCAAAACATACAAGCAAGGTAATGTTGTGATTAACGTCCCAACGGTGCAAAACAAACAAACCATATTCAAGGTTCGATAAAACATTAAAAAACCAACCAAGCTATACACAACCAAGCTAACGTAAAATGAACTTTGACCAAACGATATAATACATTAAACTAAGGTGACGTAAACATGAACTTAGATCCAAAAGAAATATAGAATAGAATACAATACAATTACAATACAATAACAAAGGTAAAACAAAACAAGAACTTTGACCCAGAGACGTAATTCAACAAATGTAACTTACATCATGGAGATCGATCAAGGACGCTACATAAGAACTGAAAAACATGATCTTTGACACAAGACGCTGCAATACCTAGATAATGTAAAACAAGAACTTACCATGACCAAGGGCCAAGGTAACGTAAACTTTATTATAAACTTAGACCAACCATGCAACACAAATTCCAAAGATCAATGATTCGCGACACAACATTGTACCCACCCAAGGTGAAGTAAGTGATGATAAGATGATGAGACGTCGCCCTATATTATATTATAAAAGGTCCAAGTGTCAAGGGGTTAGAATAACCCATACAAATAGAGTTCTTAATTTGCTTGATATATTACAGAGTCTAAATTGTTTCCATTTAATTGAGAGATATGGGCTGTTAGTTTAACATCATATAGCTATGTCTCACTGGTTTGACACAAGAATTAATTTCCTTTCGTTTATCTTAATGATTCGATAAGACCGTTTGATTCTTTTGCAGGATTAATCACAACGGACACAAAGAGTTCGACTCCAACATCAATGTCGCTTCGTATACAATGAAACAACTGCAATGAAGAGTGATGTGTAGAAACTACAATAAATCATATCGAATCAATAAATTGATTTGAAGACGCTTCTAAATGTATTGCGTAAGTGATTAGAGAAACTCAATGATGACGATATTAAAACAGAAGAAAGTGGGGACATACGAGACATACTCGTAATCATATGCGTATGCGTAAATGAATTTGTTCCGATCTTTGTTAATTTCCATATTTGATATTTCGATGCCAGTTAAGACTTTCATGAAGAAAAAAGTTGAGGAGAGCTAGGACATTATGAGATACAGACCAAAAGGGTCAGCTATCCGGGCAGATATCAAAGTGGACCATCCATCGTGTTAGACAAGAATTTTACTTTCCTTGCAGTAGTTTTGACAGATTCGACAGTTTCGAGACGTTCAAAGCAAAGAGGCCTGTCGACGCCAGATACACTGCAACCATTAGTACGAGTAGAAAAACCTGTACAACAGAATTTTTTTCATTATTCATATTTTTATCCATAACTCACGTCGAGTAGAGTATAGATATTACTAGCAAGTGGATTTAACATTCATAAGTTCTTGTGGTAGCTGATTAAGTTCTCAGATTCACTTGCAGGTTTTCTAGCTAGACAACAGAACCCGGTACATGCTATCGTTCAATTCATAATTCCATTACAAACGAATCAACATTTGCAGGTGAGCATTGTCTTCGCACGCGACGTAAGTAGGAGAAATTGTTGATATAAGGACATAGGCCAATGCAACGAACCTTCCCACCGTATGTCACACAACTGTCACATCATAATGTCATTGCGAGTCATGAAAAATGTTATTTGACAGGTCGCTATCGGGAGGATTTGATTACACTATCTTTATAATCTGGCGAGAACGTCATTGAGATTGAAACGAAGAATCTACAGACACGCAATGGAAATGTGACTTCGTTAAGCGGATAACATTATTTTTATAGATCACAGATGATACACTACTCAGGCATTTGGTTGCGCGCAAAATAAACAGTCATAGTACAATGTTATTTGCTGCAAAAGTTGAATACGTTTATAACAACCAAATCGACAAAAAGAAAGCTCACAAGTGATTGAACCACTGAGGGAGTAAGCTTTAGCCGGCGATTATCATTATTAGAATAATCTAAGTAAGTAACGTAAGGGTCTGAAACTATCCAGGGCACTGTGGAGTAAAAGACGAGAACATTTGGAATTTTGAATCACTTGGAACCAATGAAGTGTGAACGTAGTTCATTATTGAGCCATATATTATAGATCAGTGCATTTCTAAAGAAGATCCAAAAATATAACAGCGTGATTTAAGGATAGCAGGAATCGCTAATGCTGATAATACCTGCAATTAATGACGTAAAAGCGGCCGTAAAAGAAATCTATACTCTGATTGTAAAGAATATCGCTGTGGTGAGATAGCCCGGGGTGAGGAGAGATACGGGTTAAAAGGGCCTAACATCGATCGCTTTTGGAAAGCCAACAGAGACGTAAGATTCATCCTGAGATATTATATAGGAGGGTCGGATTAACTTGTTGGATTAAACAGTTAGCGATCACATGAAACGATGCGCTTAGTTGAAGAATATCTATTCGGCCGGTGCTCTTTACTCAAGTTTTCAACTCGGTGAGATTAAACAAATTTTAGCTAATGGTATTTAAAGCAAGACACTTAGCAGACAATCTATTATTATGAAGCTTAATGTGCGCAGAACAAGAATATGTTCAAGTTGAAATCTTCTTAAGATAAAGTGATGCAAGGCCACAGGGTAAGATAAAAGACGGTAATAAATAAGCATCAGTCTGAACACATTTACAATGAATGAAACATCATTCCAGTATGATAATATAAAACAACATAAAAATCTTACGTTCAACATTAACGTAAACGCTACTCATAAACCAACATGGACTTCTACAGAAAATGGTAAAATTGCGATTGCAGTTTGGAAGTATGCATCTCCATGTATATTTGCATTGGGGACTATAGGAAATCTTTTATCCATCGCAGTTCTTCTCAGAAAACGTATGAGGAAGTTTTCCACGAGTTTATTTCTGGTTTTGCTCGCACTATCGGATTTAGTGCACTTACATTCGGGACTATTACGTAGCGTTATATCCTATAGTACCAACGCTACGTACGTAAGCCACGTCGAGGTGACCCAGGCAGGGTGCAAGGTACATTATTTCTTCACGTACTTTTCCGTTCATTACAGCGCTTGGGTGTTGGTAGCCGTTTCAGTGGAAAGAACTATCGCAGTTTGGATGCCTTTTAGAGTGAAACAACTCTGTAGCCGTAAAAGTTCAGCCATAACATTGTTTATCGTCGGGATATTACTGACGGCGGCAAATCTGCATTTCTTTTGGACTGCTGGGATAATCCCAGCCCCCAGAAAGCGCAACTCCACGATCTGTAACTTATCGGGGAACCAATATAAAGTATTTTGGCGTCAGTACTGGCCATGGATTGACGCGACTCTTCGCTCATATCTACCATTCACCTTAATTGTTTTGAGTAACTCTCTGATTATTGCAAAAATATTACAGACAAGACGTCAACGTAAACTTTTAACTTCTAGAACATGCAACCATTCCAATGGGATAACGTCAATGACGGCAATGCTCATAGGCATCAGTATAGGTTATATCATAACAACCTCTCCAATTTCCGTATTCTTCGCCTATGTGAATTACATTATGTACCACCATGGCAAAATTCCTGATCAGTTTGTAGGATCTTTTCAGCTGGCGTACGCAGTGTGCATGATGCTACATTACTGCAATAACGCCGTCAATTTCCTCCTGTATTGTGTAACAGGGCCTCGCTTCCGCAAGGAGCTCATCGTCATGTTCTGTTGCCTGAGGACGAGCACCCTTCAGTACAAAGGCTACTACCTCAAAAAGACAAGTTACGCGTCAAACGTTGACGCTACGAAGACGACGCGCTACAGTCTAAGTAGCTCGCGTTCAAATGGCGGATCACGCACCAGCAGAGGCAGTGCTAAAAATAACAATTCGAGACAATCTCAATCTAGAAATCAAACGTATTTGTCACCCCCATCACCTCGGAACTCTCCCATGACAATCAGGTGACATAAATTTGTTTGGAAAATCCATTTTGATGCAGTATGCTTAGGATCACTGGAGGTCACACCAGTTCGCAAATACAATCAATCATTCGGTCCCATCTACAATCAATCATTATAGTCAAATATTTGATAATGATGTTTTTATTCAGAAGCGTTTCCAAATGCTGGAACTATCTATTACATTGGCTTTCTAGAGATTTGACATGAGTGTTTTCTTACAATGAAATGCAAGATTCAATAGTGTGGACATTGTCTCATATATATCAGTGAAATAGTATGATTCTATGCTGATTCTTATCTAAGATTGCCATCAATCCATTTACTGTTGTTGTCAATTTGTTCCAAGAGGGTTAGAACTGTAGCTGGCAATCAGACAAATTGAATGTTTGTAGTATCAATTTACGTATTTCGTATTCATCGCTCGTAGATGTCATCCCTTTGTTTCCTGTTCAACCCTCGTAGATGTCATCCCTTTGTTCTGTATTCAAACCTCATAGATGTCATATTTTTGTTTCGTATTAAGCCCTCGTTGATGACCCATGTTATCCCTTTGTTTCGTATTCAACGTTCCTTGATGTCATCCTTTTGTTTCGTATTCAACCCTCGTAGATGTCATCCTTTTGTTTTGTATTCAAATTTAGTAGATATTTCCCTTTATTCTGCATCCAACCAAAGTAAACGTCTTCCCCTTGTTCTGCATTCAACACTCATAGATGTCATAATTTTATTTTGTATTCAGCCTTCGTAGATGTCATCTTTGTTATCATTCAACCCCCTTAGATGTCATGTTTGTTTTGTATTTAGCCTCAAAGGTCTCTGTTTTGCATTGTCAATCGGACAATTCTTACTTCTATATCTAAAATTCAACCCTCTTATATCATGTATATGTAGATTTAATTTAATTGGGCAATGCAGTGCTAATGAGGGTCAGTATGGGGAGCAAGATAGAACACAGTGCATTGTGGTTACGTCGTATGACAATTTATTCAAGTCGTGATGTTACATGTACAATGTTTTAAATGCAGCAAAAATGAAAATAAAACCATTTTGAGGAGTACAATTGGTGACAACTTTGACTTATGTATAACACAAAATAATGGAAATATTCATATTAAAAGTATATTGACACAACAAATTATATTGGATCATTCATTCTAGTTCTTTGACACATGTTGTGATGTATGTATGTTGAATAAAAAGTATTTGATGAATGTTCTTTTGGGTGACCCAAATGATCCAAAGGATAATAACACTCGTCTATATATGGATAATACAAACAATAAAACAATAGGTCTAATGACCAAGTTAAAATGCATTGCGACTTGACAAAAAGTATGCTCTGCTGGACACTGGACAGGAAGACAAAGCTGACCAGCTATACTCCTTAAACCAAAAAACAGTTTTTTTTATTAAATCATCTGTGGGAAATAAAGATACATACATACATATACTGGCAATAGATGGCTCCATGCTATAGCATTGGAGCAAATGTCCATTGGAGGAGAAAGAGTAAAAAGCGAAGTCCGTGACCTATGATTTTCATATTTTTTAAATAACTTTTATTATTGAACTTTTAAATGTGCAAAAAATCAAAAAAAAAAATCCTGTCGTTCAATTTTGGATATATTAAAGCCTCTTTATACCCCATTCTCCCATTTCTTAACGGGGATTAAAATGTTTTCTAGCTCAAATAAAAAAAGAAGTCAATGACATCAACTTTTTTATTTGATTATAAAGCATAATAATGCATTGGTCAAATTCTTTATAAAGTTTATCGTAATGATATTTTTAGGTCTCATTACTTTAAAGAGAGAATCAGATCTAGCGAGGAGGCCAACAAAAAATTGTTTCAATTTTAGAATATTTCTGGCTCATATCATTCCTTGTCATGTCTATTTTCTAAAAATCCCAGAAGTGCACACTTTAATCAATTGGACATGTCGCTTGTAATTTTGTCACCCCTATAGATCTGATTCTGCCTTTAACATACGGTGGGTTTACGTCTGTAGAAAGTACAGACGTCATATTAAACCAGCGAACAACTGCATGTAGACACATGCAAACAGAATGACATATCCTATAAAGTATAGCTCGCTCTTAGATCTGTCGACGGGATATCGAGAGCTGGAGGATTAATTGGTAGATTCTTAAACTCTATTGTTTTAAATAAATAGCACTGCCATGGTGGATCTACGATTGGGAGTGCAATTTATAAGGAGGAAATCACCAGTGATGAGAGCGGGGGTGATTAATATGTGGCAATGTATGGGAATGAGCATGTACTACACGAAGAATCGATTACACTGCTTGCCATAGGCAGAGTAGTTTCTCGACTTCTAAAATTGTGATTCACACTACCCTACCACGTGACCACGTTTAAAAGGGAAACAGGGTACAGCTAAGTTGCAAATGGAGGACGTGGGTTTAATTCCATATTTCTGAACGTAAAATACATTTTACATTTATTTCTAGTGTTCTACCAGACATAGAATTGATTCATCAAGCAGTTTGTAGAATATTGTTGGCAAAAAACCACTATAGGCAAAGATAGATAATAGTGGGCGCAGTGAAGCAAAACTCAATGCAATACACGATACATTTCAGTAAATCTGTCAACGTACAGGGAGCATGTAAGTTTCCCTTCGAAAATGTTACATTGATATGTAACAAAACCCTGGTAAACTGTTATTTAAACTGCGTGTCATCGTGTTATATGTAGATACGTTTTCCAGTATGTTATTCAACTGTACTTTTGTGAATAAATTGTTTTTCTAAAATCTTAAGATGCAAAAAGTCGTCCCAGTAAATGTATCTTTACTTTGCCGTAAGGCATAACATATTGTGAAACATTTTTCCTCTTGTCACAAGGAGGATAATGTTTGTTTCGAGGTGTCTTGTGATGAGCGTTTCATGATTAAATGCAAAATCACTGGAGCAGATACCATCCAAAAACATCTGACATTCAACACGTCATATAAGACTACATCGATCTGGTTTTGGTTTTTTACAATAATAGAGAAATACGACGTCATATCACCTCTACAGCAAATCGTGAAGAACAAAATGTCGTGGCATGATGGTATTTTGAAAGAACTATTTTAAATGATCGGTTTTTGAGGACGGTAGTGAATTAGACCATTCGAGGGGTTATATAGAAAGATTCTTTACATGTAGTTCACGCAATTTTAATTATTCTGAATAGCGGATAGTCATCAATCCTGATAGCCGATAGTCATTTATCACTTACGTGTGATAAAATTACAATTTCGCTATTTTATTTAAATTTGATACCCTAGTAACACGTATAATCTAGCGTTCTTGTTAATTTAATGACTAAAATGCATATTCGACCTGAAAGCCCGTGTCTAAATCTACTAAATAATGTTTACTTTATTTGGATTAAATAACAATTGGTGACACCTCAAAGCATCAACAGGCGGCCTTTTAGCATTATTTTCACTGTTTGCAACGTAAATATACATGAGATCGGGACATAGTATGTCTGTATAATCAGCTTACTTTCTCGCTCCCTGTACTATTGAACAATTTACATTCCTTGTACCCTGTATTGATCAACTTTTGCAGTTGTGTACCGTGTACTATGACATATCAAATATTTTAAAATTGAAAACGATATTATTTACATTCTTTCTTCAACTATCATATAACTTGGAACATGGACTTCACTTTTGCACCACTGAAGTTCAGCGAATAGCAATATTGACTCACTCCGAGCACCAAACGTATTAACCTTTTCACTAACCCCCCTACCACACCAAACTCGTTCTTACCCGTTCTTGCCAGTCCTACGAAAACGTCGTAAAACGGGCTCAATCTGGCTGTGGTCGGGAAATATGTCTGAAATAATTAGCTTCTTCGTTCTTAAACAGTCTTCAATACGTCCTTCTCGTTCGCAGTTCGTTCAGGTCGCACCACGTCGGTGTGCAACGTAGTAGAACGCGTCCCTAAGTCTAGAAGGTCAACATGACCTGATTACAGAACGTAATGGTCGCCATCGAATTTTGAATCGATTCAAAATTCTAAAATCACATTCCCGTCTGAGAACGATCATAAAGTTCGTAAATAGACCTTAGAAAGTTGCAGCTACGTTCATTCCGTTCGCACACAGTTTTGAAGAACGCAGTGGCAACTTGTTTGGTGTGATAGCTATATTTTTGCTAACTCGTTCATAAGCAGTGTTAAATACGTTCTCAATCAGTTTAAACCCGTTTGCAATTAGTTCTACCTCGTTCTCAACACGTCCTCAGACAATTCAACTCGTTGTTAAAACGTCCCTAGTAGGATTGAAGTACGACAGTTCCGTTCGTAGTACGTCCAGCTCGTCGTTAGTACGTTGTCACTCGTTCTAATTGTAGAACGTGACGACTACGAGAACATTTTGAGCATTGTCTAAGTTCTAGAGGACCTACCCGTTCGAGTACGTTCGATGAAGTTTGTTAATAGATCCCAAACGGTTCTAGGTCCAGTCCGTTCGTACACAGTTGAAGCCCGTTTTTGAGAACGTAGTGAGAACTAGTTTGGTGTGATAGTAGGGTAAGCAGTCGATATACTCAAAAGCGACCTGATTGAAAGCCAAAAAATTCGCGCATGCGCTATCGAGGTAGGGTAGTGTGAATGTTATGGTCTCTAGATGTGAACATTGTCACTGGTTCTATCATAGCTTGGTTAAAACAATGTATATAATGGGTCAGTTTAGCAAGTGTGTATTGCACTTCAGTTTAGGTAATATGTCTACAACAGCTCTGTATCAAGTTCAGTTTAGGCATTGCATCTATAATAGTTCATTTTAGCCATTGTATCTCTTACAATTCGGGTTCGGTAATGTGTCAATTACAGCTCATTTAAGTTTATGAACAGTGATCATGAATTACAGTTCATTTTAGTTTACGCACAGTGTTCATGAATTACAGTTCATTTTAGTTTACGCACAGTGTTCATGAATTACAGTTCAATGTTGGCATTGTGTTTGTTACAATTCAGTTAAGGAACTGTGAATATATTACAGTTTACTTTAGGAACCGTGTCTATTACAGTTTAGTTCATGCATCGTGTTTATTACAGTTCAATTCAGGCACCGTGTCTATTACAGTTCAGTTCAGGCATCGTGTTTATTACGATTCAACTCAGACATCGTGTCTATTGCTTAAATTCTTTTCACACATTACAAAATAACTTCTACAAAATCACCCAAAATATATAAAATCACTAAAATGACATTTTTTCAATGAAACTTCTCACAATGGTCAAGTTGGCAAAGCATCAATTTCAATCTCCTTACCTTGACAACCATACAACAAATGCGCCATTGGTTATAACATTCTACTCATATGGTATAAAGATATTACCAATTGTGTCCATTTTAGATTTGATTGAAGAACTTGAATTAGAGGCAATTTTGAAATTACAATATATTAAAAGAGGCTCTGTTGCTTAGATGGGAGAATCAATTAGCTGCATTGTTCAGTTTATGACAAAATTGATGTTTAGTGTTACTTTCATGAACACCCATCCTGTAAAATAGCATTTGCAATCTAGTAGTTTGTATATAGATGAATTAGACAAGGCATTGTTGAGGAAAAATATCCAACAAGATTACTAGTTTGCTCATGAAATTAGGCATACTTTAACTTGAAACAATTTGTAACACTCAATTTTTGGGGTTTGGAGATCGAAGTAATAATGATGAAAAACAAGCAATTTTAAAATATTTATGTTTTACCAAAACTTTTAAAGATTTTTGTTAGCCTTTATTTTGTCTGTTTTATTCTCAAATAAATTCTATTGTGACATAATCATCATTTACCAATTTTAAAATTAAATATTACTTTAGAGAATGTGATTTCTTACTTTAGATTATATTTATATCGCGATTTATATGTATAATAATAATTGATGAAGACGAATAGAGATTATCCTCTATGAGGTTCAGGGTATTGGAATTATCCTGAGGCCAATATAATATATCTGGCCGAGGGTCGTAGGTCCCGAGGGAAGATATTTTCTATTGGCCAAAGGCCTTAGGTCCTGAGGGAAGATATATTATATTCGCCAAGGGATAATCCTAATAGCATGAACTGACTATAGGATGATCTGTTTATCCCATATCAATCTTTCTTATCTGGTTCACATTGCTCAATTGGCCAGAGTTAGAAAGAATTCAACCATATGAATGTATTCATGTCTAATTTTGTTTTCTTGGCCTTAGGAGGATTCTTCTGTTTTTTAAGTATTCCTCCACATATTCTCGAATCATTGATTATTAACATATGTATTAAGTATGCTACTTCCCTCATTGTTAATCATACACAAATGATGATTATGAGTTAGTGGGCAGGTGTAATATATCTGCCCTCTCAGGCCGGGACATTAGCTATATCTGCCCGCTGATGAAAATATAAGTATTTATAAACCTGCTATATGTATCCGAAACATGTCCAAGTATGGGACAAATGTATCTACTTTTTTTGATTTCATACACTAAACAGATTTGTTTAGGAATTATTTGAAGTATTTCAAAAACATATACCGTACCACTATTGAAGGAATCATTGAAAATACAGCATCTCAGAAACATGTGTAAATTATTTATCATGCAATTATTTAATAAATACTTATAGTACAATAACGTCATTTCAAAGGGCAATATAGTGAAATATTTCACTATTTTGCCCACAGACGTTATTACTATTATTACCACCATTAATGCCCAGGGCTGAAATAGCAAATTTGAAATAGAAAATCTTATGCACTGAACGATATCACTTTTCCCGGGAAACATAGCTGGGCGGATAATGTCATTATTGCCTGACTAAAGTCATTAACACCCGACACAATATTGCAAGGTGGTAATAATAGAAATTATACTGTACCTTCCAGAGAATAGCTTTTTTGTTAACTATGAGCCAATGATTGAATGGATGCATTTTATTATAACTGCAAAATGATGCTCTATGCAATTCAAACAAAAAATTAATTTTGCCATATTAGAATCAAGTATAATCTTTAATCCATTGGATAGATCATGCATTGCCTGATGTTGAGGTATTGATAAAAGAATCAGCAAGTGTCGCTGACAAAATAGATTTTAGTGTTATGTATTAGGCAAAGTATTAGGAAGGGTATAAATGGTCTCCAATCTTTCTAGTTTTGAGTATTACGTCTTCTTGCTTTGATTCAAATTATCCTCGGTCACTATTTGTAACCCCTCCCTCCTTCCCCATTTAGGCCATGGATATGAAGATGATTTAGAGGTTATGTGAAGGATACTAGGGAAGGGTTAATAGCCAGAGTTATATTAGTTCATTTAAGTTTAATCATAAATGTTATGCAATTCACACTAGCATCAAATAGCATACCAAAAGGATTGAACTGTTCATTACTTTTCAATTGCAGTAAACATGGTAAAATGGTTCTAAATATTCTAGGAACAAGTCAATGAATAAGTAAGACTTGACTCTTGACAGACTTAAAAGACCGAGGACCCTATAAGACTTAGACTAAAAGTTCATTTGACCATTGATGACCTATGATAGGGAAGGGTCAGGATAACACTTATATAAAATATTTAAAGTGTCTAATAATGATAATGAACATATTACAATGTTACACAACATTAGTAGATGCTAATTAAATGTCAATTATTGTTAGTGCAATTTGCATTTTTCATTTGATGCTGCAACAAGCGCACAAGTACCAAAAAGTGCCACGCCCACTTTTCCCTGAAAGCAGCTATGTGTGACTATATTTGATAAATATTATTGATTTATAGGATCATTATATCAACTTTTAAGTGTTTTAGTGCTAGTATAGACATAATATTACACATTTTGACAAAGTAGCAGCCATAAAATCCAAACAGATTTTGAAATATTTCACTTTGAGAACAAAGGGACACATTTGGGAGGGGGTCAAATTGAGAATATTTCGAGATATAAATACTGTTTCTATGGTAACCATATAAGTTAGAGATTGGAAATTTCTGGCACTTATTAACCATAACATGCCCTACCCAATATAAAACAATGAATATCTGACATGCATTAGTATTCTTTTTATTGGGTGGTATTAAAGTACCCCCATGGTTTTTTGGGGGTAGGGGTATAAATTGGTCTGAGGGCCGTCTGCCACCCCTATAGAAAGTCCAACTACCCAGAAAGTGTCCAGTATAATCATACAGATGGTTTGAAATAGGTTGGAATGTGTAACCTTTCATGTAAGGAAGGTTGCATTTCTAGAGCACTTCTACAGAATGGATTACAGTCTAATAGTTAGTGTATTCAATTGACGACATAAAATACTATCTATTTTCACAACTGGGATGAATGGATTATTTGTTATTAGATTTTCAAAAATTGAAATTTGTTATTTATTCCCCGACCCTTCGAAATCAAATAAAAGAATAAGACAAATTGGAATTGGAAATGAGGAAATGATGCCAATTTATATCCTCAGCCTTTGATGGACCAGAAGAATTGGTAGGGAGTGTGCCTATACCAAATAACTATGAACAAGTCCTTGAGGGAAAGAAGCCTTAAAAAACACGCGAGCTTGTTCCAAGGTTTAGATTTCAAAAGTGTCACGAAAAAGTCTATACTAAACAAGATATGAAAATGAAGGACGGTAGAATGAGGTCAGACTATGGAGATGAATTTTAATATAATGTATATCTCGAATAAGATAAATAGAATTTTAGAAGAAATAATTAAGAAAATTGAATCTTTCGAGTCTTCATTAATTTCAGGGGCGATTGTCCAATTGTGGATTCAGCAAATGATTGGTGAATTAAAGTTAGAAAATTGTCTCCTTCAGAACCACGTTTTGCTTCACTGGTGCCTATTCGTCTTGTTTCAGCGGTGTCTCACGCCCATATCTCTTGCAGTTAAACATGAGGAAATATATCTTGTAATCTGCTCCTAATGTCCCTGTAGGCTCCTGCTGAGCTTTGGATGGAGGCCATTCCAAAGAAGAATCACTCAAAGAAACAATATATCTTCTGATATTTAAATCAGAGCTATCGTAAATTCATTAATTATCTGTTCAAGTTTATTAACAGATTCGATATCGATGTCGATGTTGTCTTCCTATCTGATTAGATAAAAGGATCCATAAATTAGAAGTAATCTCTGCTGACCAGATCGATTCGCTCAATGATTTAAACAAAAATCAAATATTTCATCAACTACAGTAAAAATTTTCTAATCGCCAAAGTAAACGCCACTCGAGCCTACCAAAAGTGTTCGCAAGTGTTCACATTTCAATGTTATAGATGTAAAAGTCAGTGGAACTCATGAGTCTAGGCATTGACTGACTCGAGTCTTCTGGGAGTATGTTTTTATGTATACGCCATCTTTTTTATGACGCACAGTGCATATTTCTTTTTTTTCAACATTTACACATTGCCACATTCCTTGAACTCCATCTTGCTGGAAAACTTTTTAACAGTTTAAAGTACCTCTTCTGAAGTTCTTCTAAACTCTACTTTTACACTAGATTAACATTTTAGATATCATAATAGCTATGATTATATTTTGAAGGTTGGTATTCCTGATTCAAGCTGAAAACAGGCAAAATAGGATTTTACTGCATCAAATTAAATTCTATACTTGGGTAAATATATAAAAGTCTTGAATTTGAAAACAAACGTTTTCAATGATTTATGATAAACTTGTTAGAGTCTTAAGAGTGCTGAAAGTGCTAAGGGATGCTTCACAATCCAGGAATTATCTATACATTTATGCATCAGAGAAATAAATTATAATGTAGTATGCATCGTTTTTCCGCTTTTCTAAGTTGCACTTAGGTTATGATTTCTAATAAGTGTAGTCCTGAACATGACTACACTGACTACATGACTACCACAGCGGCTCCATCTCTAATGAGGTATAAAGATCAGAATGGAATATAGATGGCATCAACGTTGCTCATTAAACGCTCGCTTCATTGATCGGATATTGGGTCGATTAGTTTCTGCATTTTATTCAGTGAGTTGTAAAAGTATCTATAACTTTTACCATTAATGTACACAATATTACATTGAAAATGTTTTGGTTTTAAAACTGTTTTATTATCAAAGCACGTTACTGCATTACATACAAATAAATGCAAACTTGGAATGTGAATTTACTAAAATATCATTTTCTACATTGAGCATTTAAAAACATTTCCTGCAAATATATACGACGGAACATATTCATTGTGTATATTCATTCAATTAAGTATTAAAATGTACTGCATCTTATTATTTACATGTTGTTAATATATACAATGTTGATAAAATAAAAAGTGCATTGAAATGGCATTGTTGTTTAAAATATTGCAAATCACGTGCCACTACATGTTATTAAAATACTCCCATTCTGTAATCACTGGGCGCAGCTAGCTTTGCATTTTCCTTGTAAAATTAGGTGTAATTCTTACACAACTAAAATTCAGAGCAGTACTCAATGGACGGAATCTAAATGTCCTTCAACTCATCCTTTTCACTCGACTTTTTAAAGTCGTTATACCCGCCATTTTCCAGCAAACCATGTTCATAACTGGCTGGCTGTCTCTTTTTAAAGTTGTCCCACAAGGCCGCTATAATCTCAGACATAACGAACTCAGAAGTGTTCAAGGCCACGAGCCTCATTATGAGATAGCCGTCTGCGCAAAGATATTTATCCACAAACTTGTGATATAGTTTCTTATCGGCCATCGTATTTCCTCGGGCACTCAGCCTCTCCATCCACACCAGGTTTTTCTTGAAGAATTTCGTCCTGACCCCGTGGATGGATTTGAAAATCCACGAGAAGAAATTGAGGGAGGTGAGGATTAGAACAAAGATGTACCAGAACCAGAGGAAAATGTAGATTTTTTCGTTGAAGAGATTCACTGGGAGAACACACTGTAGTGTGTGTCTGTGGTTGTTACCTGGAAGAAACGATAGAACACATTGAGAGCGTGCATTTGGTTGTTGCCTGAAATAGAATACATTGCAGAGTGTCTTCGGTTGTTACCTGGAAAACTGATTGAATTACATTTTTTATTTTAAACAAAAAATTGAGAATATCACATATTGGTTACATTAGGAAATACTTCGATCAAACCAATACGTTTTTCAACTCCCTATGAGGCATTTGATGGTAGAACTACAAAACAGGCTATACTCACCACCTAAAGTTCTCATATAGAAACTGCATAGTGTGATTCTAGGGAAAACTGGCGATTCTTCCCAGTCTTTGCCGCTTGCCAGATTCAAGAAAATGCCCAGCCCGTACAAATGGTGCTTCATCCCAATGAACGAGTTTATCGCCAGTAGCTGTCCGATAACATTGCCTATGTACAATATTTTAACCAACATGTACAATACCCATATAAAGCTTCCAGTTCTTTTACCAACGCATATCATGCAACATTTCTCCGCTAAGAACCTCTGTAACCGAACGATCCTGCTTGCTTCTGCCGTCCGATCTCGATGTTTATCTAGGTAGTTATCAATGTATCGGACCAAGTGCTTAAGAGTTGTCTCCCGCTTTTCCAGGACTACTTCGCCTAACGTGCTCGCTGCTGTTATTACCTTGTTGATATCAATTCCCGTGCGACTGTTAAACGTATGCCACACTACACTGGGGCTGTAGAACAATAATGCCTGGACCATCAGGAATAAAGGGATCCACTGATAGTAGTTGACGTCAAACTCACGTGGTTCGCCTACTCGTGGAATATGCTCTTTCATGGGGTGGTAGTATGTGCCCTTGATCCAGCACCAATCATCCGTATAGTGCACCATCTGCCCCGTGAAGTGAGCAGGCGTCCAGCATGTTATTGGGTCACCTGGAAGATAAGGAAAATGTTATCATGAGAAGTCAGTACGCTGCTTGTATATATTTATGATGGTCTTAAAATTACAAAGTAGGGCACGGGTAATTATTTCTTTTACAAACGATGACATTCATTCGAGCCATCAAAAAGTTCTAAAAAACAAGGACAATGGGCTGTGAATCCCTACCATTACTTTTGAAAATGGATTCTACCAATACTATCCCACAAGGATGTCACGTACTTCTCACCTTGAGTTCTTCTGAAAAGATATCGCATCTTTTTAAATTGTTGAAAATTTGATTACAGTTCCGAACTTTCCCGAATGGCACAGTTCGTGATGGACCGAAGCAAAACGATGTTAGTCATTATCAAAAAATATGGCTGCCATTTTTTGTACTTTTGATTAACTTTAGTGTTACCTTAAATTCTTGTATATTAAAGCCCACTTAGTTAACAACACAATCGAATGAACTGTGGTTTATTTTAAAGAATATACAGTTGAAACAAAGAACGCATTCTTTTTCTATTTTTAATTTTTCCTTTGGCAAGCTATCCATAAACAGCGTGGCACAAAAGACGACGACTGAATGTCACATGCAGTGGACTATTTAAGCGGAACTAAGTACACCCTATTTACTCATTCAATACGAATAGTTGAAGAGTAAGCAGTGAGCACAAAATAATTTTTATACTGTAACCGGTCTGAAGACTGTATCCCCGAGTCTGAATTTTTTTTGGGAATTTGGAATAAAAATATTCAGACTGAATTCTCAAAATTCAGTCTATTGGATATAGACTAATCCGGTCTATTGCATGCAGTGGACTGAAACTGAACTAATTACATCCATGCACTTCTCAACACACCTACCTTGGTCAATACAAAAGAATTCAAATTTTCCTAAAATTGGAGCATGTGCCATTTACCATTCATACGAGTCAGTGTGGGGTTTAAGTTAGATAAATTATTTCAACTGGGTCTTAAGGGGAACTAATAGCCTCGGCCAAAGATCTCTGCTATTGTTCCCCCTAAAACCTACTCAAAGTTTATGCATTACTTAATGGCTGATAAAAGTGTCAAAAGTTTTTTAGGTTGATTAAAGCACAACTTTGATATTTCTACTGTAGAAATGCAACACTTACCGACATAATGTGAAGTGGTGACGATGAGAGTGAATATTGATAGAATAACTACTGTGTATCTGTAATTAAAACGGTCGACTGCATCTTGATCCTGTCTCAATTCTATCCTTCCTACGGAGCTAAAGAGTCCAACTAGTTTATCCATCGCAGTAGACTTTGAGAACTCAGCCAAATCTCTCTGTGTTCACGTCTTCGTGGAGTTCAAGTTATCCTCCAGGGTGTTCTTCTAAAGCTTTGGGTGACACGAGGGCCCAGATGCTTAAATATCAATTAATCATTATTGATCTATTTCTTTTTACTGATGAAAATTGAAAATATATTACTTTCAGCTGTCTTCGACCGTTATTCTTTCTCTCCGTTTCCCTTCTGGCTCTTTCTATTGTATGTGTTGTTATTTGGAGGACGGAAAATGGGTACCCAGAAAATGCAAATCCTTTGTCCTCAATGAAGTGATTCGAAATGTCAACATATGAGTAAACAAGCCTAATTGAACTCTCAGGTACATGCCTAGTTAGGTAATTAAAGAAAAAGTTGTTGATAGCTAATTCACAATTAAGGGCATGTGCATTTCCCATTGGATGTGCAGTATAAGCTACCATAGTATGTTTGGTCATTTGTAGCCAATAATCATTGTGTTTGCGTAAGGTATCTACTAAATTGCAATCAAGTACAACCGACAAGAAATTGAACACACAAATAGAACTGAAGGTGCCTTTGATATTGAAGACTCGTGTGTGTATGAGATTAGCGTTTCCGAACTTGTGAAGCACAGTAGCCTACACAAGGAGGCGATCGTTCAATGTAATATTTGATATCTTTATGATTCATCGGACCCTGTCACATTTAATGATAAGGGGCAGAATGCACGTACGCATGCTACCGCTACAATCGTACTCACCACTTTCAAGATATTAAATATGTGATCATCCAGGAAACCTCGGTCCCAATGCTTTACCCTGCCAAGCTCACCCCTACATGTAGCTCTCATACACTCCTCGAATCACTATATAATCACATTGTCACAATTGCATCACAATGGGGACAACACAATCGATGAATCGAATTCTTACTAGAGATCAGTAGAATCTCAAACATGGCCACCACTTGGACCTTGCTTGTTGCCTGAACCAAACCACCCGGCCGAATCAGACAATTCATCATATTTTATCAAAACTGACACAACATAACATAATGTCACCATGGCAATCATCGCTCAACATAGTGATGACGATATTGAACAAAGAATTATTTGGGGTAAGTTATGTAGATTCAGAAATGAATAGAAAATATGCCAGATTTATGCTATATTTCGCATTATGGAAAGATTAATCGATCAACTCTTCAAAAGTTGGACAGAAAGAAGGAATTGTGCACGCGTTGCAATTTGGTAAAGGTTGAAAACATGTTTTTGTTATTTATATACTATTTTCATGACATGACAAGTTATTTTTTTAAGAGATTTTTGTCAACTTTTCAAATATCCCGCCATTTTCAAATAAAAGTTTTATAATCATCAAATATTCCACTATACAGTGCAAAACACCATTGTCAAGCTTAAACAAAGGACATCCTATTCCAATAGGCTTAATAAAATGTCCCACTTATGTTTGGCTGCAAAACAGTTATAAACTTTTTTTACATATCATATTTTGTAAATATGGGTTAGACTCTAATAAAAGCCAAAATGGTTTAAACTTTATATGAGGCCTTTAATGAATTGACTTGATTGTCCATCCGTATGCATATCATTGCCAAATGTGTCCTCTCCCTTTGATACATGTTTGGCCTCTGTATTGTATTTTGATGCCTTTTGTAGTCAATTCCCATGACCTAGTCATTGGAGAAAGAACTATCACTCGGAAGTCGCACACATCGTGGAGAAACTGGCTCTGACAGTATCCTACTGCGGCAGTCTACACTGCAGAATATCATGCCGTCCTTCGGGACAATTTTCTGATTGAGCAGATCTTTATGACAGGAACTGCATTTGAAACATTCTGGTCTGGCGTGCCAATGATAGTCCTCCAGAGAAATACGTTGACAGTTTGGAGCAATCTTTGTATAACATGTTCGGCAGTTCTGAAAACAACATAAATGTATATAATATTTTGGGTGGAATTAATGCCGGACTTGCACCTGGTTTAGTCCGTCAGCAATAGTGGACCTAATCGTGCAAAACGCGGACCACAGGATTCTGATACGCATTGCATCTTTCTGTTTCACCTTAAACATGATCTTAGGACTGAGAAGAAATGAGACGTTATAGTTTATCATGATGGGACCACAGTGCAAAGTCGGACATGACAAGGACCGATTGAAGCACGACTGGTATTCAGCAAACGCTTTTGAAATCTCAACTACCAAATGCTAAACAGGAGTGATTTCCGGGAGCAAAGTGGAGTTATGTTTCTAATCTCTTGACAACTTACACTGCCGAAGTTGGATTGGTAGCATCGAATACAGTATGGTTTACGGTCGAATGGCATATAGTCTTTGCCAGCCAGTGGTCTGTCACATCGCCAGCAACAGAAGTGTTTAACATGCCAGTTCTGTCCCTCGGCTTGAGTATACTCCTTGGAAAATATCAACTGCAATGGAAAAACAATTTCGTAAATACACGGATTCTGCTTCCATTATGGGTAAGATATAATATTGGTGCTTGTAAAATAACATCAACAAGGCATTAACATGCAAAATGTCACCATCTGCCATCTGTTACAGACGCCAAACTCCGAGCGCCAATCGCCGAACTACGTCCACAAAAACCTGGAGAGTAGAGACTATAACAGTATGTGGTGGTGACATAAAAATGACTTGAAAGTACATCATGTCCGCATCAAAAATGTTTGGTTTGACAGACTGCATTTTGATTCATTCACCAACCGGGTAGACCTATGATTATATGAGCCAAATAGTATTAAAGTCAACGTTGACCAGCTATTGAATCACGCTTACGATCTTTAAAATCTTACTTCGTCACACGCTGAACAGCGGGGCCGAACTCTCTGGGCATAGTGACGTCCACAGTAGATGTTCCCGTCCTTGTGGAAGAATATGAGATCCGCCAGGATATGTTTGCACGTGGTACAGCAGAAGCAGGCCGGGTGCCAACACATGGATAAGTTAGTTTTATGCACAAACACACCAACCTCTCCCTTCACCAAATACTGCTGGCATTTTCTGCACACCTAAATGTAAAATACGAAGGTTGTTCAAAAAGTTAGTAAACTTGTACCTGAGTACAATTCACATGTTATACCGAAATTATCATCATTTCAACAATATAAAACGTAAATTAATGCAGATGACGTACACATAAGTTTAGGTACTGTTAATAACTCCATGGGAATTAAAAAGGGAGCTAAATATATTTCGTGATTGATCATACCCATTCGTTCGAAGTTGTAATTGCATTCACTTCACCTATACCAGCGACAATGGCTTTGACCTTATGGAGAAACTCTCCATGTTTCTTAAGTTCATATGCAGTTGGGCTATCACAGAGAGTGGGGTCAAGGTCGTACATGGGCAGTTGGCGCTGCAACTGCCTTCTACGCTCTGCATCGCCGTCTGATTTCTCAAAGGGACGTTTTTCTGGAGGGAGCATGCTCATATACGTTCTAACCTGCAAATACCGCATGCCAAGGCTAAATACTTTACACAACAATTACGAATTACTTGAGTCCGGCGTTGAGTATAAAAGGAGAATTATAATTAATAGGACCATATGATCCGATTGAGCTGAAAAGATAACCTATTCTAAAGTGACCTCACAAATACATTGACCTCGATTGTAATTTTTAAAGTCTTACTGTGGTCGAATCTGTGGTCATAGGGCTCCACGAATAGGTTGCGCCATCTAGCGTGAGTCTCTCGAGGCTTCTAACAAGGAGGGGGAATTGTGGCTGGTCAGCGAAGAGTTTATGCAACCTATAGGCCCCAGGGTCTTGTCCTTCCGAACTCTCATGCTGAACAAACTTTACATGTCGCGTCACATTGTTGTTTAGTTCACTCCTGAAGGTAAACGAGATTTCTGATTAAAACCAAAATAAAAACAAAATGTGTAAGGAAAATGGTCCAATGGTAGTTTGGAGTTATTTGGTTAAGAACCAATTAATTAATTGTCGATGATAAAGGCTGTTTTTATAATCAAAATACGGTAGCCCATAGCTAGCGAACTATAAATGCCAATTAAAACATGGAAATTGCAGAGTGGGTCATGATAATTCTGTTAAAAGAGTTCTAAAAATACTCTGGACATTTTTTTAACATAATGCTGGTATTGATGGTAAAGTTAATTGATTGATATAGTTTGCTGGGTTTTGCAAGTTGTTTATCCACATTCCCAAGCCCTCTTATGTTTGTTTAGTTTCTGGAATATGGCCAGTTTTCTCGTATCATCATTCTGATACTCATAGCATCTTTCTGTTTCACCTGAAACATCTCAGGGCTGAGAAGAAATGAGATGTCATGGTTTATCATGATGTCGTATCATCGTGATCTCCTGAACTGTGCCATAACTATAAAGGTAGTAAAAAGTGATCAGAATCGGATAGTCGTCATAACCATTACTGATCAAGAAAACAGGTGTGTCTTAGGCCTAGCCATGCAAGGTGCGCACAGTCATAATTAAGTATATTAACTCTGACCATAAATAAGCAAAGAGCGATCAATCAATCAACAACAAGCTTTTCTGAAATGTTAACCTAATATTCACTCCCCGGGCCACATTTTCTAAAGATATAAAAAATAAATATACTTTGTGTTTCATTGTGTACGATCCATGGTTTAATTCAGACTAGTTTTAAAAAATATAAGAGAGTGCAAAACCAATTTAGCTGAAAAGAATGGACAGCATGGACTTATATTTCGTGTGAAAGTAACACAATCCACTTTTGAAACTAAAATTCCTTTCGTCGACCAAGTCACACATAACAACAGCTCATTCAGATTTCTTCGTATACCACAGGTTAAAGTTTCAATGGTCCGTCCTTATCAGGTTCTTATGGTTCTCTATCAAAGAGGCGTTGATTGACATTGAGCGAACACCTCATAAAACGTGTATAAACAACTGTGATAATGGACGGATTACTGGTGAAATATGTCTTTTATTTGCTCTGTATACAACAAGGAATTTACACGTCCCATAACACCAGAACATGAAAGACATAAACTATAATTTATTTCATTTCAGAGCTGGTTTTATTGCTACAGAAAGCGGTTAGCGTGACTCGCAAATTGTAAAAAACTGTTGCACCCAGTTTTCAATTCTGACCTAGGGATTTTTTAGACTCCCACTCTCCCAAGTATTTCTTAGTAAAGTACACATGTAGTACTACACTTGCATTAAAAAGTCCAAGTTAGTTCCACATTACTACAGACACGGCCATAACGAGAACGCGTCGGACGCGAACTTTAACCATTTACATTTTATGTTTTCTACCATGACTCGACACGCTCGCTGGTATTCTTTTATTACCTTGTCCACAATGTTCTCTTTTTTATTCTCATTGATTCGAATAACCTTAAACCTGGAGAGAGATATTATCGGGCTCATCTTCATTGCTTTAATAATATAACAACATGGTAAAGTTAGCACGCAAAGCAGATGTACGTTAATGCTATTAAGGATGAATCTGACTTATGTCTATACTATACAACAGATGCGCCTTACAAAAATGTAAACAACTCAGGATATGTGGAAATATATTTTGATTAAGACAAACGACCATTAACCTTAGTTAATTAACCACCTCAGGAACCATGGAAGTTCACCTCAGTAACTGTGTCTTAAGACATTCATAAGTCCATGTATTGCGGCCCTAATTAGTAATTGTTCATCTTAATTTCGACCATTAAACAATGTCTTATTCATTACCTTGGGCTTAACGGAGACGATAACTGCACGTTCATCGGCGGACTTGAGAAATGGTTCGTGTTAGCTGTTGATTTTGTGTCAACGTTAAGGTTTGTCATTGTTTGAGGCTGATCACCGTTCCTTGCAATATTCGTTTGTTTCTCTTGCCTATTATTGCCGTAACAATCACCTTGATTATCTGGAGAGGCCTGGTAATCTTGGGTGAGATTCATCCTTCGAACTGTGACGTATCGTGTCTCACCATTGACAGTAAATTCCGTTGACCTTCTGCTATTAGTTTCCTTTGGCTGATATCGTTCCATTATTTCTGTATCTGTAGATGCGTTGTTTATACCAACGTTCACCTGGCCTGATTAGTGAGTTTGCACAACTTGGCTAAGCTTCAACATCTTTTAAATTGCTTAGATTGGTTTGTCAGTATAATATTAATGATAACACTACGGCAGAATGGTACTCATTAAATATCTGTATGAAATTCCTCCATTAATTGCGAGTATATCTACAGCTTGCTTCAATGCTCTTGTTTAAACCACTCGGCTCCAGCTCAACTCAACCTTCATTACATGCCTAGTCCGTTGGCGGCTTAGCTTCTGAAACTCAGCCTCGTAGTTTATATTATGTGTGTACAATAAGCCTAAAGAATCTGCCAGTTTAATACCATCTTTTTATAGTTAATACCTCGGTCAAGATGTCCTTATCAAGGGCATTGGGCGACGCATCTCCTCACATGAATCGAAAATAGTTTAAATGCTATGGTTAAAGGGACAAAGTGCGTAAATGAAGTCTCACTTTTGATCTTCATATTATTTCCAATGGATTAATAAGTACCCGATCTTTCATTTGACACCAAAAAAAGCTCAAACAGACCACATCAGAGTTGACACTTGATCATGACAAAATATTTTTGATCTATCAATTTATATATGTCAAGTTTTTAGCAATGCCATAGAAAGATGGCATTGTTGTTTGCATTAATTATCAATTCATTTTTGACAGGATTTTCAAGCATATGCCATCTTTTAATCCAAGAGTTATTTAAAACATACACTATTTGTGAAAAGTGGTAATTCCCTTTTTTCAATCTCTGAACTTCAAATGCTGTTTTCTATGCAAGTAATTTTTTTTTCACTTCAGTATTATCCCAAATTAAAGTTTTTATCATATTTGATTGACTGTGTGAGTGACATGTCTCAAACAATATTTTGTCCTTTTTCATTCAAAAATAGGCGCATTGCCTGTTTAAGATCGTGTGTATTTTAACCTTTACTAAAGGTTGCATTGTAGATGTTGCATTAGTTAGATGCCCGGTTAGAAGCATAAGTTGCAAAGTGTCGTGCTCGTTGACTCTAAAAGAGGTTGCAATGTGTTGTGTTGATTGAGGTGCAAAGGGTTGCAAGGTGTATTAATTGAGGTGTTAGGGGTCGCATGATGTTGCCTTTCTTGATAACGGTTTATGGGTTGCAAGGTCTTATATTTATTGGGGTGTAAGCCTAAGGGGTTGCAAGACCAAACACTGATTGAAATGTGTCAAAAGTTGCTGTCGCCAAGTATCCAAGAGTCAAGAGTCCATATTTATTGAATAATTCCATTTTCTTTTACTCAAATTGTGTATGACTACAGTACACTCAAAATTAATCTGCAATCTTGATATCATCCAAGATCTTTAGGTGACTGTATTAGAGATAACAAATCCAGAAATCAGTGAGATCCCCGGGGCAAGATCATCTTAATGTAAATATAGTTATGCTGGATAGTTGTTTTGAGATAAACAAATACATCCTTGCTGCAAGGGGTGGGCCAAAAAACCAATACCCAAGTTAAAGATGAATATCATATGATACAACGTTAAACCATGCAATGTATTGTATATCATGTTAAAGATATCATTTCCTAACAATATGACACAATCTGATTGAAAAACTGTTGCTTTCTTGTGGAGTTGGAGGCTAAAATTGTCATCAGGGGTGTCATGAGCGACCAAAAGATATTCACTGCAGATTTTCAAATTGTGAAAAATGGAGGGAAATTTGAACTTTGGCACTTCAACCGAAAGAGATACAGTTATACGTATAGCGCAAAATTAAAAAATGATACATAGATATTTTTTATAAATAGATATTAATTATAAATTGTGTATTACTCTTAAATAAATTTATGATGATTCAGTCAAGCTTATTGAGTGCAGCTGTGACAGTAATATGGAGGGCAATTTTGGAATTTGATTTTTTTTATTTTTGGTTGCTCACGGCACCTCTGGTGTTAATTTTAGTCTATCTATAACTCCACGAGAAAACAAAGGGTTTTCAATTGGATGGTGTCATTTTGTTAGAAAATGATATCTTTAAAATGATAGATAATACATGGCATGGTTTAACATCATATATCATATGAATCTTTCATCTTTGTTTTCTTGGCCCACCCTGTAGTTTTTATATTTCAATAGCATAAAAGAAGTTATTTGAAGAAGGAGTGTGACAAATAATTATATGAAATTTGGTAAGGAAAATATTTTCCTTATGACGTCTTACGGAGATTCAAGGCTCTCCTATCTACATGCCGATTCATTAAACATCAAAATGAAATTGGTCCCGATGTGCCGTGTTTTTCTCTGTCACTTGATAAACATTGATTTGCGCATTACTATATCATACACTTACCGTTTTCCCTTTCGTAGAATGCTTCCTCTCCTCGTCACACCATTTGCGGCGCTCATAATCCTTCCGCGTCAAGTTCTCAATGTCATTATTACGAGTGTCTTCGTAAAATTCAATAAGCGACACCTCCACCGAGATCCGATGTGCAGATACCGTAAATTATAATTGTTCCGGGGCAAATTACTTTGATGCTATGTTGTTTATCACCTTTACCGCGACACTTGTCTCAATCACAAATTTTTTACGCTAACTTGTATCTCGAGTACTCAATTATACACCTGTAATTTACCTGATACACCAATACTTTGGCCCGCAATGATGTTACTATTTTTAAAAGTATTTATGCTTTGACATACGTTGAATAATTGGATGGTTTCCAGACCTTAAAGACTAAGTTTGTAGTGGACTAGTGACCCTTGTAGGCCAAGGGGGAGAAACATCAGAAATTATAAAAACATTACACCAACGATGTATGTAAAATGGCGTAATAAGATTTTGTGCCCCACTCTACCCAACAGCGTGATGGATAAAACCGACATCAAAGCTCTAATCCGTGAAACTCTAAATAGTTACAAGGAAAACATTTATATTTGAGATTAACTTAAAGAATGCGCTGGGAGCATGTACAATAGTTTGCTAGTTACTGAGGAAATGTCCTGAATGCGTCTGTAATTCTAATATCAAAAATGTTGTTTTTTACTTTTTAACTCATTTTAAATGTTTTTAATTCATGACGATCTGTATTTCCTCCGATCATGATCATGTACTTTGGTTCATACTTTTTCTAAAACATGTAATTAAAGCTGGAGGCTTGTAGAGTTGAACTACGGAAAGTCATACTCTGAACAACTCTCAAACACAAAATCAGAGAAACTCGTAACTAACAACACTCTGACATATTCTTGTTAACTTGCCTTCTTTTCTTGAAATTTAGCAGCGGGAGACGTATGAAGTCAGCCTCAGTTAATATGATGTAATGATGGCAACCTTCCAAATATGTACAGGGTGTCCTGAAAATTGCACCGAGAGAAACATGGAATGATTCTGTGGAAGATGAAGTAATATTCCTGAAAGTTTCACAAGGTAGATTTAGAGAAATACTCGTAGCACCACACCTTATTTCCACGGCCTGCATCGATCGTATTGATGATCATTTAGAGCATGTCATCCAAGATGTAATGTCAAATTTCTCGGTAAATAATTTACAAGTTCTACAAGCTTTTTACTGCTAATTGGAAAATGAACTCTTCTCCTGTACAAGATGAATAGAAAGGGAAAAGAGTTATTTCCCAGTTTCATTTGGGTACATTTTAGGACACCCTGTATATGAAATGCAATTATTCCAATTTAGAGAAAACGAGCATTTTAGTTTACATGAGATTAACTGAGATCAGAAGTTTTTTAGCGAAACTCCACATTTGCAATCTTCACAATAAACGAATAGGGAACGTTTCTTGTAATTGATAAAATGTGACAATTTTTCCGAACATACTCTCAAGACGTTTTTATCTGTTCTTCCTTCTTTAAGCAAATAAAAAAGGCATTGCAAAAATGTCACGACCTGCCATTGTTACAAACGCCGAACTCCATGTCTCTGGACGGCCGAACAACGTCCACAAAAAGGTTGGAGACTATAACAATAGGTCATCACTTGTGGTTGTGACAAGAAAAAACACATATTTTTACAAAAATATTTATTTAGGATGTGACATTCAGTTTTACAATGATATTTGTATTCATGTATATTTAGATTTATCTTTTCCACTATTCTGCTGGTATATATGACCACGTTCACCTATGAATTCTGAGTCTGTCCTCCTCTTAGAAGGAGACGGTCTTACTATTTGCCATAACTGGATTATATTTTTCCCGAATGGAAACATAGACGATAGACAAACCAATATCATAGTAATGATAATGATAAAGCAACTTAGTTTTGTTTATAAAATAAACCAAGATACTAATTTAAGGATTAATAATAATTATAACTTCTTTATACAATTTCATTGTCCAGTTCTCTATGAAACAATAATGCACTGTGGTGACATCACTGTTTTACTAAAATGACATGCTCAATTATTATGAAACCATAACACACTAAGATAAAATAATATTTGACCATGTATGTTGAACCAATGCACTAAAATACTCTAAGCCGACTTACCGAGACATATTTGGGTTATTTGAATTTTCCATATAACCTACTAATACAATGATAAATTAACCACATGCACCATATATATAGGAACGATAAAAATACCAACGCGAACGGGTTACTGATACTTTTTATACTGCAGTGGCGGATCCAGGGGGGGACTCCCCCTAAGTTGGGCCTAGAAAAATTGGGCCCAAATAATTTATTGGGCCAAAAATGCCTTAAAGCCCCAAAAAGTGGGCCTTTTTGGTCATTACTGGGCCTTCTTAGGCCTTCTTTTTAAGTTTTTTTTCTCTGACCTGAAATTTGCCCCCCTCCCCTTGTTGGTTCCCAGATCCGCCCCTGTACTGTCACAATGTTGTTCTATATCAAGTTTTCTTTCACCTTACACACACGTTGCAATGTATTTACGTCACTGAATTCACCAATATTTGAATAGAAAACGTTCCTTGATTAAGGGGGATAAGGTTGCACTTGGTTTTTGGATGGCGGTCTTCTTAGACTGGTGTCAATCGTCTTTTTGACTCTTGGGTGTAAAGCCAATGCTGATACTGCAACGTCCTCACTTGGTTCTGAATTATGCGTGGATGCATATTTTGTTTTAGATGATGACCCCCATTCTTCTTTTATGATGTAAAAATATAAAGTCACTACCAGAGCTACCAGAAGTGCCACTCCTAATACTCCGATGACAACTTTCCATAAACTGAAAATGAAAATATTTTACTCATTAGTCATGAACTGATGACAATACAAAAATGGAAAATTTGTCACCTTTGAAGAAGAAATCATGACAAGCCAAAAGTCATGCAGTCAACTATATTAATGTTAAATGCATACATATTGTGTTTAATATAACATTGCATCGTGGTATACGTACTGGACTGAGTTACGCTGTATTGTGTGAGACTGAATTGTATCGTATATTGTATATTCATATTATATATTGGATTGGATTGTATTGGTCGTACTATATTACATTGTAATTTACATTGCATTCTTTTTACAAAAAATCCAAATGGATTGTGTATATTGCATATATAATGAATGTATTGCGCCACATATTGTTTGATAATTTTTCGTTTTGTGATACGGTATCATATCATTCTTTTATATCATATAAACGATTTGTAACCGTAATCTTTACTGGTTTTGAATCCATATGACAGCAGACGATGGACCCTCTACTCTTTCCGGGGCGACCTCTGTAATGCCACATGAAGTTATAGCGCTTAGGTTAGATTTATCAAAGTAGTCCCGACAGCAATATTTTCTATGTGGAATACCACAGCAGTAATGCGGCTTGCAGTCAAACCCCTCCACCAATTGCCCTGTTGTATTACAGTAAGATGTGCAATATTCAGCAGTACCTGAAAGTCAGTAAATCGTGACGTCATGTTTGAAACAATAGAGTTTGAGATGCATTGGCATGGGACTCCGATCTTATCTTGCCGTTGAAGATTTACGTAATCATGTATGACTATGAATTTGTTTATGTCAGAATGATATAACAAAATCGAACATCACCTCAAAATTTCGTCTGAATCTGAATCATATTCTAATATTGAACTTGGAAGAATATTGCAAGACTTACTCAATTGTATAAACATCAGCATTAAACAAAAGATGAATATCAGCGGGACCGTCCATTCCACCGTATTCCCCATTGTCGTTTTACTCATTGTCCTTCTTAATGTCCTTCTTTATTTGTAGACACGAAATAGGACCATATATCTTATTGGAATCAACATTTTCGGCCATCAAGCCATTGATACATGTTGTTTTAGATCAATTTTTTACTTCCTTACTGCAGTGGCCATTTTACTCAACATCGTTGCTATGTCAACTATCTCTGTATTCGAGTGAATATCAATTAGACAAGTTAAACAGTAACCCGAGCTATTGTAGAATAAGTGAATAAGTTAATGATAAAACAATAGACCAGCCGTAGATCTATAGTACATGCCTTTAGGGTAAGTTAATACCAGATGTAGCCAAGGCAATTCATTTTAGTTCTATGATATCAAACCAAACGTCTCTTCTAAAATATTAACTTTATCGAATAACTCTTGTTGTTTCCCTAGAAAGTGTTTTTTACATTGCTTTATTGCAAAACATGATTATGATTAGAGGTATCTCCCATTTGGACTCCGAAGGCTAGAGGCATCGATCTTGTGCAGTTTTTTGCTTTAATATCGACCCAGTTTGCATCATCTCTCCTGTGAGAACATTCTCCACAAAATGTCTTACCGTAACTTTAGCAAGCAAAATTGCAAAAATGACGATGCTTATCTTATTATCAAAAAAAACAATACCAAAATATAAGATTTAAGTAGAAAGAAGATGTATTGACGAACTCTGCTTTGGGAATTTACGTAAACGTTAAATATGTTTTCGAAAATTTTATAGATGTTGAGTCTGAGTTTACAGAAGTCATACCCATGACTTGGTCGTCATTTAAAGTCCAAGTCAAAAATGAATGCCATGAAAGTCTATGCAATCCTTGAGGTAGATTAAAAAATGATGAACATGTTAACCATGTGCATTTTGAATAGCAATACACATACAAATCAAATGTTTACTATCGTATCGTTACTACTAGTCTGGCAACCCAGGGTGTTGGGTAGCGTGGTCCTGGGTTACCCAGCTATCAAGTATTTGGATTTTTAATGGTCTAGCTTGGTAATAGATTGTAAAATATATGGGTATGGGGGACTTTTTAAACACTGATCTATATCCACATTTACTTTACACAATCATTCAACACAACAGAGAATGTAATGGGAAATTATATAAAATGAATATAATTCAACTCTATTTCAAGATATATACATGTGCTTGATTAAACAATTCTACATAGATTTACTGTCAGTTATACAATACAACAAAAAGTAACTTTCTTTTCAGTCAAATACACTCATGAAATTCAGTTTATCCAGGAAATTCAATGCAAACTATAACGTAACTTGATAACCGTAATTCTGCCTGCCAGTTTTCCTCACTTGGTACAATGACCTGTATAATAGTTCAATACAGGCAAAGGGGGGGGGGGGTTGTATTGTCATCATAAAAACAATAAAAGATAAATTCTTAGAAGGGTTCTGTATGGGCTAAAATAGCCAGATACGGCTATTCACGGCGATCGAATATTTCAAAGTTCATCCCTCTTACTGCCATATTTTTGTCGATTATCCTGAATACTCTGCATGAAGTCCTTCCAAAATTGGAACTTTTCCTTGCGAAATAGTTTACCAACAGTTGGCTGTTCTTTGAGTATAGCATACTCTTCATTGTCCAGACTGTATTTTGGCCAGTGTGACAAGTCGTCACTGTTAGGGTCACTGAAATGTTATATGAACTGTAAAATTACACTCCCTTACATACGTTTGGTAGCCGGACCTAGGAGGTCGTCTCAAAATCTAGAAGAACATATCAAGTTTGCTTGTTTGTCGATTACAAAAATGATCAAACTTATTATTTTCCAAACTATTGCAATTAAGGAATAAAATTAAGATTCAAACATTGACATACCTTGTAATGCTATTCAATGAAAATCTAAAATTCCGGGTGCCAAACTTATGGAGGGTTGCGTATTTATGTGTGGGATTTAGGTTACATTTGAGTTGAAAATTAACAGCAATAGATTCAAGTTTGGGATAACAATCTTGCTTTAAAATGAAATAACCGGTGAAAATAATGAATTTCACGTGTATTTCAAGTTGTTTATGGTGAACCAAATTCATATTAGAGCCGCTGACTTTTACGCGCACAAAATTGAGGATGTAAAATCTTACCCATATGTTGCAAAGTTGACCCAATATTTCATCATTTGACGAGCAAATATTGTCTCTTTTTCCGAATACGTGACTTCTAGCTGTTTAAACCATGTGTCTAGCTCCATAAAGCCAAAGCCAAACGTAAAGAAAATGTCATCGGTGTGTGTAGAAACACGTCTCGACCTATGGGCATCCATATACTCAGGAATGTGGGAAAATATGTACAGAAATGCTTTTCCACCGCGTTCTGGAAATCAATGTGGATACGTGTTACTTCTGTGACATTGTACAGAGTGACACATACAACTGTAATACTTAAACTTTCGAAAAACTTTCGATTATGATCAAATCTTCCCAAATTATCTTGTGCGGTGTCTTAATGCGTGAAACAATGTGATACATATAATAGTTATACAACCTTCAAAAATATTTTCTGAATGTGAGTTATCCATAATTTTAGTCATTATAAAGATTTTTATTCATATCATACCTACTACAGTATTTGTCAAATTTAGAACAGGAAATTCCATGGTGAAGTCAGTTGTAATCTCGAGGGCTTTTGCATTGTAGGTTTTCTCATCAATCTCAGATATATCATTGTCCAAGTAGAAATTTGCAATCTTATTCAAATTCTCTAAACTCACTGTATCCTGTTGACAATACGCTCCATTTAGAAACTTTATTTCTTCAAGAAACGTTTCGTAGTTATATTTTCCATCATGAGACCAAAGTGAAAGAGAAATATGTGTTTCGTGTTCTGTAGTTCCAATGAGTATCACAGTGTCACTGAAATCCGCTTCATCGTAAAGATATTTTGGATGTTTGGGGAAGAACTCTCCATCAACTGAGACCCAATCAAATTTCATGAGAGGACCTAATGTAGCAATGGCTTTCTCAATGTCGTCAACAGGTGTCTGCCGCACACATTCTATTAGGTCATTTCTAGTACCATTGGTGCATTCTACAACATCATGTCAGCAATTCAGTTGCAAAACTTGTCCCTATTGCGGTATACTATCACACAATCTGTGGACGAATGACAAATTTGGCAGTTTTCATATAACTTTCAGATATCCAAATTCTTAATTTTTCAGAAAATGAAACTTGGATTGAAAAAAGTTGCGTGTTATTTCTTAGATGTTTACAACACCTTACCACTCCCATCCAAGTCTTACAAAAAATCAAATCACTTTTTTTTTGTTTTGGACAGACCCAGTCCATTAGCAATATAATTTTGGATGGTATGGATCTCTTGTTATAAAAAAATATTGAAAAATAGTAAGTTTTAGGCCGATATAGACAGCAGTGGTTGAACTTTATTGCCATGCCATCTTTATTTTAAAATTGTTTCTATTACCCTTCAAAATACCTTCTTCTGCAATAGACTATAGTCATTTGCTAATAGTTACCTAAAGATTCTGCTATTTCATTGAAATTCTCTGCTGGGTTTTCGTTAGTAACTTTATCAGAGAGAATGGACCCACTCTGTAGGATGGCATACTTGAACAGATCTTTGCTCATTGGTGACACGAGATGTGAAGCTACACTCCATGAACCTATAAACAGAAATCTCAAGGATGTAAATAAACCCTATAGACCTTTACTTCTGTATCTGAGATTTTTTTTCTATAAGGGCTACGGACTCCGTTGTCTGTCAAAACTCCGATAGTCCAACTAATCAGGGCAGCCCCCGTCTAAAATTCCCTAAGTAAGTACTGACTTTGATAAGGATATTGACCTCTGTTACCAAGGTAATCATAAATCTAAAATGTTTAGTACATGTTACAATGTAATAGCATTGAGCCTAAGGAGCTATATCAAAATTTTAGTCGCTACGAGTGTGATAGGTTATACAACTAATGCAAGACGATTTAAGTTTATAGAAAAGGATTGGACGGTATCGATATGGTGAACTGAATTCAACAATATTTTTCTCTGAACCAATTATTGAAAACATTCTGCAAAACACGGTATTTTGAGAAATTTTGACTGATTGACAACAATCAAATGCGAAAATTATTCATAAATATTTCATATAACATTTTTTGTTTTTTAGTGCAATTGTTTTTTTGTTCTTTTTACCAATTCTTGAGAATGAAATAAAATATCTTTCCGAAGCTTGTTGGAACAAAATAGCATTTACAACATTTTCTAAGACCTCTGAATATTACAGTTATACAAAGGACATTTTGGTTGGTTCTACAAGTATTCAAAAAATCAAAGCGAAAGCCCCCAAAATAGATAAATTAAGATGAACCTTTTATTTCATTAACAAGATACTTTTTTTTAAATCAACCAAACTTTCCTTCGTACAATTACAATATCGAGAGACCTAAACACGTTGTGTTTATGTCGTTTTGTTCCAATGATCTGAGGTTCGGATAGATGTTTCATTTCATTCCGAACATATGATACAAAGAACAAAAGAACTGACTGATGTGTTTTCTAAAACAGAATAGAGAAAAGTATACCGATATATATATTTATTTCAAACAAGTGCGTGATACAGGGGTTGCCATTTTAGTAAAGGGTGTAAATACGTTTCTGTGCTTGATACAGGGTATATTTAATGGAAAAGGTTAAATTATGATGTTGAATTATTGGTGTCTATCATATAGTTAAGAACTCCCATCTATATATGAATATAAAGTTTAAATAACTAACGTGAACAAAAGATTAATGAGATTCTGATTGTTAGGTTCTGAGAATGCTGCTGCCATCTTTGAATAAACTCTAAATTATCAATGATATAATTATAATCTATTGTGATAACGAACACCTCCCAATCTGAATGTTTTTAACTGCACGGTGGCATTTGGATTAGTCAGGTTTTACTGTATGAGTAATAGTAATACTGAAATTCAAAAAAATCTGAAGGCCTAGTCAATCTATTTTTGGAAATATTCTCAGCTATTTGAAATGAAGATCAACTTTGTAAGAAGTCTTTATAATTATTTTTTTAATTTATACAATAACATTATACTCAACTTTAGTTCAAATTCCAATGCTCTGGCCTTGGCTAATCAAAACAGTTCATTGCAATTGTTTCATCAATTATTATATTATTATATTAATATATCATAATTATTTCACATGCAAATACTGTATTGCCACTAATATTTGATGCTGTTATCTTTCACAATTTTGCAATTTTGAAATTTTGCGGATATCAATTTTCGCTAATTATAATTTTTTTTATAATTTTGTATCTATTTCTTTCACCATCATATCATTTCTCAAAAAAAATTTCCAGCTTATTTGATTAAATGTTTTTAAAACCAAGAAATATGAATGAAACAGTACCTTCTTACCTTTAATTATTGCTATACCATGTACTTAAAGCCTTTACATGACACCTATCAGCTATCACCTGCTTCAAAAGCATAGGTGAAACTAAACTATTGAAATCAAGTGCTCACTTTAAATTTTTTTTATATTTTCTGTTTGGGAAAATCTGTTAGTTATCAGCTGCATTTTTGTCAGTCAAGATTTCTCTTCATCAAACCAAATCAAATCCAAGGAATGTTTAGTCAAATATCCAGTTGTTCAGGAATCGAACTCAATTCAAAGAATGATTAGTTTCATAGTGTAAACATATACAACTTTGAACAATATTGGTATCAGCCATTATGTTACATTAAAAAAAAACAGAATGTAAAAGACTTTCATGTAAGCAGGAAATTTCTTGAAAGAATACTAAAGGTTTCGCAACAGAATTTAGACGGTCATATGTTGAATTGCAGAAATTTTCTGAAAATGTAAGGTGTGTATGTTAGGCCAATGCATTATCTAAAGGAAAAGTACTCATACAGATGATAAAAAAAATTGGAGATTGAGACAGGGAAGGTGCAAAGACCCCATCAACATTTTTTTTCAAAAATGTTTTCCTGATTTTCAGTTCCTTCCATTTTTTTTATAATGTTTTCACATTAATATGTTGCATTTGTAGACAAAGTTAACATACTAAAGAGAAAATATTTTCCTTTTAAGAGTTTATTTGTGTCTCCAAATGCAACATACTGATGCATAAAACATTCATAAAAATTGAGTAGAAGGGGAAATTTTAAATTCAACGAACATATAGGCCCACTGAGCATTTATTTTGCACAGGGCCTTTATTAGAAAGAACTCAAAATAAATGCCATTGGCTTTTATTAAGACTAAGAGGGAAATTGAAAACATTTTTCCAAGGGGACAGGCATTTATTAAGAGGGAAAATAGCTTTCCCAAGCCAGTGGGTGTTTATTTCGAGGCGTATTATCAATCGAAGAGTTGACACATGGCCTTCATATACTCATGCAATAGTATCTATCATCTCTGATTGCACACTTCTGTTTTACCTTTCAAGCATTCGATTTGGATTTTGGAATGTCATAAAGCTATGCGGTCAAAAGTAATCTTAATACTTTTTAGTGAAAATGCATTTATATTTTTAAAATGCAGAATCTTGCGAATGCAAAATCCTCGAAATCCGATCACCTCCACATCTGAATGTTTTTTTTAACTGGTCATGGTGTTTTAACTGGTCATGGTGGCATTTGGATTAGACAGATATTACTGTATAAGTATTAGACAGATATTACTGTATAAGTATAATAGTATTACTGGAATTCCAAAAAATCATAACGCCTACAATGCTAGTAATATTAAGTGAAAATGCATTAATATTTTTTCAAAATCAAGAATCTTTCGGATGCAAAAACCTCGAAATCAGACGTTTAAATCTGAATGTTTTTAATTTGTAGCGGTGGCATTTGGATAAGACAGGTTTTACTGTATAAGTATAATAGACATTAATAGTATTACTGGAATTCCAAAAAATCATAAGGTCTATAGCAACAATCATGTGAACTTCAGGTCAAAATTCCAATGCTCCCTTGGCCAATCAAATCAGTTCATTGCATTTGTTTCATCAATGCTCTCAATATCATAATTATTCCACATGCAAATACTGTACTACCGGTTAATTTGCGAGTTTAAATTTCATGAATTTTGAGAAATACCAATTTTGTGGCCACTAAATTTTGCGGATATCAAAGGTTTAACTTCCATTATTCTCTGAATCCTCAAAATTAATTTATCTTATCTACAGTAATTACACCTACCCAATATCATATACTTTGGATAAGATTTACAATCTCTAGATCTTAGTCAATGGCATGTTGCACCTCAGCCTTTAATTGGCGATATTCGCGACTATTAATTTTCGTGATTTTTACACAATCGCGAAAAGCACGAAACTAAATTGCACGCGAAAAATATCGGGAGTACAGTACATTGAAACCATACACTCTTATATTTCATAAGAATTTGCAATCAAGCCTAACAAATCTATTGGCAAAATATTAGAAGGCCAGCAAATGTACACATGCTAAAGTGATGAAACTTTAATGAATTTTAATTTTGCCTATACTGAGATGTGTTAAACTCTATTTGGGTTAGATTTATTCGGCTACACCCCAAGGAGGATTGGCTCCCAGAGTGCACCACCGATATTCTGTCCCATATATGGTAGCGTGACCTTTGACCTTGTTGACACGTGACAGGTTTGAAACCATTTTGAAACCTGTGAGGTCAAAGGTCACCGCTACCATATATGGGACAGAATATCGGTGGTGCATTCTGGGAGCCAATCCTCCTTGGCTACACCCTCTACTTACAGCCTTAACATGCCCCCTATCGGCTATCACCCGCTTCAAAATCATAACAGGTTCCTTTATATCTTCCTTTATCTTCTGTTTAAGAAAAGCTGTTAGCTATCAGCTGTTGTCAATCAAGATTTCTCTTCATCTGTGAATTACCCAGCGAGAAACCAAAATGGCAATTTTGATGGAAAGACACAAAGTACCAGTCAAAATCTCTGAAGATTTCCGGGCAAACAATGGCAGCTCTCCCAGTTAGGTTTTAGTAGAGGCTGACGGTAATTCCGGTTATACGGTTTCGGTACGGAATTGAGCATTTACCGGTATTGAAATTATTAACCGGTTAACCGACAATAATCCCCGGGGAAATAAAAGACACGTCGTTTTTTTAATTATTTCATTTAATTACAGCTTTCACGATGTGTACATTTACATACACATTTAGATGTCCATGTTTGGCAGTTCAGGTGTGATTTCCATGTTGGCAGTTCAGTTGTGATGTCCATGTTTGGCAATTCGGGTGTAGTAGCTTCATGTCAACGTCAGATCCAGAAACTGAATTATGTTTGTAATAGTCATTTACGAACAACAAGGCATTGACAACCTCAGGTTGAAGTCGTGCCCGTTTGGAAGTGATGGTGTTGCCAGTGGCACTGAAATGCCGCTCACTTGACACGGATGACGCAGGAATAGCATGATATGTTTCAGCCAAACTCGCCACACCAGGATATTTTCCTCCGTTTACTTTCCAGAACTCAAGACAGTTAATAAAATCTAATTTACCTACCCCACCCCATGTATAGTGCCCGTCGCTTGCTATTGGTACAGTTGAGAAATGGTTTGAAATGTGTAATACATTTAATTTAAAACTAAAAATACATTTTGATTCGTAAGATAGTTACATACTATTTCGTGAAGTTCATCAGTATAGGTTCAAATCGGTCTTGCACTATGTATGCATATAAACTTGAGAAGCTACGGAGAGAGTTAGGAACAAAGTGGGGGTGGCAGCGCATTGGCATTTTATCTTACATATTTTTACCGGTATTTCGGTAACGGTACGGTTATTAGCGTGACGGTTACCGGTACTGGTTTTCAATACCGTTGCGACCTCTAGGTTTTAGACTGTCTTCTCATATTTTGTCAATTTTATTCAATTTCAAGTATTGTTTAGAGTTGTGCGTTCAACATATTCGAGAAGTCAATAGCTATAATAAATCTGCAGATTTTGCTCGCATTTATGTAAGCTTTTCTCTTTTGACGGATACTTTTTGTCTTTCCTTGAAATCATGACAGGTGTAACTGATCTACTGAAATCAACTTCAAGTGCTTACTACTATCTCCCAATGTGAGCTACATCAGTGCTTTTTGTTGAGAAAATATGTAAGTTATTAGCCGCTTTTTTGCCGATCAGGATTTAAATTCTCTTTATCTGTCATGTACCTAGCAATATTCAGAGATTTTGACTTGTACGTCATGTCTTTCCGTCAAAACTTCCATTTTTGGTTTCTTGGTAAAGAGTAGCTTCTCAATGTATAATGAGAATTTGCTGTTCGGCACAGAAGCACCTTTTAATTTTTTTCGATTTTCGCAATTTTGAAGCGGTTGACAGGGGGCTCTAAAGGCTGTTCTAACATATCAGTCACAGCCTCTGAAAGAGCTAGATCTAAGGCTCTAGCTTTAGGCTAGTCTAAGTCCTATAGATCTAGTAGTCTAGGCCTAGAGTCATAGCCCAGGCATAGGCCCGTAAAAATGTAAAGAAATAAAGCTTACAGCATGTTCTATTTAAGTGAATTTGACTCAATGTTATACATGTTCCGGGCCTATGCCTAGTATAGTCCCGCAGGACGAAGAAGATAGAATGTAAAAATCAAATTGAAAATCAAAATAATCGAACGAAAAAAATTGAAAAAGTTGAAAATTCGATTTCGATTCAATTTGATTTTCTGCCATTATAAATGAAATACTGTACTTACCAACATGTTTCTCGGATATATATGTTGTTCTTACTTTATCTTCGCCGAAGATCGATGTTTATTTATATATAACAATCGAATAATCGACATAATTCAAACTCATCACTACGACACAAAAATATATCACTTTCGAAACCATGTAAACTGCTAAGATGACGTCATTTATATCCGGGATTGCTTTGCAAACTCCACACAACAGACTGTCCCAGCTTTTCTCCTGCTTTCTCCCGATGCAATTCATACATTACTCGGAGATTACTGTCAAACGTTCCAAGTTTTACAATTTTAGCATGTTTATTACGATCTAATTCCTGCCAGTATCAATGAATAAATCTATTGACCAACAGATTGGAAATATGTATTCCAGCGATACCCTCATTTTGACGAAAGAATGGTACAAATATGTCCACTATTTATCGAGATATCGTGTAGAAAAATTGAAGAAAGACATCGCTTAAGAAATTTATATTTCTAGACTGAACTGTTCACGCTCGCAAGTGGCATCTCCATCTCCATATATGGGCAAAAAGGTGGAGTTAACAATAAGCAATGCAGGGATTGACACGATTGACACGAAGAAGTCTCGATGAATCTCGCTTAAACTCCACCCCTTCTTTGTGAAAAATCACGTGAATTCCGGCTTTTGCTGGGACATATCCGGGCATCTCGGCTTCGAACCCAATCAGAAGTTTCAATTTTGACTGGCGCCGCATACATTATCTCAAGTCTCACCCAATATTTTTATGTATACGTTAATTATATTGCTACCATTCAAAAGATGACCATTAAATTGTCGATGTGTAAAATTTCCAGAATCTTTTGATGACTTTTAAGAGAAACATGCGTTCTAAAAGTTCACCATATCGATACCCATCCTTTGCCTGTTTACGAGGACGAGTGAAAGAATTGTTTGCGGATCGTGTCTGTGCCATAATTATAATGCACATTGGCATTGCTTTCTTCTTTTTTACACTGAGTTTACCTGCACTTTCGCCAAATATTGTCACTCTGTCTGGATCTCCACCAAAAGCACGGATGTTTTGCTTTACCCATTTGAGTGCCTCAACTTGATCTTTGAGTCCCATGTTGCCAGGCAGTAGTTTGTCTCCTGTACTCAAGAATCCTACATAAATTGAACATTTACAAAATATTAACAGCATTTTTTATCAAAGTATGCGTTTTTCAAAACATCATGTTAAATTATGTTTTATGAAATGTCTTTAGAGGACCAAAATGTCAATCCACCCTTGCTGAAATCCTCATCTTTTGAGAAGAACATTGGTTCATCTAAAAACCAGTAAAAATATGTTACTGAGCATATCTGAAATCAATTCCAATATTGGTTAAAATAGGGTTCTTAATTACAAGACGTTTCACTTGGTTTTCAAAGCTTTGTGCTACCTCTATCAATACTGTATTTGTTACTTCATGAGTTCATGTCCTTGTATCCAACACGAAGTTTAAAAAGTACAAAAATATGTGTACCTAGATATGAGAGTCTATAGTTGATGGAAACAACCACTACATCATTTAGGGCACTTAATGCAGTCCCATTGTAGACATGACCAGATCCTAAAATACATATGCAATAATAGTAGATACACTCCCCTCCATAAAATTGGTAAGCGGAATATACAATAGTTTGGAAATGTATAACAATGATGAAACATAAACACAGACATAATCAGGCTTAGATAAATGGGTCCAAATGAGTCTCCCGGTAGCCAAACTTACGAAGGGATTACAGATTATATTAAAATGCAATTGAGTATTAGGTTAAAGGGGCTGTTTGACTTTCAAACTAGAAAACTGCTAGTGAAAGGGTTGGTAATGGTGAAGATGGAGAACTCTCAGAATGTAATACAGTCCAAAACAACCTTCGATAAATGATACCAACTTATGCAACAGCACTTTAATACATCTATGTCATATGGTGATCATGGTGATATCCTTTATGATGGTATAGCGAGCATATACGAAACCAAATTGATGATAACTCAATCTGTACGTTGACTCACCCGTGGTAAAGCCTCCCCCGTGTATCCAAAACATCACTGGAAGTTGGGCATTGACATTAGGAGTGTAGATATCTAGTTCTAGACAATCTTCTGAATAAAACTCTGGATTATCCGGTTGCATCAGAGGAAGTTTCAGTAAAGAACATGCCTCATTAAACATAGCGTAATGCTGTATGCAGAATTTACCTATTTTAACAGAAATGCAATTTGAGATGATCAAGCGTTACGTAAATTTTTGAGTAAATGACTCGTGAATGACTCGATAGCCTGCAGGAAAAAAATATGGTAAGACATCCAGTAACCGGTGTTTACTTGGGATTTTACTGACACTTTGGCAAGATGCAGTTTAATCGTATGATCTGTAAAATGAAGCCTTCTGATTGGTCAGTTCTTGTGCTGTACCAATCTGTATTGTCCCTATTGATCATCTCCATAGCAATACAATTCAGAAAATATTGGTACTGAGGCGGGGACAATCTCAGTAGCAATACAGAGGATCACACGATAAAAACGTTATAGAATGATTTGAAGTGCAATACAGGATATATTATGCTCTCGATATTCTATATTGACACTCGACTTCGTCTCGTTCCAATAGAATATACCTCAAATGGCTTGGCTGGAAACCTGTAGACAAGATTTATCGGGACAGCCACCCGACCAACCGACCGAGAAAGGTTCGAAGGCATGCGAGGCGAATCCTGGAAACCCGGGTTTGGGAAAGCAGGGTTCACTGTTTGTTTCCGTTGACACGTGCGCTAAACTACATTCATAATTCATACGACTGTGAACAGGAGGTTTACAGTCAGACCCGGGTGCGCCAATCCCTTATTTACATGTTTGTTTCGCGGACCAGGGTTTAAGGCCATTCCAAACGAAATAAGTGTTTATTGAGGCCACGAAATGTAAAAGTTCGTTTTATTAGAATTTTATACGTGTTATTTTGTATCTACTAAGACGTTAAACATATTGGAAATAGTTACGTATTATGACTGGTCTAAAATGTGCAAAGCTAGGAGACCCCTTATAGTCGTTCGTTCTCTACTTTGTCTAAGATAATGGAGAGGTTAAGCTACCGTATAAAATCCAAAACGCAACTTAAACGTATCAATCGGCCCTATACAAGTACATCTAGAGTTCACACATAAATAGCCGTTCAGCTCTAGTGTTTGTTTAGACTACACCATAGCTTGTAATGATTACATAGTATCCCATTGATGAAGTTCAATAGCTGGTTTTCTAATACATATTTTAAACGAGCTCGTTTCGTAAGATTATTGGAGTTAAATCATGCGTAACATACATCATCTTCTTCAGAAAGAATTATACTCTGCATCGAAATCAAAATTGCAAGGATAGTATTCAACAGACATAAGTATAATGATTCCCGTTGATAGCAACGTGAAAAATTAAAAACTCCCGTTCTAAACACGCAACTTTTAAGTTGAACGGGTATCTGAAGTAGACTAAAGCGATACAATCCTATGTTGATTCAATGTACTTTGCGTTTACGTATACGTTTTGAAAAACCGTATTTGCTTAACCTCTCCACTATATCAGTACAACGGTTACTAAAACAAGGAAAATTGGCCAGTAGAGATGAGGAACTTGAAACAAATTTATTTTTATTCATATATATGAATAATATTTGATTTAAATACAATTCCACGCTATTACCATCCTCCAGTGTTGCAACTTTCTATTGTGTCAGTCTGGGTCAAAATCTTGCATATAACAATTGATAACGAGGAACCCTTCTAATAAAAACACTTTAATCCAGGTTTGAAAACTTCCGAAAATAACACGAACGAGTCTAATAATGAAGTTTATTAGTGTGAAGCATATTCTGGACGGAGGCAAAAAGGGGAATTTTCATGAACAAATTTAATGTTTTTGCTGAATCACGGTTTTCGCTTTTTACCCCAAAAACCACTGATTTTGACGATATTTGGCTACAATTTCGTCCTTAGTGACCCCTAAATGTCATATGTTGTCGTGAATGGGGAAGCCAATGAGTTGCTATTCATAATAAAGATTGAATTTTCCATCTTATGGTGTCCAGTAAAGAATGAAGTACATATCGGGGGTGCAGTCAGAGATTGGTGAGTTAAGTGTCAATTTTTGATGTATTTGTTCACTCTGAATGACTAAATTCGAGCTAAAAATATCTCAAAATTCCCGATTCTCTAGGCCAGAGTCAAAACTGATCAAATTTGTCATCATTTTTCACAACAGGAGGTTGTTGAATGAATTAAGTATGAAAAAGTGATAATTTTAGTAAGATTTTGCCAAAAAGTAGGCCAAATTTGCCCAATTTTCTGGTTCACGGTTCAGTGATTTTGGCTAAAAATCGCAATATGCAATAAAATACTCAATTTCTTGACACAATAATGTAAAATGTCACCATCAGGCAGTGGATTTCATGATGTAAATGAAAAACTAGTTAAATTTAAAGGAAACCCATTGGGTTCTTGGAAAAATGACCCCAGGGGTAATGAAGTAGCCATATTTTTTATTATTGCTGTCAGAATATTCTAAAACTGCACAAAACTACTTGAAAAACTCTAGTAAATTGGAAAAACGCAATTTAAAGCCAGAAATCATCCAACCATGTGGCTATTAGGCCCAAATGCTCTAATACGTCACTTCCGCTGAATAGAAAAAAGTAGTATTCAAAAAATAAATGTAGTCCCAACACAATTGTGATCATGGCGAGTCAGTAAGCTAGTATGTAGGCACAGTTGTCATCTTTTTGCAATGACAACATGCCATTTCTTCTGAAAATACGTTTATTTGGGTTATCTGAAGGAAAATTTCGAGTCAAGTGGCGTATTAATTTTGCCTTCATTTTTGTAAATTTCAATTTGTGTCGGCAGAGAGAGGGGGTAGTGTCACAATTGACCAATTATTTCAAAAAGTAGATGTTTGGCCCCTATTGAGTTTAGTGTCAAGATGTAGCTTAGACATAGCTTTAGAACCTCAGATAGGCCAGTGAGGCCACATAAATCCATAACTCGAGATAAAAAGTCAGGCGTTTGCCCTTTTGCCCATTGACTAGTATGGTGACGTGAATTAGGGCAGTTTTGCCTCCGTTGCAGTTAAGTCAACATATCCATAGTTAAGAGTTAACTACGAGGAACCCTTCTAATAAAAGCAATGAAAATTCTGGTTTGAAAGCTATCGAAAATAACACGAACAAGTCAAATAATGCACCGTTCATTTTTTTGCAAAGGCGGATTTGGATGACAGCAAACCCGGGTTTCCAGGGCGCGACTTATAGCAACGAGTGCTTCTGGACCGACCGCCCGCCCAACCACCTATCCGCTCGGCAAAGTAATCACAATATAGCAACCAAGGGTGCGATAAAACGAGAATATTTAACAGGATAAGTGATCCATTTAAATTCGAATGAATGATGTGATTTATGTCCTGTTGTATTCCCCGGCTGTCTTTCCCCTTTGGGAACTGTAGTTTCATATTCATTGTTTACAAGATTACCAATTTTCGTTGCATCCTTTACTCCAGTCCATGGTTTAGCTGGTTTTGGTGGTTGAAACCTGTTGCGCCCTATAGGTGGCTCTGCATAGGGTATACTGTAGAATGCATATACTGGTTTGGTGTTGTCTAAAGCATGTTGCACTATACCTCTCACGTGGCCTAGTTGAGTTTCAACCACTATTTCATCATTTGTATTCTCAAAGGAACTTGAAACGAAACCTAAAAAAGGATCATTCCAGTGCCGTACTCCCATGTGAATATTCAACTAAACCTTCAACAAAAAATTAAAGTACTTACAGGTTGTTTCTGTCCTGACCTTGAAAAATACATTTGGACCGCCATGATCATGCCGTGATGGTAGAGCTAGATTAAGGTGACTTTTAAGTTAATCGAAAGTACAAAAACATGGCAGTCATATTTTTTTGATAAAGTCAGAAGATTTTGTATAATGTTTTCCTTGTATGTGAATGCATTTCCTGACTAAAGAGACACATAAAAGAAAACATCACATTTAAACGCATTTTTCATAACTATGAATTGGAGTTGTATTGATCCCCAAAGCTAGCATGAAGAGTGTGAAGTGAGGCTAATTTTTGAAATTTTCAAGGAGTAGCCTTGCAACAGTCACACATTTGCAAGAAAAAAATTCTTGCAAATTTGTGACTGTTGCAAGGCTACTCCTTGAAAATTTCAAAAATTAGCCTCACTTCACACTCTTCATACTAGCTTTATGGATCCGTGCACCTCTAATTCATAGTTATGATAAATGCGTTTATGTGTGATTTTAACTTTGACATGTTTCTTTAGTCAAGATATACAATTCATATACAAGGAAAACAGATTTTAAAAACATGTGTCTTTATCAAAAAATATGGCAGTCATTTTTTGTACTTTTGATTTAATTTAGCTTCGCCTTAAAGGAGTATTAAGAAAACCGTATACGAGGATTTAATCACATGGATATATCCATACTTACATTTACTTGCTGCAAAAAGGTATATAAGACTGGTTACGCATCTTCCCATTGTGAGAGCTCCTTGTCTTTTCTATTATACATATTCTTTAACGAGCGGATGTTAGTTATACTTAGTGAACAAAAATGTTATCTGTGTGAATTACCCAGTAACAGATGAAAATGTGTCGTAACACAGAAATAGGTCAAGATAACCTTTACTGTTGAACATTTCAATGTCTAGACTTTATGAGGGACATGACTTTGGAAACAAAATTTCTTCTCATGTTTGTCCGTCTTCATTGTCAACTTCACTGTACGGTGTCAGTGTCATCAAAATTCATGAGATGTACTATTAATAATGCAATAATTTTATTTCAGAATCCATTTAGGTTTTTAATGAGTAAAGTTATGTTCAACGAACATGCTCAAGTATCCCCGATAAGGTGTTTTTAAAGTTAAGGTAAATGTGATTTTCGACCTCTTGTTGTTTTATTTTATGAAATTGTTGGTGCGGTGGTTTAAACATGTAATGTGTGACCAATGGGTGTTAGATTCCACCTCTTGATCATTTGGCGTTTGTACTTTTACGTTCTGTTAAGATATACTTTTATGAATTTTAGTAATCTAAGAATTTAATAGAGATCAATATTAGCTAAAGCTAAATTACTAAATTACTTAAAAGTGCTCAGAATGGTGAAAAACTGCAATGATTTTGAGACTTTTTGGCCAGAGGGAGGCTACGGGCCTGCCAGTGTGCATAGGTTTTAAGTACTGAACTCAATGCGTTGTTTGTAAAATATATCACAAGTGAATTGTTCCTTCGTCGAGGTTTAATGGAGGTTCAAACAATTCACAAGAAAAGCAGCTGCTTTTTGTTGTGTTGTAGTCATCAACCGTTTAACTATTCACATTTCATCAATAAACAAATTTTTGCATTCATTACAACTGGCTTTATTTTCCATTTATTTCATATGCATCACTGTTACATTCAAAGCACTAACAGAATTTCTCAATCATTATTTCAAAAGGTTGATACAACCGATTTCTTGTACAAGTACATGACACTGTGAGAAAGGAATACAACTCCATCAGCTTTTAATCAGACAATTACTATTTTACTATTCTGTTTGTAGTTTTTACTAGAGGTGTGAATTTTTAATCGATCATCGATTAATTGATCGACACAAGTTTAATCGATTATGATTCTTAATACTCAATTAACTGATTCTCAAAAAGATAATCTTCAGCATCCTGCCGTGAGTAAGCTTACATGATGTCACTGACTGATTGAGACCTAATTTGTCAGGTTGACATGCCAAGCTTAAAACTCAAACTGCCAAACAAGCTAATTACCCTAAGCCAGAAGCTTACTTTTGTTGTTTTTGTGCTTTCTGATACATCTTATTGATATATTTTATTCAATAGAGGTATGCAATCAAATCAAACGAATGAATTATCGCCTACTACTAAAGAATTAGAAAATATTAGGGAAATTATGTCAGATCTCTATCATTTATATTAGAATGATTAATCGATAGATTAAAATATTTTGTTGATCGATTAAGTGATTTACCAACAGTGCACACCTCTAGTTTTTACAGAACAATCTAAATGTATGAAACATAAAGTGACAATCAGAGAAATGGAGGTCCAAAAGGTTGCAAATAACGATTTCTCATCTCTGGATGCCAAATGGTAAAAACAAATTTCTACAGTGAGAATTTACTCAGCAAAAATATCTACATTTGTCTGTTTTGGGGATTTTAGAAATTTGGCATTAGAATTATAAGAAGTGAGAGAAAAAAACAATGTTTTTCCAAAGTTGGTGTTAATGTCTGAACACTCCCCCCTTCCCCCATTTGCCTCTGGTCATTTCATCAGCAGAGTACAATTCTACATGTCTGTTAAAGAATCAATGAATCACAACTATAAAAAATACACCAGCAAAAAGTTCACATGATTCTCTGATGTTTCCCTTCGTGATTATCCATGTTGATCACGCAATAGCACTGAATACCAATTCAAGTAGAGCTGTATTGTAAATGTCAGAGATATTGACTCCAATAAATAATTCAATCCTCCATATTGTCCATAGAAATTCAGCTTTTGTGCGCACTAAAACATACAATTTTCCTAAATGTGTTTGAACAGTCCTCACCCCGACAGATCATTGGCTTCAAACATATCCTTGTCATATTTTTCTGCTTTTACTATTCGCCCACCAAAAAATCTGCCATTCAGACCTTGTATCCCTCGTTCCACTTCTGAAATACACAATCATATACAAAAAATTAGTTTTAAATGCCCATATTAAATTGTTCATTACTTTACAAACTAAATTATAACGATATTGTTAACTAAAAAGAAAATAAATCGATACAGTCTTTATTAATATTATTATATACACATTAAAAACTAGCTTGCCAGGATCGACAGAAACAATACTTGGTGGCCCCAAGCTTTTGTCCCAACATATCAGTATTGGTCCAAAATTGTTCAACCAGGTTAACATTATTTGAGAAAAGAAATTTCAACAACGTACCATGTGGTGCACTGAAGGCAACAAATATTTTTACAAGTATTTCTGCATCTTCTTCTTCCCCTTGTTTTTCCTGGTAAATGATTACACGTTCAACATTGCCGTACTTCCCACATTCATCCGTCACTTCATTCTCCAGCTCATCGTCCAAATCCTCAGGTCCAACCATGTTACGTAACACCATGACACGACACTGAAAAAGAAAATGTACAATTAAAGGCTTGAACATTTGTATGAACCAGTCAGACAATGAACTCCGGTCGCATGAGAGGCCTCAGTCATATTGTGTGTAAAACTAATGCAATACAGTAAATTTCTCTTGTTTTAAAAACAAGCAGCAAGCTTATTTCTTGAGTGAAATATCTGAATATTATTCTATTTTATTCAATAGCAACAATGATATCTAGTATTAAGAGACTATAGTACTATAGATCTTTTAGAATTGGTTACAGTATATTTTGTATACCAATAAAAGGGTAATTATCTGCATAGAAGGGGGGGGGGTAAAATCTTTGAGCGACCATAATTTCTGTGACACCTACCTCAGTTTGATGTCTCATGAGTTTCTGCATGACCATGTGTCTAGCATTGCTGCCACTGATCTGCATGTTCTCCTGCTGGTCCAAACTCTGGTTCTTCTCATCTTCTACAAGTTTCTTCTGGGCTTCAGTCAGCTTAGGTCCTCCTACCATATCTGCTGCTACAATTCAAGTTTCACAAAGTTTGTTAGTATCAAGCATATTATTCATTTTTATAAATTCATTTATCACAACTCAGACAAGTAATCTGTTTCCTCAACAGAAGAATAAAATCACACTGCACAGTATTTCATGTTTCTGTTCTTAAACTACTCCCTTGAAATTATTCCTACTAACCTTGTCCTAAGCCAGGTCCACCTAACATTGCAGGATTGACCAGGCCAGGGGGAGGAATGGCACCTGATGGAACAGCCTGTCCCAAGCCACCTAGCTGTGGCATGACAACACCAGGGGCCCCTATTGATGTTGGCATGACAACACCTGGCTTAGGAACTGCTTGAGTGGCTGGTTGATTTGGAGGAGTATTCACTACCTGAAAATAAGAGAAGAAAAATATTGCTGAGAAAGATCATATAGGGTTATAAGCGGTGATTTTCGTTTAGAATATATATCTGAATTGGCATTGTTATAATGAAGAAATTGTAATAGCAAGATGAAATTTATTAAATGAATATTTAATAAGTACTTTTTCACCCCTGGGGGTAAGGTACAAGAGGGTATAAACATAGAGAGAATAAGCCACACAGTGAACAGAATCGCACCCTTGAACAGAATACTCTTTTTTGGGATGGAAAATCCAAAATGGCCACCTTAACATTTATCCAGAATGCCGAAAAACTAATGAGTTCTAAACTTTCATAGGTAGAAACATCCCTGAAAATTTCAAATGAATCCCTCAAACGGTTTGGCTGGAAACCTGTAGACAAGCCTTCACAGACACGATTTTAGGACGGAAAATCCAAAATGGCCGCCTTAACATTTACCCAGAATGCCGATAAAAACTAATCAGTTCTAAACTTTCATAGGTAGAAACATCCCTGAGAATTTCAAATGAATCCCTCAAATGGTTTGGCTGGAAACCTGTAGACAAGCCTTGACAGACAAGATTTTAGGACGGAAAATCCAAAATGGCTGCCTTAACATTTACCCAGAATGCCCAAAAACTAATCAGTTCTAAACTTTCATAGGTAGAAACATCCCTGAGAATTTCAAATAAATCCCTCAAACGGTTTGGCTGGAATCCTGTAGACAAGCCTTGACAGACACGATTTTAGGATGGAAAATCCAAAATGGCCGCCTTAACATTTACCCAGAATGCAGAAAAACTAATCAGTTCTAAACTTTCATAGGTAGAAACATCCCTGAGAATTTCAAATGAATCCCTCAAACAGTTTGGCTGAAAACCTGTAGACAAGCCTCGACAGACATCGACAAGATTTAAGGACGGAAAATCCAAAATGGCCGCCTTAACATTTCCCCAGAATGCTGAAAAACTAATCAGTTCTAAACTTTCATAGGTAGAAACATCCCTGAGAATTTCAAATGAATCCCTCAAACGGTTTGGCTGGAAACCTGTAGACAAGATTATTCGGGACACCGGCCCGCCCGCCTGGCAAACTGATTACAATATAGCACCTTAGGGTGCGATAAAAAATATATACATATCGTTATACAACCTTATTTGGTATAATATGGCTAATCTTAATAGTATGTCCACTATGTGATTTAATAATCTGCTGCCAAACATACCACATCTCCTACAGCATCCATAGCTGTGATCTTTGCAGTAACAGCTGCGGCAGCTACAGCTGCTGCTGTGGGCATGGTCTGTGGACCAGATGGACCCATTTGAGCATCTGGAGGAGTCACACACTGGAAGAGTAATATGAGTATTACTATCAGACAGACCTCTTTCAGAATACAGGAGTTTAGCCTAGCTAAATAGTTGAAAATACTCTATAAACAGCCAATAGATGTCTAGCCCATTTTCAGGAAAAGAATCTTAGGCCTAAAGCAGTTCCCCATTGAACCAACATGTAAAACATCACATTTATACTATGATTTTAACATCATAAAGCTACCATTTCTGTTTCCTCATTCATTTAGAAAATCAACAGATTTTTAGGTGAGATCTTATATATCATTGGTATGAAGTTTTTTAGTCTTTTAAAACAACATAAATAATGGAAAATAAAGATGAATATTGGCTATTTTATTTAAAATATTTGGCTTGATGTTGGTCAGCTTAAATCACCAAAATGACCTGGGGTCAATAAGTTTATATAGCCACCAGTAAGATACTGCTTGTTTTAAGTGCAGCTTGAATTACAATGTTTACTATTGTCCACATACTGATACAGGATAAAAGGTTAAGTTAACTAGATAGTTAGAGACCATTCAGATATTTGATGCAGGATTTGAAAGTTTAAATTCAGACATAGTTTTATAGCTAATCCCAAACCAGAACAACGGCAACGCCAAAGCGTAGCGAATCCCATCGAACAGCCATGGATGGCATTTTTGCAAACAAAGTATATAGCAAAAATGGCAGCCATTTTTCAAAATGGCCGCCTTCTACCAAAAGTGTCATTAGACCATGTGCCATGCTTATAGTATTCATATACTAAATATGAACAAAATCGCTCCACTACTTTTCAAGTTATAGTAAAAAACGTTAAAATGGCGGCCATTTTTCAAAATGGCCACCTTCTACCAAAAATGCCATAAGACAGTGTGCCGTGCTTATAGTATTTACTTACCAAATATAAACAAAATCGCTCTACTACTTTTCGAGTTATAGTAAAATACGTTAAAATGGCGGCCATTTTGAAAAATGACCGCCTTCTACCAAAAGTATCATTAGACAGTGTGCCATGCTTACAGTATTCACATACCAAATATGAACAAAATCGCTTCACTACTTTTAGAGTTATAGTAAAATACGTTAAAATGGCGGCCATTTTTCAAATTTTTTTCAACATGGCCGCCTTCTTTCAAAAGTGTCATAGGACAATGTGTCATGCTTATAGTATTCACATACCAAATATGAACAAAATCGCTCCACTACTTTTCGAGTTACAGCAAAAATCGTAAAATAACGAGTAAAGGCCGTCATTTTTCAAGATGGCTGCCATGTGCTTCTTTAATATCTACATTTCTAGCTTTATTGATGTCCTATATCATTTTTTTACATCTAAAACATATTGCTATTACAGTTTACATATTGCACCTAAATTACTGTAAATTCGGCACTAAAATGGCCGCCATTTTGAAATGAGCGGCCATTTTGAAAATCGGCTTTCGAGCAGAACTTCTACCCCTATAGGGTATATGTGTACAAAATATGAACAAAATCAGGCCAACGGTATTTGAGTTATTGCCCGGACGGACGGACAGACGGACGGAGGCGTTCCCTATATCCCTCCGAACTTCGTTCGATGGGATAATAATTTATTCCCAGACTCAGAAACTGATCCAATATGCCAACTTACACTTATATTTGACATCATTGAAAATGTTTCTAAAGTTTTTTTTCTCCAGACATTTTTATTAACCAACACTACAAAATATAATCATAGATGTTAGATATCTTGTACTTTCAGAAGAAATACTAAGAAGAAAGTTCACATGTAATGTATGGCCCTGTAGTGACCCTTGACCAATTAGTCACTTTCAAGTTATATAACAGTTGGAAAAGATATATCTTTGATGTCTTTAAATAGATAACAATCGTATAATGACCTATGGCCCAAGAATTTTTTTAAATAAAAATAATTTTTTCAAAGAATCAGAGAAAAGGGTGAAAAATCTAGAGAATCCCCATACCTTCTATGTTATCATTTCCTGAATTTTTATCATATGACTGCCATCATATGATGAAAATGTTAAAATCTTTTGAATATGGTAAGGAGTAATGGAATATCTAAAAAAATCATGGGAAAAAACAATACAAGCTCAAAAGATTTGCCAAGACATTAGTTGCTCTCTGAGTCTGATATTATCTCCAAAAAAGTTGTTTTTTAATTTCCCCAGCACATTGATTTAGCACATTGATTTTTGATTCGACCCCTTTACTACAAAATCCCTTACCTTGCCAACACGTAGGAACTGTCCCCCAAGATCAAAAAGATTCATAGACGACACAGCATCTTGTGCAGCCTGTGGGGTACTATACTCTATAAACCCGAAACCTTTGTGTTTTCCTGGCTTTGTTGTATCTGGTACAAGGATACAGCTCAGGATCTTGCCAAAAGCCTCAAAGACACTCTGGATGTCATTCTCTGTGAGATCAGTATGGATTGATGTGACATAAATTCTGTTGTACTGCTTGGACTCCTCCGCCATTTGTTGTATGATAGGCTGTGCTTGAGGTATACTACTGGGCCTACCAACCTGAAACATCATGATAATGCTAAGCAAAGGCAATACAAATGAGGCTTGTTGCATGCAAAAGTTGAGTCTGATTAACAAAGGAAATTAGGGGCAACCCCATAAATGTTTGACTCTAATTGCTAGGTTTTAAAGTTTTATCCCAGTGGTTTTGAAAAGTTCAGCTTTTAGTGAAATTAAATGAGCAAGAACTTAAATTGTTCCTTAAAAAATTGTGTTCAAAGATTTTCATTGCACCTGTTGACTTGCATTGCAAAACTTGGGACCAACAGAGTGGTGAGAATCAATTTCTTCTTCGGAGCTCTAGATAGACAATGTTTAAGATAGTTCACTATGTTATCAAAATGCTATTTTCAGGAGCAATGTCCTCAGATGCAAAAAGGTTCACATTGTGCAACAACACTGCTTACCTTGATGTTCCTTCCTCCAATCATGACTCCATTCATTTGCTCTAAGGCGAGCTGGGCAGCCTCTGGGATCTCATATTCTATGAAGGCAAACCCTACAAGAAAACAATAACCATATCAAATAAAGGAATTCGTAACACAAAGTCAAGTATGTTTTAGCGATCTCCTTGGGTAATTAAGATTTTAAAACTTTGCTCTGCACCTGGCTGAAAATTTAATTACTTCGAGTTGAGATAAACTCATGGAAATTGTCACTTGCTTGTTTGCTTGCTTGCTTTCATACATGGCAGTTATCGATATGGTAGTTGATAAATTAAAGCAAAAATAGATGAAAATAATCAAAACCATTGACGGACTTGTCATAACTAATTGACCTTTAAAAAGTCCAAGGAATTACCTTTATGTTTGTTGGCAATGGGATCCCAAGCCAGATTAACACTCTTGAATGGTCCGAATGGCAGAAAGGCTTGTCTGATTGTCTCTTCCTTGATCTCAAAGTTGATACTCCCGACATAGATCCTGGAACATTGGATATAAACAATCATTATGTCATGTTCCTTGAGCAAATATCAACTAATTCTGTCAGAATTTATACATAAATCTGAACCAAACTTATTTGTAATAGAAAACTTGGTGAGATAAATTAACGCACTCTATGTGCAATGTGCATCAATACCAATTGTCTTCAAATCAAAATTTATTATTTTTTGATATGATACTACATTTAGACAAATCACAGAAAATATTCGACTTACCTGCACATGAGGGCAAGGGCCTGCTGCTTCTGTACATTGGTCTGGAAGTTCTGCATTTGCTGAAATATAGAAGAAATATTGAAAGCATCATTTGAACTAAGCAATGCATGACCAAATTAGAACATGATCTCTTTGGAGCCTATCCGTATAAACAACACAGAAAAGCAAAAATCATCAAAATAAGTATTTTCTTAATATTTTTTTCAATCCAATAAAAGTTTTTGATCTTCATTTGACTAGATAGATTAAAGTTGTTGAATAGCTAGAGTGCTAAATTAGACATACCTGTTGTTGATGTGCTATAGTCTGTCTCACTAATACACTCTTAATACTCTGCTCCATGGCATACTTCTTCGCTTTAGCTACACAGTCCTGCTGGTAGGAGCTCAGCTTGGGTAGAGTAAATGGCTTGGACTCTCTCTTAGACCCAGGCCCCTCGAGTACCGCACCGGTCTGATCCATCTGGATCATGGTACTGGCATCTAAAATAATATTGAGAAATTAGTAAATGTTCAGTATAGGATATCTGGGCTTGTCTCTATCTCATGGTCTAATCACAATTCAGGCGTCATTGTACAGTAAAGCATGTGTGTATGTAAACACCTATATTAGTGTACAAAGTGAGAATGACATACCAATATGCGCACCTTGACAGGCTTCACATTACTACTAAAGTGCCCACATAGTATAGACTTTACTGTCGAACAACCTGGTCTTGAAATGCTCTATTTCAATGAAGTAAATACTCTGCAGTGTGATTATACACATGGTTTTCAAGTAAAAATACAGGAGCAGGTTTCAATGAACAAAATCAAAAACATTCTTCAAGTTTCTCTATAACCATATCATGGCCAATCTGTGTCGATTGCATTTTTTACGTTTATAACTTGCACTTTTATTGAAGTTTTCTGAACATCATGAAAATCAATCAAAAGCCTGAAAATCAAATTCTCAATGTTCTAAATAATTAATTTCTGAAATAATTTTCAAGCTTAATCAATCAGACCATGGGTGAATGGAAAAACTGGTTCCTGTATTGTTACTTCAAATGGTATTCTCTACAAACAAGCCTGGATATCTTTGTGTCAATTCATTACTCGCATCTTCTATCCACTCATCACCACAAATCCCAGATATAGTCAGCAGATATCTCAACCTAACACTGGGAAACATACTAAAACCCATGAATTTAAATCAAAAGGGACAGAAATGCAAGTACTAATAGAGTAGTTTGGCTTCGTTGTTTGGTTTACAGCCAATGGTAAATCAACAATGACAAATCGAGAAAATGGATCACTTGTTCAATGGTTATGCATGGTTCAAATGTTAAGTTGAGATATTCTGCGTGATATAACATGACCCAAGTATATTACATAGGTGCAAGAAACTATGTAACATTGATACATAAAATAACTTGCACGCTTTCATAGAGTACTTTATTCTCTAGATAAATCTTTACCCAGAATTCATTTTACGTCTTGCGGTGATGACGTGATTGAAGTCTAAACCACGTCCATATCCAGTAGACTCATCACATGGTTAATGAAGCGGCCATTTTGCTTTGCTAGCCTCAATTTGGCATCAAACTGCGTACAAAAATACAGAAGAGAAGAGACATCTATAGATGAGATATATGCCGAATTTCAAATATGTCTTCTGAAGTTATACTTAGCCTTTTTATTGTTTTTATTGTAATTAAAACATATTTCAAGGTTTGACCTAACCTAACAGGTGAACAGTGTGTAAATCAATTAATATTCACACTCAAATGATATCAATACATTGTAAAACATGTGTTAACATTTTATATACATTTATTATTCAATGCGTAAATCATAATCCACTTGGTTTGAGTAACTCCTGAAAATATATACAAAAGCATGGAAAATATTAACAGTGCAAACGTTCAGACATTCCACGACTGTTCAAGCTATCAACTGTTTCAAAATCTAACCCCAAAATACCAAATCAACAAAGTAAAATATTTCATTGAGTTCCCAATCTAAATGCGATTTAATATACTGTGATATGACATTAAACTGACTGTTTTAGCCCATTCATAACTGCCAAGGTGGCAATATTCTTTTGATATAATTTTTCCTAAATTTCATTTCATGAATTAACACATCATGCGGGTCCCATTCAACTTTCATAATCATAATGTCTGGCAAACAAGTGTTTCAAAATCTAATCCAAAAATACCAATTCAATATTCCATTGTGTTTCGAATGCAAATGTGATTTCAAATATTGTGATTCATGATTTATCTAAATGTTTTTGACCATTCATTACTCCCAAGATTTTTTGACATTGTTTTGAAACCCTAAATTTTATCTAATGAATGGCAATCTCCCTTCATAATATTCACATTTTCACCCTCTGTCACAAACACATTCATCTTCACACATTCATGTCACGCATTCCTGTCACACATTCATGTCGCATATTCAGCTGGAGCTGTCACAGCACTGCAGCCTTCTCTCCTCTGCCACTGTATTTGGTTAATTGTTTACAGGAAACTAGGCAAAAACTGGAAATAGAAAGCAACTCTTTTTCTGTTTAGATTAGTAGTATAAGTTTGGATGGACATTATTAATATCTTTTAAAAGACATTAATACATTTCTAAACGTTCAGAAAAGTAGGGGATCCTTTGGTCAGCCAATTCCCAATGAGACATATGATGCACGTTTTTCAGGAAGTAATAAATCAGCGCCATCTGCCAACATCGACCCAATAATTGCTACCATGTACTGATTGGTCAGTTAGGAAGTCTGAAAATATAAAAGGAACATCTCTCCCTTTAAATAGTAGTTCAACTTATCAACAAAAGGATTTATGAACTAAATTGCCTTGTTTTAAGGTTATTGTTTATATTGAGTTTTTGATAACTTATTAGCATTGCACTAATTGAATAATAACCATCATTTCAGAAGATGGCCAGAAAATGTTCTTTGACACTTGAACTGTCAATGCATCCATATCCTAATCTTACGACATGACCGAGACAGGCTATTTGTGCATAGTGATGTTTCTCCACTAAGAAACCTGCAAATATAAAGCAACAGGACTTCCTATTTAGAATTGTAGTTTTCTAGCAGAGACAGCATCAAACATACGACACAATAAATAGGAATAAGTTGTACCAAATCTTTCAACAGATTTTACTGTCTGTTAAATCTTGTATTTTCAATCTCATTTTTTTTTCCCAGTCTACTAGTATTTAGTTTTAAATGCCAATACATTTTGCTAGTATGTTACACTGTTGGAGCTTTAAGAAATATATTAAAAAAGTAGAATAATTTTGAAGTTTATTAAAAAAAGAAGAGTTCTCCGAAAATTATGAGTGTTGTTGATTTCTTGACCTGGCAAAACATACGACTAGATCAGCAGGGGGAGAGCTAAATCTGAAAAATATATAAAAGCAAACATGCTTATATGTAGTCATAGTCCCAAAATGATCAGAAACTTGTCATTTTAAACATTTTCCTCATACTGTACTTCAATAACTAAAACCTAACATTTGAACACCTGTAAACGTGTTATCAACCTAACTTAAATCCGCTAAAACAAACAGGACAGGTCAAAAAAGATGTATGAATGATCTTTCCAGTGTCATAAATCTTCAATGTTTACTTTTTTTGCCTGTCCTGTACTAACTCTACTGTATCGCCCAATGAATTGACCGATTTACAAATTACACAGTGTTTTTTAGTTATAACAACGAGCCTGTTCTAGTGAATGAGCTGTGCCTCAGAACCCGGCAGTTATACCATTTGGTCGTAAATACAACATCCTAGAGCAGCGACCTACAGTGTTACTAGTTGGTGACAAAATCTGAAACTCATACAAAGCAGAAAAAGAAAAGAAAAAGTTAGTTTTTATCATCAACAAATTGTATAATACTGAATGTCGTTTAGAGAAAAAAAACTCAACTGTTCATGCAAACTTGTATTCAATAATCCCCATTGGACTTTTAGAAGTTTTCACAGTTTTAGAAGTACCCCATTTAAACCTTTGTTGAGTCTCTGGATTTGCACACTTTGAAATGTCAGTAAATCCTCACTTTTATATTTATACCCGTCCATTAGCTTTAACCTGCCCATTAGATTAATAATTTACAATAGTTGGACAAACCCAGCAAGTCATTTTAGCTATAATCAGAAAATCAGAGCACTTTGGTTAAAAAACAGTTTGGGTTGGCAAATATCTGGTCTACCTACGTCCTACACAATAAGAAAAAGAGCCAAAACATAATGTTGAGACATATCTGTACATTATATAATCAACATAATGGGTTTATAATACTAATAAACTTGGCTTTTGAAAAAGTACCATTACTTTTTAAAGCATCATGGACCAGTGTTTATTGAAACTGGTTTTAGTATAAATCACAAGAAAAACTGTACACAAGGGAAACTTTGGTAAATGTAAAATATCGTAAAAGCCATTGATTGATTACAAAACTATGGAAAGATATGTCCCCATTATTGTGGTACACACTACAAGCAATGCTACCTACCAACATGTGGAAAAGCGCTGATCTGAGCAGCAATTTCTCCTGCTGGGTTTGGAATAGAAGCTGGGGGCAGCATTGTTGGAGCTTCTGGATTGCTTACATCGTCTTCAGGTTCATACATCATGGGTGCTTCAGGATTACTAGTAGGCTAGAATTACAGTAAACACAGTTCAGAAATTATTTTCCAAGTTGTGTGATGTCGACATGGGCCAATGAGGGTAATGTCGACATGAAAAATGAGGTAACTTCGACAATAATACTTGTCTAAAAACAGAATTTCCATTTTCCACCATATTTGATTCAAAAAATATAAAATATAATACAGCCAATGATTTCGAAAAAACGCTGAACGCCATCGATCTATGAATAGATCTAAGGCATTTTGTTTTTTTCTGGCTGGCCATTCAAAAAATCAAATAATTTAATTTTCAAAACCTTTATACGGTCTAATCAAAATGTCTAATGAGGCACTTGAACATCAAAATATTTTTTGACTTATTGCTTAAGATTTATGTACTGTTCATAATTTACAAAATCAACATTTACCTGCATTAAAATCCCATTTGTTTGGGAAGGGTCCGTGAAACCTGTCGCCATTTTGTCGTCTTTCTTGTTGCATTGAAACTACGAACATCCCTAGAATTAAAGTTCTCAAACGTATAGACAATTTACAGTCACTAGAAGTCCAGAAAAATGACACTTACTGCAATGAATTGCATGAAAAGAGTATCAAATCATCATTAGGCACACTTTGATTGTAATTTATGAACAGAAACTTGATAATTTACTACAATAATTTGCACAGTAAAATGTTTTTGATGAATAGAGGGTGTTCGTCGAAATTGTGTGAGGTCATAGTCTCGTTTTGAATCCAGCATGGGGAAAGAAAAAAAAGAAAAGCGAAAGTCTGAAGGCGAGGATATCGATAAAGAGGAGCAATGGGAAGATAAAATTAAATATCTATCACCAATATCCAATCCCCTGGCGTCCAGAAAACTTACCAAAAAGATATATAAGATCATCAAAAAAGGTAACATTGTACATATTCAAATCCTATTGAATTATCGCCCGGTCAACAAATGGCCTTCGTCTAAAGATAAATTCCTGCATGTTTTTTTATTCTGCCCGATGCGAGTCATGTCGCTGTACACGCAGCCCTGTCAACCCTCATGCATAAGCGTGATTGTCACCCATTTGCTGGAAAAATAGAAATCACCCATCAATTAAGCGTGTATGATCAAATATCACGCAAATCACCCATTATGTTGATATTTTTAGAAATTGTTTTTTTTATGAAATGCCGATACGGTAAAAATCCGAACGGTGAAAAGCGAACGCATTATGTTCGGTCTTTGCACGCGATTGCCATTCATGTCACGCATTTGATCAGAAATATGCGTATTATCATTAGTGGTGGGACTCGCCCGAATTTTCGGACTCGATTATCGGGACCAAACTGACGACGATTAATCGAATAAATTCGATTTTTTCCAAAGTTTTGAAGGGAATCTCCCAACCCGCTGCCAACCACTTTTTTGATGTAAATCATCGATGTTATTGAAAAAACAAATAAAGTGCAATGTGTTACATACCTTCAAACATGTTTTTTGTTTATTTTATCAACTCTAAAGGCGTATAACAAATAAAAAAGACGCCCGGAAGTAAAATTTCGAAATGCATTCTGCCGCCAATGTCAACTTCGAAACGAGGCTCTGACCTTATTCCTACTGTAGCCTTTCGTCCAGAGCTCACTGAACGAACTGCTTTTGGAGATAAGGTCAGATCCCGGAAGTAAAAGAAATGAACAAAACAAATTGTTTTCTACATGTTATTTTACGTTTTATTAGCTGATTATAGATCAACATGTGAGTACTTTTATAGTAAATAGTGTTCCTGACTCGAATTGACGTAACCCAACTCGAATGGTACACAATTCGAGCCGAAATCGGAGGTGAAAACAAAAATCGAATTTCAAATTTTTTTCCCCAAATGAGTGATTATTCGAGTTGCCGATTTATCGTAGCACCACTAATTATCATGCAATCATTTTGAAAATATATTCCCCCTCTCCCCTCCTTAGGTGTCCTATATTGATCAGTGTTCAGTAAGGTTTCCAAAATGTGAAGGTACAATGTAGGTGTTCAACATTTGTAAGTCACTCATGTTGGATGGTCCCAAGTTGACAGCCCTGTATACGGGTCTTGTTGTAATCATAAAATTTGAAATCAGATGTTCGCCATTTACATCACATTTGAATTGCGAGTTTTGGTCTTATAACCTCATCAAAAATTCCAAAACACACATGAAGTTAGTGATCAATGTATTAGTTCACATCTTCTGGATCACTAACTTAGAATTAACAGCCAGTTACTAACATCAGACGTAAACAACATTTTGTCCAGTTTTCTTGGAGCCGTTTGTTTTAATTTAGACGAAATCCTGACGAAATCATGCAATATCTAATCAAGGAGCCCAGCCAGTTCCATTTCAATTCATGAAATATTAACATGACAGTTTTTAGAATATCACTTGACATTTTGTTGAGTGGTGATGATTCAAATTTCAAAGTTTTCACTTGAATTTGTTGAGTGGCTACAGATGTTTTTTGCGGACTGTAAAATGAAACTATTTGCTTTAACTTATTTCCCAAGTTATCAATCTTTTCTTGAATAGTAAGCCAATAACTCTATAAAAAATTAAAAAATCTATATAATATAAAGTGAAGGAAAGTTTGCAGCACAGTACAATTAATGTATGCCCAGGAATGAAAAAAGACATATTGAGAATAGTTGTAATATATCCAAATATATCACAGAAAATCACCAAGAATAAGCTGAAGGAAATTTTTTAATGGTTGCGTATGCACGAAAAAACTGAACCATATAAGTCTTTACTTCTGAAAGCCAGATAATTGAGCAGTAATAGTCAAATTAACATAAACATATACTTTTTAATAGTGATCTGTGATTCATGATATATTTCCCATGATATATTTCTCATGATATATATCTCATTAAGTGCTCATTGCTTACTATTAAAGCCGAGTAATATTTTTTTTGCAGCAAATAAACAGAAACACATCAGGAAAGGTGTGCGAGAAGTGCAGAAATTTGTACGTAAGAATGAGAAAGGTCTTGTGATACTAGCAGGAGATACAAATCCAATAGAGGTGATCTGCCACATGCCTGTTATATGTGAAGAACAGGATTTACCCTACTGTTATGCTCCCTCAAAAGAGGTTAGTATAGTAGCTAATACTCCTTACACATATTTGTAATACTTTGTGAAACTTGTGGAATATTTTAACAAAGAAGTGAGCCCCTCTACTCCATAAATTGACATTGACATTGCATTTGCTCCCACTTTCCTGCAAGTGAAATTGGTGAATTCCGCAAGAGAAAGCACTGATTTTTTAGTATTTTAAGACAAAAATGAAATAAAAAAATTAGTAAAGTTGTAATTAGTAAAACTTTTTGTATTCATTATTTTTTCTATTCATGCTTTTACAATTACTGATTTTGATGAACTTTATGACAGCATCACATTTCTGATGTTAATGCACCATTTATGTATAGTAGCACATTCTCCTTGGTAAACCCAACCCCTTAATGTTAAGCCCATAAATGTTAATATTATCCACTTATTAGCATTTCTCCTTCACTTCAGCAAAATCCAAATACATGTATTGCCCTACCCGTGTGACCGTGTGTTTATAGTAACATCTAGTTACTGAAAAGCAATTCATTCACACATTTATACATCCAAGGGCTCCAAAAATTGAAACCTCTCGATTTAGCAACCAGGATGTTAATTCACCAGTTAATTTCACTTTTTTGTACATGTTTCAGGATCTTGGTGCTGCATGCAGTTCTAGACGACCAACATGTATGGTGATGGTTAAGCCACATTCGGACTATCAGGATTTATATGATGAACTGGAAACTGAAATGAAGGGACTACCTATCCCTATTTGACCAACCTGAGACAGCATTCATACTCTACAAACACCTGGAAACCAATTGTAGTTTTTTAAATGAACACTGACTTGCAATAAAATTGATACAATGGTTTGAAACACTGACTTCTGATGCTGAACTTTTTTTATCAAAGTTGTGTCAGTATTAACAAGGATAAAGGATTAAGAAGGATTATCACGTGTGTAAGGATTTCAGAGGCAAGATGTACATTCCATGGCAAAATACTTCATTTAATGGTCATTAAATTATACTTATTTTCAATTCACTCATTTTCAAAATTATGCAAAAAATCATTATCTATATCACATTACTTTGTTTTGAGGATTTAATTAAAAGAATCACAACTGAGTGAAAACTCAGATCAGGACATATTTTAGTTTTAAGGGAGAATATTCCCAGTCATGATGAAGAGATGACTTCAGAGCTGTCCTCTTGTAAGCAGATAGTGTTCATTTCATATCCACTTTACATATAAAACGCACATCCTAAAAGTCTCCTGTATCACAACAGCAGGCTTTCTAGTGAAGGTCCTAGGGATTTTCCAGGGATCGATGTGTGGGATTTTATTATACCTATAAATGATGGTACTGTATGTAAATAAACAAATAAATATAATCATAAAACAACTAATTCATAAGAGTTGGTTGTGTGTAAATCCTCCCATGGAAAAGACCCATTAGCAATTGTGTCAAAGTAATGGTCATCATTATCATGTGCCTCTGGTTTAAATACCATATTTTAGTGCTATTTACAGTTTGTCTACAGACAGTTAAGAAGACTTATACTGCACCCATGCCACTGAAATGGTTACAATACATTGTCTCCTATTGCCAGATGGGAAGCTTTATGCAAAGGCTCAGCTTTGTAATCTACCATGTTAAAAAATACAAAATATGATTCTGAAAATGAAAATCTTAGCAAACCAAAATTTTAGATACAGTGTTAGTTTGAGGTTAACAGGTTTACACATGCATCATTGATTCTAAATTTGTTTGATGTAATGGTTTTGTATAAATGTAAGTTAGTCAACCCAGAATTCTCCATATGACTTTTTCTCAAGTTGGTGCAAAAATGCGCCCACTTGGTTTAATGTTGGGAAGATCACTGCAACTCTAGAAGTCTCTTGTAATAGATAATACATATTGTAATAAGTACAATACAAGACATCAAAAGAACACAGAACATGTATCTGTTTATAAACTAAAATAGGCACTGAAGATGCTTAACAAGTTGAGAAATAAGTAATGGTCTCAGCTTATATGCTGATTGTATGCAGGGTTGTAACTTTACCTTGAGGCTAATCTCGATTCATATCAATCATTGTTCTTTTCAACTAACTGATTTCAGTTTCATGATTGTAGTGAGTCTACATAGAGCATTCAGTTACAGAATGATGCAGATTATTAATTACGGTAATCTGACATGTATTTGAACTGTTTATTGGGTAGCCCTACCTCACAGAGCATAGAATGATGATGGAACAAACAGAATAACTGAACGTTGACATATGTATGTTGAACCAGGAGGGAAAATGTTGTTTCGTCGACCTGCCAGATTGTTTCTACTTTTATGCACAGCCCTCAGCCTGTATACCTACCTGCATCTTATGTTATGGTCCAGTGACCATGGTGATATGACATTCACAGAACACAATAAAGGGAGTTTCCATATTGTCAGTAGTTTCCCATATCTCCTTGGCAACCGGAAATACAGAGAGATGATGGGATATGGCAACTATTCAAAAGATGAGTTGGTTGTTAGGCAACAAGAGTTCTTGGAAACATTAATAGAAAATATCAACAATAGTGTTGTAGGGAGTGTGCGACTTATGATTGAAACTGAAGAAGCGGTAGAGTATATCAAATCTCAGAACCTAAAGCACATTGAGAAAATTATCTTCCATCGTATACAAAGTAATCACACTTACAAAGAAGCTTTCACCTATGCTAATGATAACCTATTTGGGAAGTTTGTGATATTCATGAATGGGGACATAGTCTTAGGAGATGGTTTTGAGAAGCTAGACCTAAGAAGGTTACTAGTTACCAGGACAGCCTATGCTTTAACCAGACATGCAGATCACCTTCATCGTTGTGACATGGACAACTTCTGCCTAAAGGCGAATTACATCGGGTCACATGATGTATTTGTCTTTCACCTAAAACCAAAAATTGAGGAAAAAACTTTGAGTGTGTTAGATTTTCCGACAAACAGCCATGGAGCGGAGAACGTGTTGATAGACATATTGAGAAGTGATATGAAATACACTGTATTGAACCCTTGTTATGTCCTCAAGGTATATCATAATCACTGTTCGGGAGTAAGGGCAAAGCATTTCATGAAGGGAAGAGTTGACAATGTACATGCAGGGTTGGCTCCGAGGACTAGTTTACTCTATCAGGGCACGAAAAACCCGATGCGTATTAAATAATAATAATATGTAGTCTTACATCAAATCATGTTACCCCTTCCCCACTTTCTTTAGACGCACTTGTCCAATCTATAAAATGTAAGGGTGTACTCAGACATAATACGTGTTATGACAGTCATTTGCTTCTATTTTGTATACGTGTAATTCTTTCAATAAACTTCATTGAAATATTATAAATAAAAATCATTATTTACAATTACCACATGATTGGTGTGATCAATTAAGATTGGTGTGACACATAGACTGATTGGGATCCAAGTAGTTTGGTGTCATGCCCATGACGTATACTTTCTGTGTGACAATCAACTTGAGAACAGGGTGAAGTGACTGGTGTTATTCACTTAGACTGACGTGATCTTTGATAACTCAAATACCAGTGGACAGATCTGGTTTACACTTTGTATGCTGATGCCTAGAGATAAACGGATTCCAAAATGGCTGCTTTATTGTAAGAAAGCTTTGATAACTCGAATACCAGTGGATGGATTTGGTTCAAATTTCCATGCGATGATATACGTTAAGATGGATTCTATTTATCAAAACATGTTTTGTTCAGTGGTTTTGCCACTTTGTGGTGTTGCTGTTTTCTAGTTGTCATTGCAGACTTACACGTATCTTTGTCATTCAAATATGAACTAGTGGTGTACACTGCAACGCAGATGCAAATGACAGAATATCTACAGATGCCCTGGCATGGGCGTTGAACCCTTGGATACCAGAGCATATTTACTTCATTGTAACTTTTTTTCGGTTATGTTTATGACACATTTTTCTACAAAATATAACAGAGTAAGTTACAAGACACTGTACTGTGGGTGTCCAAAGTCTATAACCATTGGAAATTTGTCTTCGGTAAGGCTAAAGTTGGTTGTGGTTCTGTTCTGCATCTAAATTGAAGTCAAAAATGCTCATTTCTAGGTGACCATATAGGTTCATATTAGTAATCTTTAGACAAAATCGAGATGGACGTTGTCTTAAGTTCTTTTAGGTCAGTAGCCATTTGCCAAAAAGCCGCTTAAAAAGGGTAGTTTTTCTAAAATACCTTATGGCTAAACTATATACCATTGGAAAGCTAATATACTCAGGTGTATGGTCCATACCGGAATCAGTAACGCCAATGGAATACACTAATCGGATAAATGAACTAAAAGACCCAATGGAGATATTTCTTGGAGAACGAAAGGCAGTAGATCGTGCATGATTATCCTTCTACAATTAGAATAGAACTATATGCATTTTTGGTTTCCATTATTGCTACGGAATGCCATATTCCATATTTGCCATGTAATATCAAATTCGGAGTTAAACTGAATTTCCAGTAGATTACCAAACTACGATTAAACATTTAAATCAAGATTACAACTAATCTTTCAGTTGTAATTTATCACAAAGCCTGTTATTTAATCTGTGTATTCATTACAAAAAGTGAATGGTCAGTAGGCACAACATTAATCTAAATCACTTAAAATACTTAGGATCGATCATTTTGGGAAACCACGGGGGTAATACGAAGATACTGTTTCTGGGGTGAAGGAAAGAATTTTTAGTCTGTTTAAATGACAGGTGAAAAATAATTTATTTAAAACTATTTGAGTTTATGTGTAGTTATGTCAAAATAACCGATATTACAAGGCTATGGAACTCAAAAGAAGCCACAACCTGGATCTTGAAGATATGGTATGTAGTTAATATATATGCTTTCCTTAATTTTCACTTTCTGGATATGCTTTCCATTTCATTTTAAATGAGGTCAGTAATGTCATGAATTCTAGAAAGACAACGAAGGCTCTGTATCATGAATAAAATGGAAACGTTATCAGGTATTTATGAGTTGCTGTTCACAACACAGTAATTATTTGCATATCTTTATTTCTGATCGTGCAGGTCCAACATTTGAATTTTTTGTTGATTGGGGAAGACAAACATTCGATGCATTTTCATTTTGAACCTTCGAAATGGCCAGTATAAAAGTTGGCCCAGATCTGGAGGTTTGTAAAATCAAAGCACTACATGATGATCTGGCCCTTAGTATCTTAATCCCAAATGACTATTTTCCATGAGAATAATGGCGAAACCCTATCGAGACGGGGATAATATATACATTCTCTTCGAATGACAAGCTGCTTGATATACAAATCAAAACACCGATTCAAAATACCAGTTTTATGGTTTGAATATTTATTGATTTAAGTGCAAGAGTCAACAAGACGCTCACAATTTGAAATGTTGAAATACAATTGTATCGCAGAATTCCTGCTATTGTACAAAGTGAGAGGTAGCTAGTTAAATATACCACTCTCCGTGTATTGTGTTCATCTGTATGTAGTACATACTAAGTGAATTGTCTGTCAATATACAGGTTGGGCCAAATTTAAGTTCTACCTTTTTCATTTTCTCATTTTTACTTTTTTTTACTTACTTTTGATGCAATCCCTTAAAAATGATACCCCTGTGCATCTTGTTAGTTGCAATGCTTTTACATTTACTAAAGGCAAAACAGGTTCAGATGAATAAGTTCCTGAAAAACTTGCAAGATTTACCAAAATTGGTAAATGAATAATTTTGAAAATTCGTTCATTTTTTGATGAATCTAACTTTACCTTACCAAGTTTCTATTTCTTTTTGAATTCCAGATTTTTAAGAAAATGCCTTAAATTATAGGCGAACATTAACGGACTGCGAATAAATATTTTATAAAAAACAGTATAGTGCTTAGTGGCACTAATAAGATCTTGGTAGATTGGGGATTCTGAACAGTTAGCAATGTAAAGACTTCAATGTTTGTCAATGTTGAATGTTATCGATTATATTTTGCTGATTATGTTGGCTATATGTAGTGATTTGGGCCAATTAGTCGATGATTTAATATGTAACCGCCTTAAGCAATCTAAGATTTAAGTCCTTATATTAATTGGAGCTGACACTGTACTTGTATTGTTGAATATTTTACAGAGAATAACCAAGCGATCTCAGTCAAGCCAGCCCCTGATGTACGTGTACGTAACTCAAACGTAACTCATCCTGAGAATCTTATTGGAGCAAATTATGAAATATTGAGGAGGACTTGAAGGTGAGGATATCTGAGGAGCGATACATTTAAGTGAGGACAACTATTAAGACAAGTGAGGATATTGTTGAGGACATATAAAGAGAATGATATCTAGTGAAGACAAGTAAAGAGGACATTAAGGCCAACGAGGATAAAATTGTGAGGACCAGGAAGTTCTTCAACCCTAGATACCGGCTTTGACCACACCACGAATCTATGAGTAAGTATTGCATGATATACCAATGTCAATAATCATTTGTTTATTGCTATGCGATTAATTTGGGTACTCATTAATTGCTAGCTGCAAATGGTGAGTTGAGTGTTTGAACCTTCCTTATAATAGTAATGCCTCTAAATTAAAAGGGTAGTTGCTTAAAGTCTGATAAAGGCCCTGCTTTAGAATGCACAAAATTTCCTATATCATCATCATCATCATGAACCTTTATTATTTGTTTTCGAAAAATGGTAAATGACATGAAATAGTCTTTATATAGCCTAATCTTGTAATAAAAATAAAAATTCAGATTCCAATTTACAAAAATAGAGCTCTCTTTTGAGATGGGAAGTCGAACAAATGCAAAGGGTAAAGAATAAAATGCTAACAATCTGTTTTAACAGTAAAAAGTGGGATAGGCCTACACAGACTTAGCTTGGTGAAATAAACATCTACTCGTAAATCTTTTGAAACCATTCATAAATGTAAAAAATAACGTAGCTCATAATGTATTCATTATAATATGTACTGTACCTTTGTATTGTCGTGTACTTAAGAAAACTTCTGACATAACATGTAAGTGACTTAAGAGAGGTAGTTAATGATTAAGATATTAAGACAATACCAGTTGGTTTTGTATTTGGACGCTTATAAATTATCATCAGTCAATAAAAGGTAGCCAAATGTAAAATCCATTAAAATGAAAGTTGCAAATGGAAGGGTTAATTTGAAAAGCAATACTGTAATAAAGTGAACTTATACAAACTTTTTCGCCATTACTTTACTTAAATTAAACGTTAAAATAAAACTCAATGGGGTGGCATGGGATTATCTTAAATCACATTTAAGCAAGAGAAATCATAACAGAAATGGATTAGTCAAGAAAGAAAATTTAAACTCTAAGAACTTTCTGGTAAAGACAGTCAGACTCGGAGCGCACGGATTTATTTTTCATTAATTTTGGTTAAGACATTGGAGTTTTCTGCTAGATCATAAAATATCTAGGGCACCGGGATGACAATAGTGAATGGAGTAAGTACTTGTAATCTTTTGCTGATTAAATTATACGTTTAATTGGTCATATGTTGTTCTTTATTGTAAGGTACCTTGCTTTGTATTTCAGATTCCATTTGATGAACTATACACAATGGAGGTCTACCAACTGCGAGAGACGGGGGAATTCTCCGACCTTTCAGTGAGCGTTAATGAGACTGAGCTAAAACTTCACAAGTTCCCAATGATCTCGAAGTCAGGTTATTTCAGACAACTTCCACAAGACCAAGACGTTGTAACGATTGATAACTTCCCGGGTGGGGTGACCACCTTCAACATGGTGGCAGATTTTTGTTACAACATCGATATTAAGATCACCAAGGAGAATGTGCTATTGTTGCGCTGCGCAGCCGAAGTGTTGAAGATGACGTCACCAACAAATTTGATTGAAATCACAGACAAATACATCAATGATATGATGACATCTGCCAAGCTCAGTAGATCAATCAATACTGTTGTTGACCTTCTCACTCAAGCTTGCTCACTGGGTGACGTAGCTGAAAAGGCTGGTGTCACAAATACGTGCATTGAAGCCATGGTTGACACACTTGTGAGGACAACAATATACAGTCCGTCAATCAGCAGGTTCGGAATCACTCGTAGGGAAAACGAATGTCTGGAAAAAGTAGAAAAGTTACCGTTTGAGATTTTCCTTTTGGTATTGAAGAAGGCGAGGGACCAAGATGTGTCGTCTACACTTCTGGCCAAGTTGGTTCAGAGATACATTGCAAAATTGCTGCATATTGAAGATGAGAAGGCTGAGCCGAGTGATAAAGATTCTGGCCACGAAGAAGAAGAGGTAGATGCGTCCATTGAAGTACAGACTAATGATACATCAACAGCACAAGAGGACTTTATCAAAATTGAGCAACTCAACGAAAGTGATACTGAATCGAATAATACAGGAGCTGTTAATGAGCAATCAACAAACAATGATAGCAAAGAAAGTAAAGCAAAAGACACGGTTGAACCGAATGTGAATCATTTAGTTGAAAGCATATTAAGTGAAGTTCCTGAAAACACTCCGTTTTCGGATGTTGTCTCAACGGACTGGGCAGCAAGAGTTTTGAATGTTGCAGGCTCATTTGATGGCAAATGCAGAGACATGCTTATCAAACTTGCAAGCCAAACCTTACACAAATTCAAATCTGATGACTTGATTAAACTCGAGCCAACTCTCATGATCGAGGTTATGGAAAGTGCAAAGAACAACCTTAACCTACCACCGGCTGTTGTGTGTCGGGTGGTGGATGACTACCTTTTAGGTATTGCACAAGCTGGTGCTTTTTCCGTTGAGGTGTTTGTGACTGTAGCAAAATTGGTCCCCGATGAGGACCGGGTAAACTGTGATATCCTTTATGACGCTATGGAGACACTTTTGAAAACAGGTAAGAGCAGATGTAACAGAAATTACGTTTCCACGTCCTTGTTGAGTAAGTCAAACTTGTTTAGTTCAAGCTTCACATTATCTTTTACAACAAAGTCCGATTTTCACTCAGTATACATAAAGTGAATATTTGACTTTTTTCCAGATAAATGCTAAAAGCAAATTGAGTTTATGTATCATTGCAAAGTCATTCACAAAAATCCAAGCCATTGCACTGTTGAAACTGAGGCTGGTGTCTTTTTAGATCAAATAAGTATAACAGATGAAGAACGCACTGCTCTCCATAAGATGGTTGACTTCTCTAAAGTCAACGAAAAAACTCTTCAAAAGGCCTTTGTGACCAAAGTGGTGCCTTGTGAATACGTTACAAAAGCTGCGATAGACTTGTGTGCTAAACTCAGGGAAGAGCTCGCCAACGCCAAGAGCCTTATTAAGATACAAGATCGTGAGTTGAGGGAAATTTCAATGGGAAGCTATACACTAGATGCTAGTCTAGGTATCAACGATATCTCAATAAAAGACAAGGATGTTTATGGTAAGAGAAATGCTGTCTCCCCACCTCATTGATGTAATATAGACTAAGTATCCCGATATCTAATGTCGATGTCTTGTCGCTCAATTCTAGACATTTATTTGCATTGTAAGAAGGAGTAAAAAAGTTTGACCCTGACCTAATTTCGCCTCAGTTGACCATGTATTATATGTTACAGATATAGAGAGAAGAACTCCAGATCATACGCCGATCAGTCCGTACAGCAGTAGCAAAAGTTCGTATAGCAGTAGGCACAGTCCGAGGGTGTCCCCGAGCGCAAGCACATTCCAGATCGCCCATGGCTACGCTGAACCGCGTTTGTTGGCGGGTTTTGATTCCGCCGACCCTTACAGATCAACATCTGGTATTTCCTCAACGGCTTATAGTTATCTATATGGACATAAAAAGTACCCTAGATATTAACGCCTATCCTCAATTGATAAACATAATGTATACCACCTAATAAATATCATTGTACATCAATCGACACCATCTTTTATAAGTCAATGTCTATTGTAGCTCGAGATGATCAATTTAAATTATGCTAAAAATTAATCGATGGGTTCAGATATCAATTGAATCGCTTGGATTTTTACATTATGAGATAAAATTTAATTAAAAAAATGTCAGCCATGTTTTTATGGTTGCTTGAGATTCAACCTTTAAACCACATTGTATAAGGTTCAAAAAATCTGTAATGTTGAATATATGTGACTGTAAATAAAAGAAATACATGAACGTGAAAAGAATATAGATATTTATTTGCCATGGACGTCGCTTGGTCCAGGTCTGTTTTTATTCATTTATCTATCTATTGTAATTACATGTACCAGGTCGTTCAATAAGTTTACGGAAAAATGCTCTCATGTCACAGATTTTTGATCTTTCATCATGTGCAACTGCAAATGAAGGATCCCTATGTTTTTTGTTCTTATTTACTGTAAATTTCAAACGTAATGAGGGAAAATTGAGGTTCATAGTTTTCATAGTCATTTCAAGGATCCTGCTAGTCAATGCTGTGCCAGAGGGCCAAGAAATCAACAAAGAGTAATATGCTAAATGGTAAGTAAGTAAAACTTAACCATTCAACCAAACTCTAAATTTTCCACCATGATAATGCACCCAGTCACACTGCTAATATTATGCAGGAAGCCATCTGGCAAAATAGATGGCAAAGTTGCCCCAAGTTCCTAACTCCTTGACTTTGCTGTTTTCAACAGGATGAAGGATCAACTTAGAGATGCACATTGTAAAACAATGCAACAACTTTCGACTGTAGTCCAGATTGCCCTTCAAACACGTTTTCACGATGGCTTCAGACTCAGAGCACAGTTTCAACAATGGGTTGAATACCAGCGATTGCGCATTAAACATGGAGGGGGGGTATTTCGAACAACTTATAGAACAATAGTTATGACTATTTTGTTCAGTTATATCATCTACACATACACGCCTAGCCATCAACAACGTACAGGTGACAAAATATACGGCTGTACGCATAAGCAGTACGTTGTCATGTTTGAAGCAAAAATTGTGATGTCGGATTAAAGATTTATCTAAGGAATACAAAGTAGCATTTCGTGCTTAATTTCATGTGCAAGCTCTTGGCAAGACTTTTAACTATACATCTAATTTATTACGTTAAAAGATTCTCGAGCAGTGCTTGAATTCTTTAAAGGCAATTCCACCCAGAAAATGTTCACATGGACATGGGTGGAATTACCTAGTACTGTGCTGTTTGAGAATCTATTAACGTAATTAAAAAGTTAAAAGTCTTGCCAAGAGCATGCACATGGAATTAAACATGAAATACTTCATCATATTCCTTAGATAAAATCTTTTAAAACCTACATTACGACGTTTACGTCAAACAGCTAAAGTGTACACCCGTATATTTTGTCACTGTACGTTGTCGATGGCTATGTGTGTATCCAGGATCTTGGGAATTTCGATTTTTTCGATATTTTCGATGAAAGGGCCACGTGCAGTATTGTGCAGTATGGCAAGTGATTTTAGATGGTCATATCTTTCACCATGGGTACTTTCTGGCCATAAATACATTGGTTTTTATTAAAACTAGCTGTTTTCTTTCAAGTGAAGTCCCCATGATAGTAAAATATCAATCGAACTCTTTCAAAAATTATGGATTAGGACCCCACCTTGGCACTTTTAAAAAAATGTTAGGTTCATTTTCTAACAAGAGGATCTTGTTTTTCTCAATTTATTTTCCCATGGAAATCCAGGGAAGACTAATAATCTTTTCATGCAATAGAAATCAGAAAAAGAAGTTCCTCGTTTGAGTAAATAGGTTCAACAAAAAAACAATGTGGGCGTCATTCACCATTTATTAAGCAGTAAAAAATAATTTGCTACTTTCATGACCTTGGGGACAAAATGTTTTTAGTTTCCTGTTGAATGTCGAGTTTTGCATCATACGAATCTAATTTTAGGCGATCTGTCTGCATGGGGTGCCGTATTTTATTTCGTTGCATTTATCATTCATCACAGTCTGAACGAAATCGGCATAGCAGTACATTTGGCTATACATACAGAATTGACAGCTCATGAGCTGACTGGAATAGGAAGAAATCAAAAAACGTACAAAATGACTAGCTATAGAAAAGGTTCGAGGAGAATAAACTATGGTTGGCTTGTTGTTGTTGCTTCTATGATCTCACATTTATTAATGTTTGGAATAAGTTGGTCCGTTGGGGTGTTTTTTGTTCTTTACCTGGATGCATTCAAAGAATCAAAAGAGGTTACTGCTTGGACCGGCTCGTTAAACACTGCTTGTATGAACGGTAGTTATAGGTAAGACTTAAAAAGGCTACTTTAGGGATTGACTGTAATGGAGGCAAGGGGTGTCACTTGATGTTTCCTGGAAAAACAATTGTAGTGGAACACATCCCGCCATTTTTTTTTTATCTCAAGCCACAGAATGAATGCTTATAATTAAAATTAATACCCAATATATGCTACACAATTAATTTCGTCAAAAGATGAACGCTGAAATTAAGTTGACGAAACCACTTATATTATTGATAGAGTCTTATGATCCATTTTTTAGGTCCTACAATCAAATTTAAGAACAAATAATCCAAATCAAAAACGCTCGATACGTTACGGTTGATTTTCAAATTTCCAATCAATTTCTAAGTTCGTCGAAAGGAGATTGCTGTAGTCCCGTGGCTAGAGTTCATGTATATGGCTGCCCAGTACATATCATATTTTACTTCATTATTATTTACAAATATACAAAGTTGTTGATTTTCTTTCTCAGAGATATTTCTTTTTCTTTTTGACGTTTCGTAGGATGTCCATCCTACTTCTTCAGAAATAAAATTATATTAAATTAAATTAAATTATATTAAATTATATTAAAATTAAATTATATTAAAATTATATTAAAATTATATTAAGAAAATCAACAACTTTGTACATTACTACCAGAGAGATGAACATTCATAGAAGCATTATTTACAAATATGTTTTTTACGCGGTAAACACGATACAAATATCGCAGTGTATGACAGATTCACCTGCGGTATATGGCATACACATTAAGCAATGAGAACGCGATACGGAAGTACGGAATTGTGAATTACATCGATTCAACAAACGGGTTAAAGTCTATAAATTATCATAATGATTACTGAATCAACAGGTCAGTGTTTTGAATATATGAACTTATACAATTGAATAACATACACCAGTGGTACCTGTATTGTTTGATGTTGTTTTATATATGTGTTACACGCAAAAACTTCAAGGGAAACATCATTGCACATTATTACACATAAATAAACGAACCCCGTGAAGCTTATAAGTGACTTTTACATCCAAATCAACAGTTTACAAAGACCAGATAAAGACCTGAAAACACGAGTTTTTGATCACGGTTTATACGTTACTGATACTTTCAGAAGTATCCTTTACCGATCACACATAATAAACTTACTCAATCACTCCAGGATTCATAGTCTAGTGCTCGAAGCGATAAAAACAATGGTAATTTAGTGTACATTTAGTGTTGATTCTCTGAACCAATCAAATCGAGGCAATTTTGTATGGCGTTCACCGCAATGTGTATGTCATCTTCTCCGAGTGAATATGTCATATTACGCAGGTGAATATGAGGTATCAACTATATCATATTTCAATGCGGAATATGCCATTCTTTTGCGGAATATCTCAGATACCGCAGGTGAGTATACCATATTCACCATAAATGTATGCCATATACTGCTTAACAATGTTTGAAGATTCAAAATCAAAGGGTTTTGGATATTTTCTTGGATGAAGAAAAGAAGCATTCTAGGATATTTTCAATTAAATACGAACTCCTATGCAGTGTCTCGGTATAGACACTGCGGCGGGCAGATTATGGAATCCCCAAAATTTGGGGAAGATAGTCCTCCTTTTTGTCACAGATGTACTTGTTTTTCACACAACTTATAAAATATATGTTCTTTTATGTTCACCAATAATTATTTTGTCAAAATATTCCAAAAGCAATGAAATATAAGAGGAAATACCCGCGGAAGGAATTCTGAGTAAAAGTTTTGTTGATAAAAGTTTACCGCACGTGTTGTTTATTAGTTAATACGCGCAAGTCAACCAATGAAATTGTCTAAATTTTACAATCACGCGACCGGAGCATGGGACTAAAACCAATCACGTCAGTTGTTTATTACGATGTTACCATGCTTACGGTGAGATACCTGCCCGCCGCAGTGATATATCACTGCACGGGAGTTCGAATTAAATAGTCTTGGGAGATTTTTTCGCCATCTAGCGACGGTCCTGAAGGCCATTATTCTATTAACATTAATGTCAGATGCCAAAATTTCGTCTTTGCTTCCAAAGCTCTTTGTCAGACATGCCAGGGCACTCTTAAAAATGTCAATAGACATGACAGAAGTTCACCCCCTGAAAAATTTCTCAAGTGAATACCAGTCAGCCATATACCAATTAGGCTACGTATCTGTGTTCATATCCACAATTCATGTCCGTGCACTCGTTTTTACCGATGTATTACATATAAATTAAAACTCATATATTATAGTCCTCTCCCAATTTCTCATGCACTTCTACATTGCAGGTCCAGTGGCAAGCTTATTGACCAACAAATTTGGATATAGATCTACTGCAATGTTAGGTGGTATTTTGTCAGCTCTAGGATTAGCCACGAGCGCTTTTTCAACGGACATATACCATTTATATATTACATTTGGGATAATAACAGGTAATTGACCTTACATTTATTCATCTGTAATGCCGGAAATGCTGCCAATACAATGCAAATTTTATTTTTTATTTTCATATTTTTGAGCCTTTCTATAACAATGTTATCATTATCTTTATAAAATTTACCATTAGTTCTTACAATTGTAGTACCCGTCGGCATTTTCATATGAAAAAGCTCATAATAGATAATTAGTTTCATGAGAGTATTACACTGTGCATGAACGTATTTCTTAACTGTGTCTTACAGTCAAATTAAATAAATAAATTTTCTTTGCTGAAATAGATAAATAAACAGGGTAACCTAGTATTAATGTGTAGGCCTAATAAAAACGATTTGTGTCATGTGAGGTTCAAGCCGATGTATCACACGTCGCGGCCAATCACCGATCACTAATTGACCGTAAAAAAATGTAAAATGTAATGGTTCGTAAATGTAGACCAGCCTTGTTTAAAAATCAAAAAGGACTTTTAAAATAAATTGGATTGAACCGAAAGATATGAACCTATATAATGAACTCTCTCGAATTTTGAATTTTGTGTTGCAGGCAGTGCCTCGGGTATCGCCTACATTCCAATGATTTCTGTGCTGGCCACTTACTTTTCGAAGAACTTAACGCTTGCAGTTGCCATTGCCTCATCGGGTGTGGGGATAGGTACCTTTATATATCCACCCTTGATCATGGGTCTAGACTCAATGTATTCGTGGAGGGGTTGTACGTTAATACTAGCTGCCATAACCTTAAACATATGCGTCTGTGCAGCCATTATAGCACCTAAAAACAACCCTAATAAAGAAATAAAACCTGCACCATCGACAGAGGATAATTACAATGTAGAGAGGGTTTGCGACACCAGCATATTCACTAATCTTAATTTTACGATCTTATGCATGAATCAGCTTCTCTATTGCTTTGGACATTCAATCCTTTATGTTCATTTTGGAGAATACGCCATCACAATGGGCGTGGAAGAGGACCACTCAGTGCTATTATTTTCAATAATTGGAATATCAAATTTAGCAGGGAAAATTATACTTGGAGTAATATCAAGATTTAGTTTCGTGAACTGCATACTTTTATATGCGCTAACAATAACAACAGCTGGATTATTAATGCTAACCATACCGATTCAAACTTTGTATGCAACCTTAATTGCATCCTCAATAATTTTTGGTGTTTGCTCTTCAGCATTCGGGGTACTCCCGCCAGCTATTGTATGTCGGTTTCTTGGACAAAACGAACTTCCAACGGGGTATGGAATTTTATGTATATTCTCCGCAATAGGTATATTGCCAGGAGCCCCCATAGCAGGATTGTTGTTTGACTATACCAACCATTACATGGGATCGTTTTATCTTGGAGGCTCTATGATAGTCATAAGTGGGATTAGTATGGTTATTCCTTATATCAGGACACGTCATAGATTATCACATGAACAGCGTGCTATAGATGGCACTGATTTGAAAAAACAGAGTCTTCTAAATGTTTCCGCTGATAATAATGACAATGAAATCCTGACGAATATTGCTTAGGGGACTGACAATGTCAATGGAGTTTATTTTTGAAGATTATGAATATCTGACCTTTTTTTCATATGTGTTCTTTTGTCGACCAAAAAGCATTTAAAACACTAACGTTAGACATATTGCTTCATGTTTACGTGTAAAGGCAGAATCAGGGCTGGATGGGGTGACAAAATTGTAAGCAACATGGACCTACCAATGTATTCTTCGATAACATAAATTGTTTAAGGATTTAAGCCTCGTACCCAGTGCAATAGTCCTTAAAAAATTCTGGAAATTTTACACATCGTCAATCTAATGATCACTTTTTGAATGGTAACAGTTTAATTTGGAAAAAATTAGAATTTAGAAAACATATCAGACACTTCTTTTGTTCTTGGTATCATATGTTCGGAATGAAATGAAACATCTATCCGAATCTCATTGGAACAAAACGTCATATACACAACGTCTTTTGGTCTCTCAATTTAGTAATTGTACAAAGGAAAATTTGGTTGATCTAAATAAGTGTCTTGTTAATGAAATAAAAGGTTTACGTTAAAAATTTGTATCTATTTTGTGTTTTTTTGTTTTAATTTGAATACATTTTGTTCAATCAACCAAATTTTCCTTTGTATAACTATAATATTGAGAGGTCTAAGAAAATGTTGTATATGCTATTTTGTTCCAACAAGGTTCGGAAAGATATGTTATTTCATTCTCAAGAATTGGTAGAAAAGAACAAAAACAATTTCAGTAAAAATCAAAAAACATTCAAAAACATTTATAACAAAATATATCTAAATAATTTTCGCATTAAGTTGTTTTCAATCAATGACCATTATTTTGCATAAATGAGAGTGTTTTTTACAGAATGTTTTCAATAATTGGTTTAAAGGAAAAACAATGTTGAATTCAGTTCGCCATATCGATACCAATCCTTTGCACGAGATGATTGCCTCGTGTGTTAATTCTTAGGAAACAATGCATTGTTGAGTCTTGGGCTTAAATTCTTTCACACATTGCAAAATATTTCATACAATATCACTTGAAATACATGAAATGACCCATAAGAATATATTTTCGGGGAAACCTTTTGCAAGAGTAATTGCTGTTTGTGTTAGTCGGTATCATGGACCGTCGCCATGACAACAATGCAACACTTACCATTTAACCTGTATTAGCACGTTATTCCTCATGATACCATTTATAGAATTTTACTGTTTATCGGTTTCATTAGACTTTGTCTATTTATGTAACAATGTCATACTTTCTCATGATATTCATGATCGATTGAGACTTGGAGGAAATAGTTTCTTGAGTTGTAATCTCAGAGTAAAGATATTGAGTTCAGACTGCGGATTCCACTAACTGGGGTTACCAAAGTTCATTGATTACTACAAATGTCTATCATGAATACAATGCGTGTATCACTGTTTTGGAATCTTCAAATGAGAATGGGAGGGTCATGATCAAAAGGTTTAACATGTGGCTGAATGGGAAACATTTTAGGTGAATTTAATCATAATATAATTAGAGGTTATGTCACTATGACGTGAAATATGCCTGAGTTCTCCCAATATAGGCCGACCTTGGGAGGCTCTATATTTGGGCAAGGACGAAGGCATATTTCACGTCATAGTGACATAACTGATGTATTACATGCCTTTGTTCCCATGGTTACTTTGTATCAATGACGTGACGTCATGATATTATCATGGTTATTAAAGAAATCTAATATCAAAACGAGGTAAGCAGGCTATATCGGGGTAATCGGGCAATATCGGTGGATATAGCTCGCTAACTTTCCCATTGACTTCCATACAAATGCTTCGCTAGGTATGTAATACTCTCATCTATTGCCCCACAACAATGACTGACAGAATATTTATAAAAAAATTTAAATGTTGCCTGGAGTACCAGTTGTTTATTTGTAGTGCACTTTGTGTAGATGCAAAATAATAATTATTTTTTTACTACATTTGCTCTAGACAGGACTGAGAAGATGGATGAATGGTAGATATACCACAAGCAATCTTTTGTTACTGCCTTCCCGGGGCAGCCATTGTGGGAAAACAATACACAAACTAATTTGAATCAGTTCAATTGGGGTGTCCTTGTTTTCTTTCGCCGTATAGCGTCTGTGTATAATGTAGGCCTAACTGTCTAAATATACAACTCAAATAAATAATATATAGTACACGATATAAAAGCCCAGTGGCGTTTGCATTAACAGGTTTTACTGTTTGTTAATTCGTTGTATTTCATCATTCATCACAGTCTGAACGAAATCGGCATAGCGGTGCATCTAGGCTATTCATACAAAATCGACAGCTGCATGCGCTGGCAGAATAGGAAAAAAATCAATAAACGTACAAAATGACTAGAAATTGTTCGAGGAGAATCAACTATGGTTGGCTTGTTGTTGTTGCTTCTATGATCTCACATTTATTAATTCATGGAATAAGTTGGTCCGTTGGGGTGTTTTTTGTTCTTTATCTGGATGCATTCAAAGAATCCAAGGGAGTTACTGCTTGGACGGGCTCGTTAAATACGGCATGCATGTACGGCATAGGTAAGACTTTAAAGTATAGTTTGTTAAGGGTAATGGAGGCAAGGGGGTGTCACTTGACCTGTAGGTGTTTCCTGGCACATCTTTTGTAGTGGGACCCGTTCCACCATTTTTCCTTTTTTCAGCCACAGATTTTGTAAAGAATGAATGCTAACAATTACAATCCAATAGATTCTACACAATCAATCTCGTCAAAAGATGAATGCTGAAATTAAGTTGACGAACCACTTATATTATTGATACATGTATATACACACGAGTCTTATAATCCATTTTGTGAAAGATTTTGCCGACTTGCCATTAAAGAGGTCCTCAAATCATATATGAGTACAAATAATCCAAATCAAACACGTTGATTATCAAATTACCTATCAATATTTCAAAGCTCGTCGAAAGAGATTACTGTGGTCCCGGGGCTGGAGTTCTATATGGCTGCCTCGTAGATAGAAGGCGTCCAATTTTATATAAACTAGCAGGGTGATAGTTGAGGGATAGCTTTGATCATTTTGCACCAAGGTGACTCAGGAGCAAATTTTCAAAAAGTATGCCCAAAGGACGAGGGAAAGTATCGCAACAGATTTCAGACAGATACTGTATGTCAGGCCAATGCATTATCTCCAGGAAAAGCACTCATAGAGAGATGATAAAATAATTTTGACTTTGAAACAGGGAAGATGCAAACATGTTTTTTCTGAAATGTTGTCCTGATTTTCAACCCCTTCCACCCTTGCTTTTTCGATTTTTGTTGCATCGATATGTTGCGTTTTGACACACAATTAAACCCTTTAAATCTTCAGAAAATAGCCAAAAGCCAATGTATGACTGTCCAAAATCTGTTGCGATACTTTCCCTCCTGCTTTTAAAAAGGGCCCAACGTTTTTCCCGCAAAGATGTTTTTGAACACCCTCCCTTGCGAATTTTCATGTCTAATAAAAAGTGAACTTGGAAATAACATTCTTAGGAAAACTTGTGCTCGTTGTCAGAATAGTTGGAAAGAATAGTTTACAACACTTATGTAGCCCAGTGCAGCTCAAAAGAAATAGGGACAAATCTAGGCCCATGCTACTTAATGAAAATTTCAGGCTCCCAAACTTATGGAGGGGAGTGTAACATACAATCACAAACATGATATCAAACGAGCCAGCATACTTTATATAACATAAAGAATCCTATATCATTCTCTATTGAAAATTTAAAGCATGATTGCATGTATTAACCCATTGCTTCACCCTCGTGCATTATCAGAATGAGTTCGTACATTTAATAAAAAATAAACATTTAATAAGACAATAGTTTTCGATGATGGTCTTGTGTTCGTCTTTTAAATCACGACAAAAATGCATTGCTCATATTTTATAGTTCTTTCCCAACTAGTTTCTCATGCACTTCTACATTGCAGGTCCAGTGGCAAGCTTGTTGACCAACAAATTTGGATATAGATCTACTGCAATGTTAGGTGGTATTTTGTCAGCTCTAGGATTAGCCACGAGCGCCTTTTCAACGAACATATACCATTTATATATTACATTTGGGATAATAACAGGTAACTGACTTTAAGATTTCTCCGGAGGATGATTTTCTTTTCTGAAATAGATAAATGAACAGGATGACCTAGTTTTCTCTAAATAACTTGTGTACGCAGGCATAATAAAAATGATTTACGCCGTGTGAGATTCAAAAATCGATGTATCGGCCACGATTACGGCCACCTGCCGACCGTAAAAATAATGTAAAATGTAATGGTTTGTAAATGTGGCCGCCTTGTTTAAAAATCAAGGACTTAAAAATGAATTCGATTGAATCGAATGATTTGAACCTATACTGTATATCAACCTTGCTTGGTATGTTGAATTTTGTGTTGCAGGGAGTGCCTTGGGTATCGCCTACATTCCAACGATTTCTGTGCTGGCCACTTACTTTTCGAAGAACCTAACGCTTGCAGTTGGCATTGCCTCGTCGGGTGTTGGAATAGGCACCTTTATATATCCACCCTTGATCATTGGTCTAGACTCAATGTATTCGTGGAGGGGTTGTACGTTAATACTAGCTGCCATAACCTTAAACATATGCGTCTGTGCAGCCATTATAGCACCTAAAAACAACCCTAATAAAGAAATAAAACCTGCACCATCGACAGAGGATAATTACAATGTAGAGAGAGTTTGCGACACCAGCATATTCACTAATCTTAACTTTACGATATTATGCATGAATCAGCTTCTCTATTGCTTTGGACATTCTATCCTTTATGTTCATTTTGGAGAATACGCCATCACAATGGGCGTGGAAGAGGACCAGTCAGTGCTATTATTTTCAATAATTGGAATATCAAATTTAGCAGGGAAAATTATACTTGGAGTAATATCAAGATTTAGTTTCGTGAACTGCATACTTTTATATGCGCTAACAATAACAGCAGCTGGATTATTAACGCTCACCATACCGATTCAAACTTTGTATGCAACTTTAATTGCATTTTCAATAACTTTTGGTGTTTGCTCTTCAGCATTCGGGGTACTCCCGCCAGCTATTGTTTGTCAGTTTCTTGGACCAAAAGAACTTCCAACGGGGTATGGAATTTTATGTATATTCTCCGCAATAGGTATATTGCCAGGAGCCCCCATAGCAGGATTGTTGTTTGACTATACCAACCATTACATGGGATCGTTTTATCTTGGAGGCTCTATGATAGTCATAAGTGGGATTAGTATGGTTATTCCTTATATCAGGACACGTCATAGATTATCACATGAACAACGTGCTATAGATGGCACTGATTTGAAAAAACAGAGTCTTCTGAATGTTTCCGCTGATAATAATGACAATGAAATCCTGACGAATATTGCTCAGGAGACTGACAATGTCAATGGACTTTATTTATGAAGATTATGAATATATGTCTTTTTATTTCATATTTATTCTTTTGTTGACCTTCAAAAAGTCAAAAACAGGCCTCCGTAAGATAGCTTTCAATCTTTGGAAACACTGAAGATAGATATACAGTATTGCTTCATTTTTACTCGTAAAAACCTGGATGGAGTGATGGTTGGATGTTCACTTGACCTACCAATGTATTCTTTACCATAACGTAAATTATTTAAGGATTTAAGCTCTGTATTCAGTGTGGAATGTCCATTTCATGAACGTGTCGCTCTCCAAAATTTGCACGAGATGCTTGCATCGAGTGTTAATTTTAGGAAACAATGCCTGAAAGGAATGGTCATTCCACAATGCATTGAGTCCTGGGCTAACATTCTTTTCACACATTGCAAAATATTTTATACAATATCACTTAAAAGATATGGAATGACCCATAAGAATATACTTTACAGGAAACCTTTTGCAAGAGTCACTTGTGCTTGCGTCAGTTGGCATCATGGATCGTCACCATGACACTACAATGCAACACTTACCGTTTGACCTGCATTAGAACATTGTTTGTTATTATTCCTTATTATTACCACCTTGCAGGGCCTGTTCTAGGGGTTTTAGTACTAGTTGAGAAGACATTGTAATTGCTATATTGACGTGAGCAATATTGTGTCGGGCGTTAATGACTTTAGTCGAGCAATAATGACATTATCCGCCCGGCTATGTTCCCCGGGAAAAGTGATATCGTTCAGTGCGTAAGATTTTCTATTTCAAATTTGCTATTTCAGCCCTGGGCATTAACGGTGGTAATAATAGTAATAACGTCATTTCTGCGGGCAAAATAGTGAAATATTGGACCTTGGGCCTGCGGCCCTTGGTCCAATATTTCACTATATTGCCCTTTGAAATGACGTTATTGTACTATTATACTATTTATAGAATTTTACTCAAATATGAACTTTATTTATCGATTTCATTAGTTTCAATAGAATCTAGAAGGAGTGACCTTGGGTGAATTGTTGGTTATATAATGGAATGCAGTTACGTGAAATAGCGTGTTCAGATTGGCTGGTATTGGACACACCTTGCTAAAGCTATGTTCACACCAACGGCGCTTTGATGGCGCTTTAAAGCGCCGTGCAAAGCCGCTATGCACGCCGTATTAAAGTGCCATCAAAGCGCCGTTTGTGTGAACTTAGCTTTAGGCATACTATCTGGAGAGAGGATATTGTTGTTCATTAATGTTCAAGTGTGCATTTTTATTTTCCCCTGTTTATAGATGGCAGTTCTTGTTCGTGTCAACTACCTGGTTCAAATCTACCTCAAAAAGACAATTGACGGTTGTCGAACGCGAACTGCAAAACCAATGTACAATAATTACCACGTCTTTTGTGAAACTTACGATCAGATGATCGGTTCATGTTCTGCGATGCCATATAAGGTAATATAATGATCAATGTCTCTCGTCTGATGATTAAGTTTAGGTCCATCACAACCAAGACGTTTGTCGACAAGAAACAAGAAGTAGTAATTATGTCAAAATCATCCCCTCAATTTTCACTACACAATATAAAATAATTGCTCTTGATAGAACGAAAATTATAATTAAAAATAATTAATGCCAGTCGTTGTTCTGGTTCAACGACGAATCGATTTGACATTTGATAAGAAAATCAATACAAAACATGTTCAAAACTTGAAAACTGACAGAAATACCATTGTTGCCTTTAATCTGTATTGCTGTTGGTAACGATACGGATGGGAATTAGGAAGTGCTATTGAACAACAGCATGAATATATCGGCAGGATTATAACAATAGTGCATAAATATTTTACTTGGAAGATTTGTGCATACTTCAATTGGTAATCAGTTTGATAAATTAATGTAGAAACTTGATAAACCTTTTTGTAAGTATTAATGATACTTTTCCAAGCAAACAATTCTTGTTTTCTGAACAAGCGCACTGTCGAGATTGAAAAAATCAGAACAAACTAACTATACTTACAAACTATAGTGAGAAATAATGAAGATTAAACGTTTTGGATACCAATTGCATAACTTGTTATTTTGTGCGATATTATTTGGTCGTACTTTCTCGCAAGAGACCCCTAAAGACAATACGACTAATGGGCCTGGTTCCGCAAACGCAAGTGACGTTCAGGAATCTGATATTCGAGTTAATGATTCGGGAGTTGCAGCCACGAAACCAAAAATTGATAAGAATGACACGGATATCTCGAAAACACCTATTATTAATAACACTGACATACCAGATTTGACTAAAAGTAACACTACAAACAGCAGCAACAATACAACAAAACAATTGCAAAAACCGCGGATGAAACCTCCGATTCCATCCTGGTGCTACCTGAAAAATGTGAGTTTTGGCAGTGCACGTCCAAAGCCTTATACCGAATTTACACTGGTCATGCAAACCTTCGTCGCGGGAATCCTGGCGTTATTTGGGATTGTCGGTAACATTCTAGCCTTTTTTGTTCTCTCGCAGGATACCGTGAACACCAGTATTGTATTTCTCCAAGCACTGGCTGTTTTTGACACACTTTACCTCTTGGTGTATTTGACATTTGAACCATACCATTTCGTATATTTGTTAACATCTTGGCCAGATAAAACTAAGACTATCACACACGCAGTCCATGCTATTGAGAAGCATTATTCGGATAGGATTCTCCCCGTTGAGACGGCGCTCATTTGCATGAGTACTTGGACCGTTGTCATCCTCACGGTTGATCGGTTCATCGCAGTTTGCATGCCTCTTGCTGCGCATCGTCTCTGCACGATCAAACGGGCTGCAATTCAGATAGCTTGTATCAGTGTTTTATCGATCGCCTACAGCGTCCCAAGATTCTTCGAAAATGAAGGAACGGTGAGGTATCAACCTTGTCTTCAGGTATTCATGTATATATACGGCCGAACCAAACTTGGCGCGAATCTCTATTTCCGAGCTATCTATTCCGTTGTTCTTGGAGCTGTGATTCGCTTCGTCATCCCAGTTGTAATTGTCGTTGCGATGAACATACTCTTAATCCTCGCACTGAGACGATCAAGCAGGGAACGCCAAGAATTAGTTGGCAACGAGAACTTTAACAAGGAAAAGCAAAATCAGAATATAACACTGACTCTCGTTGCTGTGGCAACAGTCTATCTAATTTGCCTAATCCCTGGGATGGCGCTCGAGCTTATGAACATGGCCGCGTATTGGAACACAAGTATCAATACGTCCAAATTCCGAGAAGTCAGTAGCTTTTTGACGACCATTGCAAACGTTCTCTTGGTGTTTAACTCATCCATCAATTTCGTCATTTACTGTGTTACTAGAAAGAATTTCAGAAAGAATTTGAAAAAACGACTCAGTCCTAAAGTTAAAGGAAGGGTGAGGAAAGCTGGAAGTATTGGAAATTATACCGTATCGACGAAAATGTCAAACAGTTATTTGTAATGTTGATTGGATACTTGGATAGTAGTTCAGCTACAAACTTCTGTGACCCCCTCCCCTCTACTTGACTAAACCTTCTCATACAGTTATAGTGAGGGAAGGGTCACAAGGGCTTGTCGCTAGACTATTTGGACAGAAGCTGTTCCGATGGGTCCGAAGCTAGTCGGACCATTTGGTTGTCGGCCGTCTTAACGGAATGACGTTATAGCTAACATTTTTCACTTGTCTAGAACAGTCTGAAACTAACTGGGGTTAGTCTAATCCAAAATGGTGCATTGGACAAAATTAGTTTGATATCGATAAACCTCCGATTTCTGCTTAACCAAAATATGGATTCCAAATATTTCGCCATACTAATTAATTGATTCCCGCTTGGAAACAACTTACTACAAAGAGAGGCTCAAACATCTCGGAAATCGGGAAAAGGAAATTGCTCTTTTCAATCATTTTGGATGATCCTGCTATGAACCAGTTATAGCTGTTTAAGTCATGGTCTAAACGTGAACATCGCCCTGAATCTGCGATTAGGGAAATGAAAAGTAAATTGAAAAATACGTCGGAAGTTTGTCATTTCTTATTTTGTAGCATAAACAAAAAGAGAGCATTTTTCATATAGTTGCATGTCCCATTGTGTATCGCAGACATAGGGATACGTCCATTTTAACGGATATCCTATGATTTTTGAGGGATACCATTTTTATCCATGAGTGGATATCGCCCATCTCCACGAGTGAGCGCAGCGAAAGAGTGATTCGGAGTTCGGCGATATCCAAGAGTGGATAAAAACGATAGCCCGAGAAAATCATAGGATATCATATTTATCCTGATAAAATGGTAAAATATGCCTATCCTTAAGTTTCTGTATATAATTTTTTATACCAATACCTTAATGTTATGATACTTTTCTAGCCTTTTAAAAAGGTTTGCAAAATTCTTTGGCACACCTTGTAGTAACATGTTGAATTGGTAACACTTTTCTGCGCTTATGAGTTCTAATGGTTCCTTGTTTATTTTTAACCAATTTTCCATCACAAAATAGGTTAGGATGTTTGTTATTCGCTGGTGTAAATTATTGCCTAACAAATTATGTGCACGACAGATAAAATTTTATTTGAGATCAATTATTATTTATTTGAAATTCGAACAGGGTTATAAAACAAAGTGTCTATATTATGTGTCTCTGATAAGGCAGAAAAGCTCTTGAACCCCTTGCTCTCTTTGGTGGTTCGGTAAACGTACAGAAAACGTCTGTGCCCAGCCCTGTGGTATTTAATCGTCGATATAATACCTGCTCTTTTGTCTATAATTCTTAAATTGAAATTAAACGTTTCACATACCACATTCTTATAATATTCAGCAAGACTATAAAATTAGCCAAAGAGGTTTAAACTTTATACGGGGCCTTCTATAAGAGAAAGTATTATAGGAAGTTTTTCGTCCTCTCTCATGAAAGTGAAATTTCACCCGCCTCCTCCTTCATCGTCATCTTCTACTCTTAAAGGATTGCGTTTATCTTTCCTAAATCGATTTATTGATGCGTTTCATCATTAATGGCTGTAAAGTTTCTCTCTAAGTGATCAAATATGATTCTATATTTTGACGCCGTGACATACAATATTCGTATCCCGGAATTTGGACGCCATCGTATCACTCGTGTTGACGTTTTTGAACTCACGTACCCTTAAAAACTATTTAAATTGCCAGAAGAGAACAATTCATTGCTCTCTATATTATCCAAATTTTGAATAAGACTCTTTCGAGCGCAATATTTTTTGTATATATTTCACTTTCAATTGAATATATAACACTGTGTACGCACGCTTGAGTTTGGCACCTAATTTGACACCAAATAACTTGATATTTTTGAGGCATATCATATTCTATGTACAAACGTCATTACAATAGATTTAAAACGGTGTATGATAAGCCTTCATTGTTATTGTAAGTGCAGACGTACAGAGACAAATTGTGTTTTGATGTACCATAAAAATCAATCTAGAATGTTTAGTGAAGTTCGACAAGTAAAAATGTTATGTTTGCCTAATTGATGAATAAATACATTAAAAATGAATTAATACTGTACGATGTCATTTTGATTTATTCGCAAATTAAGAATTAGAATTTAAGTTACAACAATAATGGGCAATATGAGCGTATACCATAATTATACTAATCACAATAAGACTACCCGGATATATCAAGTTACCAGATAAAAATGTTCACTATTGGGTCTATTGGGTTGAACGTCTATCGTGCAGGATCGTATTAATCACGATCACTATAACGAAAATTGTGGCCCTCGCTCTGTTTAATGAATTTTAGAAAAAAAAACAAATAGCTTAATTGATATTTATAAAATAATTTGTATTTCTCGTGATATTATTTTAATCCACTCGTTGATATCAATATCTGCACTCATTCGCTACGCTCACTCGTCCAGATATTGATATCAACTCGTGGATAAAAATGATATCTCTCAAAATCATAGGATATCCTATACATATCTTTTAAGTTGGCCTTCTCCATTATAGTCTATTTTTCATCTCTAAATGGCTCAACGTTTCCAATTCAAATTTAAAGCCTTTATTTTATTTTCCAAATACTCCATGCAATATCTGTCACGTACGTACTCGGTTGTGTTTGTGGTAATACCCAAAAGACCAACCCACTATGTTTGCTACATAGAAACGACTCACATTAATCTAGGTTTAAGATCATCTATTTTCCCCAATCCCACAACAACCGCTCCAAGGGGTTGATATTTCAGAGATTATCACATGATCTATAAAGTGTGAAAAATAAAATGCAAATAAGAGACTCCAGTAAAGTCACTGGTGATCCACTCGATTACGCTGGTTACCAAAACGAACCGTTTTGGTAACAAAATGTCGGAACGTCGAAGGCACGATTTTTCTTTTTTCCTTATTTCACTCGTTGTTGGCAGAATCCCCACGACGTTTTTTCTCACAACGTGCATCAGTATCATATGTTTTAGAAAATGTACATGTTTGCGGAAAAATAGCTCAGAGGACAACAGAATCTTCCATTTACTTCCTCACTTAAGTTACATAAACGGTTTTTCGAAAAACAGTTAAGATCTGCACTTTTAACCCAAACCGTTTATGTAACTTAAGTGAGGAAGTAAATCGACGATTCTGTTGTCTTCTGAACTATTTGTTCGCAAATATGTACACTTTCTTAAACATATGATACTGATACACGTTTTTGTTAAAAAATGTGATGGGAATTCTGCTTACAACGTGTAAAATAAGGAAACAATAAATAAATAAGAGAAACAAATACATTTGCACTTTATATAGAAACTTACAAAAATTGATACATTAAAACATAAAAATTGATACATGATGACAAAACATTTGACCAATCAAGGAGCTGCAATTTCCACTGTCTATGATATCAAATACATCATTTTAACAAACAATGTTTACTATATTTCTATCACATTTTGTTTATTTTTTAATTTTTGTGTGTTTCTACAGGTACACAAACTATTTGTTTTTAATTTTTATATGCAAATATTTAGTAGTACTGCAAATATACAAAGTAGATAAAATACATTTGTGTCCCATCCACTGTTACATAATTTACTAATTATATACATAAAGTTTAGAATGCAGATACTGTTTTACTTTTAAAAGTTGTTCATTCCATCAATTTTAGTCAAGTAATACAAGGTGAGATGAATTTTTTAGAGACCCCGATTTGAAATGCAATTTTGAATGTTTTTTTATTTTAGAGTATTTCAGGATTGGAGTTAGAAACTGACTGAGCCTTTTTAATCATTTGCTACATTTTTCTCAGTTTTTGTTCATGCAGTTCTGAACACAAAAAATAATATGCTAACTGTGAGACAATATTTTAACAATCACGACCAGCATGAGTTGTTAAGGGGATCCCACAGGGGGGGGGGGGAAATCCATATGGTGATTAATCCACTGGCATTTAACCCTTTGGGAGCCCCTTGAAGGTAATAGTAATACATGATGAGATTACAGAACAGCAGACACTATAAGCCTTTCACCTTTAATTATTCTTAAACTTATACAGAATTCTATCATCAATATAATGTCAGACAATGTGGAAATAATGTCACCGTGTAGCCTGGCTCTTTATAAATATTTGATTAACAATAACGATTGAATCCTGAAATTTAATCGTCTCATGGCATCACTATGGTAATATCATATCATGGTGTTGAGAAACAGTTAATACTTTAGAATATCAGAAATTTAGTCTTCAGTCTGATGAAAACCTTCAAAAACAATCAGGAAAACTGTCTTGGGGCTGTGCCTTACACTGGTTTCATCTTGTGTTATCAAAAGATTTTGAACACAATATATGACGTCAGACCAAGGAACCTTTCAGCATTCTAAGATATTTTGAAGTGCATTTTAAGCACTAATATGAAGTGATGTTGCATTGGGTGTTCGGACAGGAGTTGCTGCAGAGGTGGATGGTCGCATTTTCTCTCTTGGGAAGTAAGCACTCGGGGACAACGTCCAGTTGACAAACTTAGAACTTGGAAGGGGTGATGCACTGAAAACAAGAGAACACACATCAGAATTAATAAACATACGGTATACAGATACAGATAATACACATTTTTAAATCACAAGCACAATTTAATTTATACGCACTATTTTATTCATAAGCACTATTTGATTCAGAAGCATTATTTAATTCAGAAGCATTATTTAATTTCTATTGCTGTTTGGTATTTCATAGAGCTGTAATTATGAAATTTTAATTTAGATGTTTTAACTCTAATATCAATATTTCACAAGCACCTGACAACTGACATCTGACACCACATTATCAATGTTTTGATGTCATGTTATGATTTAAATCCATCCAAAATTGTGGAATACCATGGAGCATGATAAACAATACATGAAAATATACATTGGCATAAAACTCTACATTGTCAATTTAAACCATTGAATTTACATGTATTTTGAAGACATATTTTGGGCACAATGGCAATTTGATGTTTTAACAGTATATGCACATCACATATTTTTTATTTATTTTTTTTTTATTTATTAAAATCATATAAACATATATACATGTACATATAAGTGATAATGACACCCTAGTGGGTGTATGTCTTATCACAAGCTAAAATATTTAAAAATGGCATATTGTTAGTTACATTTATTATTGATGTTACAAAGTGTCTCAAAGTATAAATTATGTAAGCCAAACTGGGAAACAAACAAAAATAAAAATGATGTACATTATAAAAGATGTAATAAAACATTTACATCATTCTATGCAATGCTGCGCACCATTTATGCATTGTAGCTTTTCTGAAAGTTTAAGGTCATGACTTATATCACTGACTTACTTCTTCTGATTATTGGTTGCTATGAGACCAGTATCTGAACTAGTATCGGAATCTGCTTTATTCAAGATGGTGGATTCTAATGTTGCTCCAGCACTACCATGACGATCTACACCAGCTCCACCTATTTGACCACCCCAAGCAGACCTTGGTCCACGACGTCCTTTACTTGGACTGAAATTAAGCAATAAACATATGCAAATTCTGAGGGGCTATTTAAGTCAAATATTAATATGTCATTTGTATGTCAATTGAAATAAATTTAGTCTTTAGGAGCTCAGAACCATAGTTTTATTATGCTCAAGAACATATGTGAGTTCATAACCTCATTGATAATTAAAACTCAGTGATATATTTATAACTACTGATAGTTATTAGACAACACTGCGATATTTGGTGCTTGCTTGGGATGATACAAAATAACTTTGAAATCAATAACCCATCTATTTCTACTGACAATATACAAGCGGCAATAGTCAGCTACAAGTTCTAGATGAGTAATATACTGTGTTTTAAAGTTTTTAGCTAATTCAAATTAATTTTCAAATTGTTTTCACATTAAAAAGGCTTTCCCCATCATTACATCTCATGTTTATGAGACTATTTGTGACACATTCAAATAGATATCACAATTAATATTGGTAATTAGAAATTAATATATAGTTTCTATCAATTAATTGTTTATTGTTATTGTTATTACTATGAACATCCTCACAAAAAGTGAAAAGATAATTCATAGTATAATACTTTCAAATAAATTGAGCAGAGACTGGGAATGAAGATCTTATAAGATTGCAGGGTCGAGAGACTTCTGTACAATATTATGTACAGGGTGGTAAAAAGAATTGGAAACCATGCCGCTATTTTCATCATATCTTTGTCATTTTAGGGGTTTACTCTTTGATATTTGGCACATTTGTACTGCAGGCAAACAAGTTGCACTATACATGGTACATCAACGTATATAAGATAGTTTAACCAGTTGATCCAAACATCAATTTTACTCAATGAACATGTGTTGTTTTACAACATCAAACAACTACTAAGGGGTGTATGGTACTTTGACCAATCAATCTGAAATCCACCTTCCAACACATTCCAAACACCAATTCTACTACATACACAACATGAAACAATCACTATTATTAAATGCTTAGGTAAAACATCAATGTTTTTCCTGGTGAACACATTCATCAGACCCCTCTATTACATATGTTAAATCTTATCTCACACTGTAATAACATCACCGTCAAAACATTCAGATTTTTTTATATATTCTAGCTATTCACTCATTTCCCTTTGATTTCATAGCTTCAAAATAAAACAAATATTTCATTCTATTTACCCCAGGTCAGTTATTCATTTTATTGACTATCAATCCAATATGCATGATGAATTATTTCAAGTACTACATTAAGTCTAAACAACAACGATAACGTAAGGTTGTATACTTGATGCAAGGTTGTATAGATGGTTGTGGCTATTCTGATGAGGCATTATGGGAGTGAGCATGCATTGTCCAGGTTTGATAAATGGGTGCTTTGACCTCAGGGTGGCTTAGAGCAGAGGAAAACATATGTCCATTAGACAGAGAGAGAATACATTTTGAATATATAAGACCCCATCATTATTAGGTTCAATCACATCTGAACTCAAAAACACTTTTTAGAATATAATGCACAAATGCCTCCAGTAGATATATATACTCTTTTTTTATTCTGATGATAACAAAAGATATAGTAACTAAATATTTAGAGAGATTTGAACAAATCATTACACAAATACATAAATAGATCTACAGATGTGGCATTTAACAGTATGTTAATTGCTATAATTTGTTCTTGCCCAAATATAGAGCCTCCCAAGGTCGGCCTATTTTGGGAAAACTCAGGCTTATTTTCCGTCATAGTGACATAACCTCTAAGTATTTATTGAGAAAGAGTTTTTCAAAAATTGTTATATTTTCTTGTACATGTATAATGATTCTAATTAGCTTTCTCCGACTCACCTGAATTTGAAATCTGGTGGAAGACTGAAATGTAAAGTGGCCTCCCTTCTAGTTTTCATAATCTGCTTGTTAAAGTCCTTCCTCGCATTGCCATAGCCATTGAATATATGGTCACAAAATAGCAATTTTCCTCCCTCATACATGAGGAACATACCAGGGACTACATTATGTCGGCGTAGCAACAATGGTTGGGAGTGATCCGCCATCTCTGATGCAGTGACAATGTCATAGAGAAGCAGACGAAATGGGTCGTTACGGGCCTGCAGACAGGGCCTGGTTCTGTTCTTGCTTTTCTCTGAATATATGTGCTCCAACATTTCCATGCTAGGGTTGGCATGGGGGAAGCTGGAATCAAATAGCATACAAAATTGTGAAAAAAAAAAAATATATAAACCAAGTAAACAATGCTTACATGATAGTATGACAAAATGCTGCCACCTGGTACGTTCTTGCAAATGGTTTCAAAAGTGGTTTCAGATGCAGACCCAACAGCCAAATGTTAAATGCTGGTCACAGAATAGATCCCAAAACTTCAGATATACCAGCAGGCAACAGGCAAAATCATTTGTTACGGTCAAACTATGCATTGGGAATTCAGTTGTCTCATTAGAGGATACTTGGAATATAATTTGCATGAATGTAATCCAGATATGATGGTCGTTACGTATTTGGAAAATATGGCAAAGAAAGATAAGCCAATTACTTCACAAGCCAGACTTTAAAAACTGATATATCATCTTTCTTTAAACCTAGATAATAATAGATGTACTTCAAAAATGATAGGATTACATTTTTCAGGGTCACACCATCATATATATTTCAATTCTAAATGATAAGGTTCTAAACTTAATTTATTTCCATTCCCACATTAGAAAACTCAATTCATGAAAGAAGAGCCAGTTCATCTTCTATTTTTCTCTTTATAATATACTTACTAAGTTGTGACAATGCCGACCACAATAAGTTGTCTCTCGGGGACTTGGTGTCTCACAAACTCATCATACTCTATATCCTTAATGACTGGAACCTTGTGGCGTGTACACTTACACATCGGTCTTTCTTCACCTAGCATCTCAGCCCTGTTGGAAAATTTTGAAAATGAAAACAACAATTATCGGGGTTGTTGAGTTGTAGAGCAATGGGCACACCTAGAGTAGTTACAGAGGCTTTCAACATCACCATGGGGTCGTGAGTTCTAGATGCATGAGGTCCTTGCATTTATTCAATTTATATTCCATGTACAGTTCATGTAAAATCTGTCGAAAGGAAATGTTTAGACCAGCTAATAAGTTTAATTAAGGGAAATCAAGATAAAATGTAGTTATTAGATAAAATTGATGTATTTTGGGATTATTAGGATTGTATTTTCAAATTAATTTCCAGAAATTTTCAAATGAATCGGTCGAGCGGTTTCTCTCTAAATGCTTTTAAAGTCAAAAAGTGTAGGTACAATAAATCCTTACACTTTTTACTTGATGGTAAAGCATACATTAGGGAGCAAATTGCAACATTTCATTGTCCTATAAATTAGATGAAATTACATTATTGGTAGATAAAATCAGTGTTTATTTCACGCTGAGTGCATTAAATATTTTTTATGTGTGATCCAATACATTAATTCTTAAAAAATGAAGTGATTCAAAAATTAATAGCACTACTTCAAAAGTAATGAGTAAATTAGAACAACAAAATTACAATCCAATAAACAATAATTTGTACAATGCTTTAGAAAATGCTAAATTACTACTAAAGGAAACTCCCTTTGGGATGGCCAAAAAGGCATCATTTTGGCCAAAAAGGCATCATTTTGGTAGAGTTTTCAATACAAAGTAAGACTGCAGTTTATGAAATTTTATTATATTTTCCATAGTATTCAGACTCGCTTCAAATCCTTCCAATTTTTTAGTGTTGCATTTAACAGTTGACCCTTACCTGAGAGCAACTGGACACGTGCCTCTGGGTGGGGACCAGGTTCTTTCATGGGGTAAGGTTAGGGGGCTCTTATGGGGTGAAGACTGAAATGTTCTTGTCGTACCAGCAGACCTAAGGAATACAATATCACATTCAATTATCAATAAAATTTCAAATGTGACAGGGATATCCAGGTATACCAATGTTCTTCCTGAACTGTGTTCCAATCTTGAAATTAACCAATATTGCAGACTATGAAAGGTCAAAATGTTCATTTTTTCAATAATGTTCAATTTTTGATGACTTTAAAACCTCAACAACCAGGTGCAATTCAGATTTGAATTGGTCATTTTCAAATTCAAAACAGTGAACATAACAGATATACACTGCACAGGATGCATTCATATTTATTTATGTTTATTTTATGTTTGATTTATGTGCTTCACGTAACTCAATATCTAGGTTTCTACATATTTAAAATACCATAAATCACAATGTGATATTTTTTCAATAGTTAACATTCTGATGACCATCAATTATAAGTGCATTATCATTATGACTGTTATGCAATACTAATAACTAAGTGCAGATTGAAATCAGAATGATATGTAATGAGACATGCAGTAAATAAGTGTTACAACTAGCTAGTTGCAACCAGTTACTGGTGCCCCATACACTGTCTACCCCAGTTGATGTGTATATTAGGGGGTGGGGGTGAGGCAGGGCCTGAACTTTGGGCTAGTCGACTGGTCATTACAATAATCATGTTATTTGCTGATATTATCATAAGCATAAGGGCACAATATTGCAACAGATCTGAAAGCATGAAAGAAAAAAAAAAATTCATGAAGACTAGTTTGTTGTGAGACTATACATGTTAATCACTCACCCGACCAATGACCTTGTGTTCCCTATATTTGGTGTGGCACGAGACTGGGCTATGGATGCACCATCCAAAATTTCAGTTTCATAAACCTTATCGTTGAACTTCACTGAGGATTTGTTCAGACCACCCTCTGTGATTTCAGTCACTGAACTACCTGGACGATCTTTCTGCATGGAACCTTTACAAAAAACAAGAAATAAGTAAGTAACATTTTTTACAAATCAGGAAATTGATCCATGTGAAGTTTCTCATCAATTTAAAGTTTATTTGGGCCCTGTGTTGGGCTATAAGATGTTATTTTGGTAAATCTCATCAATAAAGCAATAATGCATTTCTTTTTGACAAATGCCATATTGCATTACAAATGCTCTTTTGAAACTGCCATTATAGGAATGCTTCAACATTTTGGAATGTCCCATTCAAATGATCAAGGGACACCTTATGTGTTTAGACTAACAGGTGTTCACCTTTCAAGGTCTTATTTATATTTGAGGCAATTGGAGATAACAAATTTAGGATTGAGAAAATGTGTTCATATTGAGAGGTGTTTGGATTATAGAGGTGTTTGGATATACAGTTTTTACTGTTCTCTATTTTCTTTTGTTTGCAACCCACCTGGAGGTGCAGATGGTGCCCTCTTCTTCCTTACAATATCCTCTCCGTCTTCCTTCAAGTCTTCAATCACTGGTCTTGATGATCCAATTGTTGATTTTGCGGATTTAATATCTCGTCTCTTTGTTGGAATATCAGGGGTGTCTTTAAGGTTGTGTGTTGGAACACTCATTCCTATGGCAATTCTGTAGTGTTCCATCCAATCCTCAACAAGGTTCCTAATTTAATACAACAACACTCTTAATACATTTTTGGTTGACATTAAAGGGACTTGCTTAAATAACAGTGTTTATATCAAAGGGACTTACTGCATGTACATTGATTCAATTATATACTGGAACAACTAGCCTTGCCTAAGTTGGTTTATTTTTATTTTTCTAATTTTATCTTGAAAATCAAGATAAATAAAACATAATACCGACTTGGGCAAAGCTAAGGAACAACTCTTAAGGGGTGATTGTAATCATTGTGGAGACACAATACGTTAACACAATTTTTTCAGCTTCATCACAATACAATGCTGATATAAAATTTAGGTCTGTCATTGGACTGTATTATCATTTTTACACAACTTTATAAACAGACAAAATAACAATCTTGGAGAAATTATCTGACACATACTTTATTTTTCTCTGGACCTTAATGAGATCTTTCTCAGCATCCACATCATTCATGACCATCTCTGGGAAATCCAGAACTTTCTTAAGCTCTGCAACACTTGTTGTTTTTTCCTGAAAAATACATTATAACTATGGTGTATATGGTTGGGATGTTTTGTGTATTGCCTATAGGCTAGTGAAATATAATTCTTTGTTTGGCATAAATTTTCTGAAAATATGAAATGAGCTCAATTTCACTTATACCACCAAAAGGCTACTTATGAAAATCCTCTACACTTTCTCATGATTTCGGAAATTCAAATATTAAAATGTATCTACATACTAAAGAAAAGGATAAAATCCTACAGTACATGTATAACCTGTATAAGTGGAACAAACATGTTTGGTGTACTAAAAAGAGTATTCCACATCACTGTTTCACCAACATGAATATTTAAGGTAAACGGGCAACAGGACATCCAAGAATGTTCTACTTATGGAGCTAATAAAAACGTTCCACTTTACAAGTTTTACTGTACTGTTTTTATTTTTAAATAATTGTATGCATAAATCATATTGACATCTGCAACTGAAGGCTAACATATAAAAATGTTCAAAACAAACATTTATGTCCATATTATTAACATATGAGTTTATACATTTAACACTTTGATAGATATCTTTATTTTCTTGAATAAGATACTTTTAATGTAAACAGCAAAGAGTTTAAATAACTAGGATTATCTAAGGCCAGGGTCATCTATTAAGATTGTTGAAGCATAAAAGTATGAAAGAATTTTAATATCTAGATGATAGGTAGATACATAAACTGGATAGTGGGGGAGGGGGGGGGGGAAGTAAGAAAAGCATTTTGCATAAAGAGGTATACCACATTGTCTACTCTTGATGCAGTACAATACTACCTTAATTTGAGGTGACTGACAATGAGGTGGTACCACATTGCCTTAATATGAGGTGACTGACAATGAGGTGGTACCACATTGCCTTAATATGAGGTGACTAACAATGAGGTGGTACCACATTGCCTTAATATGAGGTGACTGACAATGAGGTGGTACCACATTGTCTTGATTGAGGTGATACAATGTACTCATACAATGACCACATTTTATAGCTTTAAATAGAGATATGAGTAGATAATGATCCATAAAGAGAATGAAATATGAACTGATGCATGCAAACATTCAAATCCAACATTACATGCAAGAAGATTTGAAAAGAGCATGAGATAAAAGAACACTTAAATAACATTATATCATATAGTGAAAAACACATACATGTATACATACAAGGACATTATTCATCAGATACTCAAATACATGAACTGTATCTACAAGTCAAAAATAGTCAGGTTTGAGATTCGATAATATATCAGTAGATAAGTGTTGTTAATATAAGGCCAGGGTGAACAAATTCTATGCTTAACAGCATTTTCATTATTTACCCTAGCCTTAGAAAAAGGGCAACAAAGGGATGCCAAACAAAACATATTATAACAAACCTCTTTTGTATTAGCTAGCATTAATTTCATAGAATTAACCATGCCAAACTTTACTCCTAAAGCACTCGCAGCTCCAAGCAACTGAACAACAAAGCAAGCAATAATAACATGATGCCAATAAATCTACATTTAACATTGGGTTACAATTAACATTGGGTTATACATTGCGTTTGATCTGGCATTTATTTAAATATCAATACTAATTAAATCATAGATTGACCTTACGTCATTTTTGATTCAATTGATATTGAGTTTAAATAAAGATAGTGGAAACATTCTACATGTAACCTGACATTCTGTTCAACTATTTTTTTTCAAATAAAGGTTTACAGTCGACATTTCAGTAAATCATGCTATTTATCGCTAGTCCAACAAAGAAACCTGATTGCATCATGGAGATTCATGATTCCATAGTTTTTTTTTGTCTAAAGTTTCTACAGCATATGCATATCTTTTTACATATACTGGAAATTCAGAAATATCTATAAAGGATTATTTTGGCTGATGGACCAGGTCCCACCTTAAACACAGTAAAACTGCATTGAGCATGTTCATTTAAAGGCAACAGCATGATTTACTGAAATGGTATCTTAAAATTGTAAAAGAACATCTGAAAGCAATGTAAATGACAGACATTCCATTTGAGGTCTTAAATCTTTAGTCATGTATACTCCATAATAAACCTCAAATTAAAATTGTAATATCATCTAGAAAATTGCAAAATAATATGGCCATATTGAATTTCAACCATATAGCCATATTGAATTTCAACCATATAGCCATATTGAATTTCAACCATATAGCCATAACATGCAATGTGTTGTGCTTTGTGCAAGCTTACTAAAATTATAATTCAAGCAAAAGCAAAAATGAAAACAAAAATCTGGTTAATATTTAAATGAATTTAAACAAAACATTCAAAGTGATTGCATGCAGTTGGTGATTTCATAAATATAAAAATCAATCCTCAAATTAAAACAGAATTAATCAAAGTCAATGATTAAACAATTTACCTTGATGCTTTTTAAGTTGCCCTTGGGCTTCTTTTTCATTTCTTGTTTTTGCTGTTTGGAGGGTTTTTCAAATTCTTTGGCTGCCTCAGAACTAAAGGAGATTCCAGTCGATAGGTAGCCCTGAAATGACAACTCTAAATTAATTCCCGATAACTACATGTAGTAACATTCACCTCTTAAACAGCCATGAGAAAACATGTTAGGTCAATGATAATCAAGTCGAGTCATTTGTTTTGACTTGTTACATGTAGATCTTCATCCTATATAATATATGTACAGACCGTCATTTGAAATCATTGATCAGGGCACCCACCTGTACACATTTGAGAACAATTATGAAAAATACATGTATGTGATCTTGATTGAGAAAAATGATAATTTTGCACCACTTTGGAAAAAAATTCTTGGGAGTGCTCAATTATGATATTTTAAACAAAGTAATCAAGGACGCTGGGTGATACTAAATAATTCATACACTAATAACACACACATAATACAAAGTTTTAATTGTAGTCTACTATAGTTGATGAAACCACAAGAGCGTAACTGAATTCAATAAGTTATCATTGCAGATACTTACCAAATCTTGTTTAGATGGTTCACTGGCGCCATCTGCCAGACCCACGCCAAACTTCACATTCTCTTTTTGACATTGGAAGAACAACTGCATCTGTTGAAGGTTTAAGCAGCGAAACATCAGGTGAGCGCTCAACTGGAGATAAAACATAAAAAATAAATCAAAATCATGAATACATATATATTGTATTCACTCAATCTATTGTCTATTTCTACAATTATTTCAAGAATTATGAAAATCACTGACACAATTTTTGAATTTTAATTGTATTTGATGATGGTATTACTCACATTGAACACAATAGAAGCAGGCAATTTGCAAGAGTTCGGAGGCCACTTCCAGCGTTTAGAGATGCTGCCATCTATCTCTGAGACTGTACCCCCTTCAGGAGTTGCCACAAATCTGGATAATGGGAAATACATGTTAATGCCTCTGAATGCTTTGTTGTTGATCCATCATGAGGAAGATATATCAAAGGTCAACAAACTTTTATTTTTAATAAGACATATCGGTAGTTTAAATGTCACCTTATCACAAATTACCAAATATGGTTAGAAAAATGCAACAATTTGTAACAAATAATGAACGCTAACTGTTGATGAAATGTATATTGAAGATTGAAAGCTTCTTTACCTGACATTCCCATTGGCATGGTAACAAGAACCACGGCCTGTAGGAGTAAACACAGCCAGTAATTTTTTATCTGGTGTGTCATCATAGACTAGCGTATAGGTGCCTGGATGACTATTTGCTCCGGCACTGTGAATAATGGCTGTTCTTCCAGAGGGGTAGAATACAGTGGCTGATCCATCAGCTACTTGGACCATTAACAACTTCTTGCCTTCATTTGTTTTTTCAATTGCACTCAGATTTGGGATTCTTGGCTTAGCACCTGGAAATAAAAAAATATATGTGCTTTAATTTAACACTACCGTAGGGGGAAATAAAATGTTTAGTAAATCTATCTTATCAACATGTCAGCAAAATTAATCTATTCTGAGTAATCACCCACACTTTGAGAATATTACAAGAAAAAATATTAATTTTTCCTACAGCCTTCTTTCTAGATTTTAAAACACAACTCATATATCCCTGTACTTTATTCCAAGAAATATTGTTTTTTATTATGTACTTTTTGTACAAAATGATTCCTGCTGAAGTGGTTTGATTGATTCCTGAATAAATGATAGTCTATATACTTGAACAATCCATATTTTTCTTCCAGTTAAGAACTAAACCAACAAAAGCTAAGTATGACCAATAAATTAAAGATAACCGAAGAGAAAAATCTAATTCAATCAATCAAAACAGGAGTGTTTCCTGATAGGGTTATTAGATGAGTCACTTAGACCCCCTCCCTTCCAATCTTTGTTAAAATTCTAATGAACATTGGAATGGCAATAGAGAATGAATAACAAATAGCAAATATGAAAAAATCCCATTAAAATCATATTAATTTGACTATCACTATTAAAAATCGTACTTAGGCGATCTGCTATATTAACATACCTTTAGCTAATGCCGCAGATTTAGTAGCCGATTTTCTATATTTAGTCATTGCATCTTTCCTGGTATTGTCTCCATAGTAACGTACTATACTGGGTTTGCCCATCCCCTTTGCTCTGTCTGTACTTTGCTGCTCATGTCTTATGAAAAATAACAAAAATGGTTTCAAGATATTGAAGGTAAATCATGTCATTTTTGAAAATGTTAGGGGCAAGCTGATATATGAAATGATATATAATATATGTGGCAGATTTGTAAAATTAATATAAAATACATGAATTGTAGGCATAGATGGAAGCAATTTCTTGAAATAACAATTAAGAATTAAGATTCATGAAATTCATTGATGGAATTTTTATGAAATCATGTCACAATGTGATGGTCAGCTAAAATTGAGGATTCATAATTTTCGAAGTTTTCAAGAAACAGGCCTCATCAGTTTGCAAAATAATCATACTTTTGTTGAATGGAGAGCTGGAGTCGTTGACGTGCCCATTCTAATATCGTTTCCGTCTCTTTGTCGTCCCTGGAATCTGGTTGAATGATCCAGCCTAAAAAGCATAACATGAATGTATGTCACCATTCTAGTTTCTTTGAATTCTGTTCAAGTCATGATGAAGTAAAAAAAATCAACATACTACTGTTTTATTTTTAATTTTACAATGATGTTTATACATGTATGAGTATACAATGTTTTCTAAAATTGTGCAAAAGTTTCTAAAAATGTCACAATTCTACTATATTTTAAGTCATTATATTCCTATGAAGATCGTGTTTTTTCCAAAAGATGACATCTAACAGTTTTGATTTTTAAGATCATGTGACTTTTGAAAAAGACATCCCCTTTGCCCACCGAGTAAATTTAGCCTTTGTTCATCTTTCATCTCAAATAAGTCTCCCATATATCTGACTAGATATCTCAATTCCATTTGCTAAAAAAGACTTAGGGAAAATATTTACTATGCTTTGTTGCCTCTTTAAGAAAATCAACTTAGATTTTCATTTGTAAAATGATTCAAATTCTTACCTTTTTCTTCACATTGCTTGGAGGAGAGTTGGAAGTTTATAACCTGGTAATAACTGTTTCTTTCCTGGTTGGCGACTGCTACAAAACATAAATACAATTTGGTGAAATATGTGTATGATTGACATGTCCAATGTTCACAGAATGGAGAAAAAAGAGCATTATTTTTTCCAAGAAACTCTCCAGTCTATGCTTATATGTCTAGTCTTCATTTCAATTTGCAATATATGGCAGAACATGTTTTCTGTGTATATGTATTTGAATCACCTCTTTCAATTTGTGTCTTACTAGTCTCAAAGATGTATGTTAATAGATTCTCATAAAATATGAAAGACTAAAATCACAAAACCTTTCTTTTTTGATTTTTTCAATTTTTTCTTCTTTCCTAATGTCATTTGTGACTTCTTTCTTGTCTGTAAGTGTTGTAGTTTATCAATTTGATCTTCAGTTTTATCATTTAAATGAAGAAAATCAATGAGAGACTCAACAGTAACATCATTTTTCTTTCCTGTAGTATGTTTTGAGACATTTGGTAAAACCATTTCCATTTTCGATTCCCGAAGATGGTCATAATTTTCTGATATTTTCCTATTGAGATACCATTTTTGATACCAGAAATGTCCAGAATATACATGCGTTCTTTCTTCACTATATGTTTTATACATATCCTTCTCATATACCAGTTCTCTTCGGTTTACAGTCCAGTTTTCCGATAGAATGGAGCAATCATAATTCAGTATCTTGAAAAAACTATTGTCAGACAAACACAACGAAGAGAAAAGTGGTGGCCATTCAATCAGGAATTAATCAACGAGGGATATGTCATTCTTATATACAGAAATTCTAATATTACATTTATATGTCCTATAATATAAATCATGATAACAATAACATAATGACAGGTCCCTATTCTAATATACAGAAGGTGATAATTCAAAGAAACTAATATTGGTTGGACCAATTAGCAGAAGAAATTAAATGTCTTTTGCTATGCTACAATCTATAGGGAGTCAAGGACTTTATTTATTTCAGTAGAATGAAATTCTTAATTAATCACAGTATCTCAACAAGGAAATGACTGCGTGCAGAGAGATCAGACTTATAATTAAATTGCTTTTATGAATGAGAGCCCCTCATCTCAAGGGAGGTCAGATATACATTGTATGTCACGATATATTATTACAATTTTACAATTTGGCATCAAATGTTTGATAATATACCGGTACATGTAAACAAGCACATAGTTGAACAGCAATATGTGGATTATCTTAAATCCAATTATCCTGAACAATTAAAATAAGCAGGTATAAATCACATCTTGTATAATTTAAAATTATTATAAGCATACTGTAGAAGGCTTTTTACAAAAGCATTTCCAACTACAGTAGCACCTGTATATCTGAACACCTCCCAATCTGAACACTTTTTTTGGTTCCACTTGTTCCTCCCATTGACTCCCATGTTAAAAAAAACATGAAATGTGAACACCTCTCAATTTGAACAGTGTACAGTTATCTTTGAAAAATTAACCTGTCAAATCTGAACACTTTTCATAAGATTTCACATGTTTCATACAAAATTGCTCAAATATTGTTATGATATCAAAACTTTGGGAAAAAACTTGAATGGTCGTAATTATAATAGGGCTTTCCAGCATGACTAGATTCATTTGAATCAAATTTTCAAATTTCTGAAATGCCGTAAAGCTATGTGGTCAAATGAACTATAAATATGTTCAGAAAATGTATTCACATTTCTTCAGAATTCGGAATCACGTGAATGCAAAAACCTTGAAATGTGAACACTTCAATCTGAATGCTTTAACCTGGTCCAATGGCATTCAGATTAGACAGGTTTTACTGTATTGCTGTATACAATGTGAGCTTTCCCCATACATGACTTCTGCTATGAATAAAGGATTTGAGATTTTATGTTTACCTCGACTTCCTGCCTCGGAAAGCCTATCACTCATCATATGACTTGATACAGAGGCTGTGTCATCTCCTGGATGCAGATAATGTCTGTTTGATGATCGCCTTCCTTCATTTGCTAAAATAATATTTTTAATCATTTCAACTTCATACATTATGATAAACTGTGACATCTCATAATCGTGCCTCAGTCATCCAAAGGTATCACTATGACATAAATTTGCAAATAGTTGATATTCTTACATTCTTGAGAGGCCTTTTAATATTGGATATATGGAGTAGTAAAATCCATTTCCAAGGATGTAAGAGAAGGAGGTTTGATACTAAATATAATGCCTCACTTACACATTGAAGGATCCATTGCCTTGGGGTATTTTATTTTACAATGTAAATCTAGTTATTGTGGGGGCACATACTGTATTGGCACTACTAATAATGTAAGTAAAAAGTCAGCACTTGTTTTCTTTTTTTACAAATAGAAGCATCGTTTATGATCGTTTGACTGACATTTTAATGGGCCAATGAGCTTTTTAATTTTAAGGGAGTATAACTTAATTCTGGTATTATTAACATCATGGGCTGCCCATGTTAACATAAAACAAAAAATAAAATGGAAGCTTGCTGATAATACTGTTGTTCTTTCCCTAATATTGTCCAGGTGCTTTCTGAGCATGGGCTTCAACTCTAATTGAAAGCCCATGATATGATGAAGATCAACATGTAAAAACAATAGTTCATTACATTGCTGTAGTAAAATAACTTTGACTTACATGATCCTGCTCTGCTTTCAGAATGCACTGCTTTATACTTTTCTAGTCTTGTTTTTGGACCTGGCGCAGTATGAGGTTTTATCTTATGACTGTCCTTCCGACTAATTATAGATGGCACTTGTGACACTGCTGAGCCACATCTTCGTGTCTGTGAGTGGTCTTCTCTTATATTGTCTAAAGTTAACATATTTGCTGACTTTTTCTTTTCCATTTTAATATCCTCTCCAGCTGCACTATCTCTGTCTCTACTATCTTCACTTTTCACATCCCCAAAATTTTTTGGCGGATTAGCATCGTTCATAGCCTGAGTTTGCCATTCTCGATATGTATATTTAGCATCTGTAACTAGTTCTTTATGACTGCACTGCAATTGGTATTCTACTGACCTTGGGATACTCGGAGGTTCATCGTTAAACAAATATAAAAAGTTTGATAATTCATCTAGAACATTCCCTGAATTTATTTTTGCATCTTCAAAATAGTACTTTTGTGCATCTTCATCATTGTCTAGGTTATTATCCAAGCCTCCTCGAATGAGATTGAAAGACTGATTTATATCAGGTAATAACCCTCTCTTTTCAGAATCACTGTCATCATCCTTTTGAATGTTTGCCTTGGTTGCCAAATATGCAGCAACTTTTGGGTTTAAATGAGCAAACCTCAAACTTTGTGGCAACTCCTCGGCAGTCTTCCTGTACCGTTTGGGCGTTTTTCTGAAAGCAGTTTGCTCAAAGAAAAAAGCTTGAAATTTTCCCATTGTTGATGGTGTCAGCAGTTTCCTAGTTTCAAAACGTCAATAACAATTCAATTGTTCCCGCCATTTTTCCACCAATCTGCAATGAAAGTATAATACATTGTATGAACTCAATAGAAATCCAGCTTGTTTATTCAATTTCGAACGACCAATGTTTTAAAAAAAACTTTCGAAGAAACTTTGAAATAAAAATTTGTAACACTGACGACGAATTCTGAATTCCTGAGGCTGTACAAATAATCACGAATAAGCTAATATGATTCTTGAATTTAAAGTCCTTTCGAAAAGTTATAGATCTTGCTCGGTTTACATTCATAGAAAGGTAAATTTTGCGTTTTATAAACCTGATCGAAAACGGGCACTTGCTACTTTTCCGGCGGCCATATTGAATTTCCACTTCCGCATGAACCTTGTTGCTGAGCAACTGATGCTCTCCTCTTATTTTAGATAAAACGCTTGTATAAAATTCCTCTGTGTACCTTCCGAATGAAAAAAGAGTTAGTTAATTCTTAAGAATTCACTCTTTGTAAAGTTTTGCGTATATAACTCTGAGAAATAGGGAAAGGTATAATCACACTTTAGTATACAAAATCATTGCTAGGTGGCAGCACTTCATTATTGCTAATTGATTAGTGTTTTGTGCTGCCATCTTTCTATCGTTATCAAACTTTTCTACATGGTTTTATTTCCGGTATTTTGACCTGCTTGCTTGGATACGGCCCAAGGAGGATTGGCTCCCAGAATGCACCACCGATATTCTGTCCCATATATGGTAGCGGTGACCTTTGACCTCACAGGTTTCAAAATGGTTTCAAACCTGTCACGTGTCAACAAGGTCAAAGGTCACGCTACCATATATGGGACAGAATATCGGTGGTGCACTCTGGGAGCCAATCCTCCTTGGATACGGCCTAAAAAGAAGAAAATATCCTATAAAATGGATATTATGTCGCTCAAAGAGATGACAACAACAGCATATGCACCACCATCACTTACAAAAAACTTTCATAAATCTAACTATCACAGGTAAGTTATGTATTTCATTTGTTTGAGATTATAGAACAGAAGCTAAAAACTCTCCAAACTTACAGAAAGTTTTAAAAAGTGAAAAAGTTTGGGAAACTTTATCCTGTACCCAAAATTGTAGATTTGTATTGGAGCGTGCTCATTTTGACTGGAGCCTCTTGTATGAAAACAAAAAACTCATACATATGTACAGTTGGGCATTTTTAGTCTTCAGAATTATTTTACAAACAGTGATGTATCAAAGAACTCTTTTATATTGTTGACAAACTACAACACCAGCCCTGGTGGAGCTACCCCCATAAATGTGAGGTTATTTTGAGGTTTTTATTATTTTTGATATTTTTTTCTCAAAATTTTGAGAAAAAATGTCAAAAATAATTAAAAAAACTCAAAATAACCCCACATTTATGGGGTTAGGTGGAGCATACCGTACACCGTACCTGTATATAGAGATTTTAGAAAGCCCATTTACATGTATATTGTACTTAGGAGAGGCATCAAAAGATCAATGTCGGATAGAAAACTAAATAAATCTAGTTTGGGGGGAGGGGGTCAAAGCTATTTCAGTTTTCTATCCGACAAATTTCAACATTTGAATTTTTGGGAATTTCGACTCGAAATGCTAGAATGGTTTAAAAATAAAGACTTTACCAGATGCCTTCTTCACAAATATGCATGCAACATGGAATATTATGCCTATTGTTGTTGGCACGTGTTTTAAGAATCATGAACAAGTTATAGTTCTACTCCCATAAAAGTCCAAATTGAGTCGCAAAAACATGTGAAAGTCCGCGATCAACTTTCATTGTATTTAGTTTTGAGGGGGAGGGGGGGGGGGTCCAACTCAAAACTAGATTTATTTAGTTTCCTATCAGACATTGAACTTTTGATGCCTCCCCTTACATGTACTACTAATTGTTCATGTTTCTAGGTCGATAGCGAAGGCCCCTCTCACAGCATTGGTAGGTGTCAAAGTCGATGGGAGGCAACCAAAAAGGGTAGGTACTAAATACATGTGAGTTTCACTAAATGGATCCGAGTGAAATACATGTAAGGATATATCTGATTCTATAGACAGAGACATCTGATTTGGTCAGATAAAGTCAAAACTTAATGTCAAGGATACCAAAAATATCGGAAAGTCCAAGAGATAGCTTGTATAAATCATGAATTGATTTTAACATTTAAACTCAACGATTTGGATTTTGGATCAAATTATTTTTTTACAAATATATGTAATGTGCTATCAGAGATCTATGTCTAATAAAAGATTATTGGTGAAACAATAATATAATTCAACTGGTAGCATTTTTAGTGGTAACACTTAAAACTTTTTAAACAATATTTCAACTGGTAACATTTTATAAGATAGACTAGCACTTAAACTATTTTATACAATAATTCAACTTGTAACATTTTATAAGGTAACACTTGAAACGTCAATTCAACTGGTAACATTTTATAAGGTAACACTTAAAACGTTTTAAACAATAATATAATTCAACTGGTAACATTTTTAGTGGTAACAATTAAAATGTTTAAACAATATTTCAACTGGTGACATTTTATAAAGCAACACTTAAAGCATTTTAAACAATAATATAATTCAACTGGCAACATTTTTAGTGGTAACAATTCAAATGTTTAAACAATATTTCAACTGGTGACATTTTATAAGGTAACACTTAAAGCATTTTAAACATTAGTATAATTCAACTGGTAACATTTTATCTGGTCTTACCATGTTTGACCTTTTTAGTATCTGATCACCTACATATGTAGAAAAAATCAATAATCAAAACCATGTCATTGAACCCATTGCTTATGCCAGAAACATGCATAAATACAATTGATCACAAGTGGCCATGGATAGCTTTTTTCTATGCATATATATTTACAAAAAGGTATATTCATTCTGAAATGTTAATTTATTTTGTAGGATAAATGAAAGTGTTATTTAATAAATCTTTTTATTCCAGTGCCCTGACAGCCCCAGGCACAGAGTACGGTATAATGTTGGATCAACCAATAGGTGGCGTATACCCCAGTCACTGGGCAGTGACCTCTTAGGTTCTTCTCAGGCCCTTAAGTCCATTAATATACCCTACAATAGAAGCATGGTCAATATACTCACATGTAAGTATACCTGTGTGTGGTTACTTGAATTATTGAGGCTTATTCTATTTGATGAAATGTATTTGTGGATTTGTAGAGCTTCGTCATTTTAACTAGCAATGTGCCTTTAGTCATCTGTATGAGTAGCATCGTCAATTGAATACTCATAAGTGTACTCTGGTACTCACGATTGAAATATTAATACTTGCATTAATATATGAAATGAATAATGGAATTGTGGGAAACCTTTAAAATTGTTAATGTACCCTAAAACATGAACAAGCCGTATTTCAACAATTTTCTTTCCAAACAGCTGACAATCCCCGCAATGAAGTGAACAGAGATGTGAGTAAAGAGTACAGATTTCGGCTGACAGAGGATCGACCCTCATCTGACCCCTCCCCCAGGAGGGCTCCTGGGTACCTCCCTGAGACTAAGCGATGGAAGGAGATGCTGTATCTCCATGACTACAGCCAATCTGAACACAGTGGGGGAAGAAGTCCATCTAGCTTAAACTCCTTTCAGCCAACATCTTCCCGCCCAACCCAGCCACAGCAATTGTTCCAGTATCATTCCAGAGACAGCAAGACTGCATCGGGACCTGGTAAGAATATATTTCAGAATAGTTTTGCTTCAAGACTATGGACCCCCCCCCCCCCCTTATCTACTTCACTAGAACAACTTTGTTGGGAGGTGTGTAGGTTGGGGAGGTGGTGAGCTTAGAAGGTCTTGTAGCTATAGACTTACTTCAGAATTTTATTCTAGAGCTTACATTTTGCAGATGAAATCTATGTTCATTTTGGGCATCGTTTTATGAATTTGTAAATTTTGTTTTACTTAAAGGGACAATTTCTAACATAAGGTAGTTTTTTTAAAAGTTTTCACCCTTCATGTGTACACATAAATTATTTGATCACTTTTCTGAACTCATTGACAAGTGACCTTCAAAATCAAAACATTTTTGTGAAATAAATTGTAGTCATGAACCTTTTAGAACATTTATTAACAAGATGTAGCAATTTTGAAAAGTAAACCTCTAGCCATTACTGTCCCCTTAATGTTTCACATAATATATTCAAATATTTTTCAGATGTGCTACTGCACTGCCTTGATATGAACTGGGAATTACACAGACCTTACCTACAGAAGAGTAGGGTTCTCTCTGCCCTTTTACACAAGGCTGGGGAACCCAAGACATACAATTACTTCAGAGATAGCACTGGGGAGGCTCTGGACAGTCTTGTCAACAAGAGCAAAATGTATAGCACTAAGAGTCAAGGTAGAAAATTATTACATTTATTTTCCAATATTCTAGGTCAGCTTTGACAAATGTTTGATATTGTTTTATGTGTGTTAAATCATTGCTTGGGATATTGGGGTATTGTTTTCCTTACACGTGGATGCGCTCTCATCCTTTAGCATATTTTGTTTTATCACGCTTTTATTATTTATTTTGGCGTGGCATATCTTGCATCATGGGTTTTCAAGAGAAGCCCATGCTTGCACATATTCATTGTGATATCATGATGAGGCCTCTCCAAACAACAGACATAATCCTTTTGAACCATCATTATATTAGGGTTTTATACCCTCTATACATGCATTCAAAATGTTTTTTTACCTTTAGTCATTTCGCTATTTTTTCTATATTCTTTCTCCTAATTGTTAGGGGTTTAGATGATCATTTATTGATTATTAGGTCTTTTTGTTTTATTTTAATGATGGTATATGTTTCATATATTCTATTTATCATGTTGATTGTTAGGTCTTTACCCAATCTGTGTTCATAATGATTGTTAGGTCTTGATGCAAATAGCAGGAAGATAGAGGTGAAAGGGGACCATAAAGGCCTTGCCAATAGTAGGCATATCTCACAGAAGAGAATGGCAAATGCCATCTTCCTTTCACTTGATATTGATGACCCTCTTGTGACTAAACATGGTTAGTATAATTTGGGACAATTAAATGCTATTTTTGAATAATATAATAATTTAATATATCCTCAAATAGGCTACTGAATCCATTGTGACGTTTGCACAAAATAAAAGGAAATTCCAAATTCATAAAATCAAAAACTTGAACTAGTTCTAAAACAATAAAGAATCTCATATATATATTATATTTAGCCAAACCTGGAAAACCAATAATTATTTATATTATACTTGTATATCAATTTCAGCTCTCGCTATTGCGCTAGGCAACCTTTATCATGACCAGGCAGAAGTTGAGACTGTTGATGTAGCAGGTGTTCTTGCAGCTGCGGCTGCTCTGGGCTTTGAGCAGCTAGAGACAAGTTGTAGACAAATAATGATAAACACCATATCCAGTTCAACAGTGGCAACCTACCATAAAGTTGCAGAACAGGTACAGCTCATAGCTAATGTCTTCTAAGTATACCATGTTAAACCCTTAAGTGTAAGTTTAGCATATTTGGCATGCCAATCCTAATAGTGTCATTTTCAAGTGTCAAAGCTGTTGGCTTCCCATATTCTCCGTGGGTGAAGCAAGGCATTATAGGCAAGGGAAGTGCCCCATGAATTTGTCAACTTTGGTTTAAAAATAGCATATTTTGGCAACTTTGGTTTACAATGAGCATATTTTTTTGCTTATCTGTTCTGACCATGTATTCTTGGATACCTTATTGTTTTCAGTATGGACAAGAAGAAGTTGTTTGTATGTGTGAAAGATGGTTAGATCTCAACCTGGTACCTTGGCTGAGTACACAAATACACCTGAGACAACTGCCCTTTGACTTACTTCAGAAAACACTACGTTCAAACAGGTATGTATATGTAAATACACCATAAAGTACATCTACTAATTAAATGCTTGGTATAGAGATGTGCATTATAGTAATTTTGATTCCAAATTTTTCAATGCCAGTCAAAAAGGAAATCCACCCAACTGTCCTTCTGATACATGTACAGTAATCTTATGTGTATTCCATTGTCTCATGAGGGAGATGCATGCACAGAAAACCTGTCTGAAATAACTGAGGAAATAATGAATAAACATATCACACAAGACCATCCAATTTTGAGTTTTAATTAGAAAAAAAATTAGAATAAATTAACCTTCAACGGTTTGCGGTATGACTTGGAATTTAGATGTGTCTTCAATTTATTCATTTTTAGATTGTTCTGTTACAATGAGAACTCACTCTACAAGGTTGTTGCTTATTGGTTGTTCCTGCAGCTGAACCCCAACATGCAACTCCTGCCTTCTTACTCTACAGTACTCACATACTTCAACAGGTAAGTTGGCTTACATGCACACCCCTCCCAAAAATTTAGCAAAACAGACTGCTTTATTAGACCATGTGTTAAGGCTTCAACAAAGACCACCGAGACATTCCCACTGATCCTTGGCATAGCTACAGTTATGCTTTGAAAGTGCAAAGTTAATACATGTATCTGTTTTCAATTTCGACAACAAAAACCGCTTTAAAACATTATTTTTTGCCTAATTTTAGGGGTTTTAGGATGAAAATTACAGCAATTAGCCCTTTAATGTATAATATCAATATTACTTGTTACATGGTCATGACCAAATATTCAATACTAACATATGTTTTACTTACATACTTACATTTAATTTGCAGCCTACCAAAGACCAGTGCCTTGTTAGAACGTCATGAAGGCCAAATGTATATACCCCTGTTTCAAGCCCTTAGGCTAGATGGCATCAATGACAGTAAGGATTGTGACTAATAAGTCATTGCAATGACATCAGAGAGTCAATAAAAGATATATACTAGAGGTTATGTCACTATGACGTGAAATATGCCTGAGTTCTCCCAATATAGGCCGACCTTGGGAGGCTCTATATTTGGGCAAGAACGAAGGCATATTTCACGTCATAGTGACATAACTGATGTATTACATGCCATTGTTCCCATGGTTACTTTGTATCAATGACGTGACGTCATGATATTATCATGGTTATTAAAGAAATCTAATATCAAAACGAGGTAGCGGGCTATATCGGGGTAATCGGGCAATATCGGTGGATATAGCTCGCTAACTTTCCCATTGACTTCCATACAAATGCTTCGCTAGGTATGTAATACATGTATATATAATTTACAATTGAAAATAAGACAAATTTTGACTTATTATAATTTCATGTTAAAACACATTCTAACAATAATCTTTGATTCTCACAAACTATAGTTTAGAGAAAATAGCGTCTCTGTCTTATCTGTCCTTTTTGGAAAAATAGAGACCAAGGTGCGCTTTTATCGTGATGGGTCTCAGTATAATATCTAAAATAGGCACAATTTATATGATAGCTTGAAACAAAATATTTTTCAATTTCTTCTCTTATTATTGATTTAAGATTCCATATTGACAAAGTTTTCAATTTTTTCTTTAATTGATTTAATGTTCCATATTGCCAAGGAAAAGATATGATTAAAGTTGCATTGACCATAACTATGATTGACATAATCTATTGTTTGTCTGCAGCTAATCACATGAAGGATATCCAGCAGATGAACATAATTCCACAGAGCTGGCTTGTCAAGATTCTAACAGAGCATTACCATGCAGTAAGTGTCTAGTGTTTCTAATTTTGTATTTGTTAATAAAAACATACAGGTCCAATTTTCCTCATGGGGTAAGAGCATTCCTCTTTAGACCAGTGAATTTTGAAAGATCTTATTGTGTGGTTGCAATTTAATTTTATCTGAATGCAAGGATTTTCAGATTTTCAGCATGTTTCAACTATACAAAGTACACTGATGTATCTCATCAAATTGAAAAGTAATTAGCCTATATTAAATATTTGAGATGAAGAAATTTTCAACCTCTTTTTAATTTATTTGGATAATAAAATTTTGGAAAAAAAAGTGTCAGCCAAATGTTTCTAAAATTATCACAATCTTATGAAAACTTTTGTCTCAATCAGATTGACTTTTTAGTTTGAAATTCAGAAACCTCAACAAATCTCAGAACACAAAGTTATTGTTTGCCACCTTCTACTTTCAGCTCCAAGGTGGAGGTGATATGTCACTTTTACAGAACTTCAACATGTCAGCTGTGCGTCATGGATTCATCGTTGACAAAGGTCCCCAGTACAACAGCCAAATTCTCTCTCTTCATGGTTTTCACTTTGAACTTAAGGCTGTTTACCACGATGGCTCCAAAGCAACATATTCTTTCTTTATGCAGGTACAACAAATTAAATCTCCATTGTATTCAGTATTCTTAAGCAATCACCCATTTTTAAAAAACAATGGGTATATGAAATTGGGTCAGTTTTGATAATACATGTACAGTAAAACCTGTCTTAGTGAAAACCTCTCTCTAGTGAAAAGCTGTGCTTAGTGAACACCACTTCAAGAAACATTTTGTTTTGACTCCTGTATAAAATCCCCTGTCCGTAGTGAACTTCTACCTACAGTGAACACTTTTTGTGGCTCCATAGGTGTTCACTATATACAGGTTTTACTGTAGTTTACGTTTATCTTAGGATTGTTTATATTTGGTTTTTATTTCAGCGTTTGAGGCCAACAGATCCTGCCCTATCATTCAGACAATGTGAAAGACATACATTTTCAATGCGACCTGATCGAGATGTACGCTATTGCATTCTGGTCCAAACCATGCATCAGGGGGAGCATGCGTCCCACAGCACGGGAGTTCAATGTCAGAGATTCGCTCTAGGCTCAAAAACGAGCAAAAGCAAGGTATAGTTATGCATAACTGATCATGATTGTTTCCATATGGGTTTCTTTGACCTGCTTTGAACCATTAATTTACTATACGTACAGGGTGTTCAAAAAAAGACGCAACCCAAAGAAATCGCTATATCTTGGAAAATACTAGTCCAATTGTGTTCATTTTTTCAGGAAGGAAAGAAGAGACTGTGTATGTATAGCTCATGTTGTTAGTTAGTTGTAAAACATGATGCCTTGGACAAATGCTCAAAAGACATTAGTATTGGAAAGATACGAAAAACGCAGTCAGAGACTACTGCCACAGCAATAAAACTTTCTAACCATAGTGTTTTAGCTATTCAAATTTGGCACAAATCATCTTCATTCAATATATGATAAATCTGTAGAGTGAAATCAAAATCACTCCAGGGACTTTACAGTTTTGGTCGAAATGCTTTCAAAACCCAGTCAAACACCCTGGTTCAGCCAGACTTAGGAAGGCATTTTGACCATGACTGTAAAGTCCCTGGAGTGATTTTTATGAAACTCCCCCAATTCACTACACATTATATGAAGATAGTTTGTGGTGAATCTGAAGTGCCAAAACACCATGGTTAGAAAGTTATTAGGGTTTATTGCTCTGGCAGTCACCTCTGGTTGCGTTTTTCGTATCTTTCCAATACTAATGTCTTTTGAGCATTTGTCCAAGGCATCATGTTTTACAACTAACTAACAGCAGGAGCTATACACACATAGTCTCTTCTTTCTTTCCTGAAAAAATGAACACAATTGGATAAGTATTTTCCAAGATATAGCGATTTCTTTGGGTTGCGTTTTTTTTGAACACCCTGTATATATAGCAAACATAAAAGTTAGCTCTATATCTAAATCTTTATTTCATGATTTGATATCTCAAAAAGCATGCATGTATGGATACGTGGCAAATTCATTTTAAATACAATACATGTTAATATAATTTTTCAGGTTTTAACAATAGAGAACCTGGTCCCACCGATTCATGTCTCATTTGCAATCCAGTTCCCTCCTTCCTAGTAATATAGAACAGTATTTAGGATAGTGCCAAATTTAGGAGCAATTTGCAATTAGGTTTGAAATACAACCACCACAGTACAGCATACACGTATGAACCCATCAAGCAGTATGACAATCAGATATGTCTGACCATCAGTTACATAATATGGAGCTAAAGTTTGTTTTCATCTCGTGTATGAATCGATATCAATCACATATCATTTATGGACACATTTTGCAGATCATGTATACATGTATGACAATCATATATATCTTAACACGAATTATATTATGGCCGGAGCTCAAGCAGGTCCTCATTGTGCAGTGTATGATATATCAAGATTTGTTTGCTCCGCACATGGAGCTTAGCACCATATAATTTGGAGTTCAATATGATCTGATATTAATAATAGTTGATGCAGTATTATAATACGTAGTTATTAAGTTCAACTAATACCATATAGAATGTATTACTTGTTGAACAGATTTTCCTTTTTTTATTTTGTTTGTTTTATATGTGACAAATATGTTGCCATATGTGTTGTCTGTTGTATATTTTATTAGTATAGTATTTCATTTTTAAATGTATAACTTTTAATTTGAATTTTAGTTTGCAATGTATCATAATTTGAAATTTGCAATTTACATGTTCATGTATATGATTTGATGTGTGTGAAATTAGGACTATCGGACAGTATTATTCAAACAAGGCATTAACATGCAAAATATAACCACTTCCCATTTGTTAAGTGACAGACGCCGACTGACGTTAAAAGAAAAGGAGACCATTACAATATGTCACAACTTTTGGTGGTGACTAGCATATTATTGTATGTACTGTCAAACAGAAATGACTTATCACCTAGCTAGTATGTTTTGAAATTGTTTACTACAATGTACAAGACAGAATATTATGGAAGTGTTTTTACCGAATTATTTATCTACAGTGTGTATTTGTGACACTTGTTTGTAAACTTTGCAACATACATGTAGTCATTTTATAGAAATAAAAAAGATAACCATGTATGGTTCAAAATTTCGATTATGTTTTCTTTTCATGTGATTTTTGTCTATCCTATGATATATCGTGAGGAAGTCTTTGGTATATATATATATAAATATATTTAGTAAGTCTTTATACATTTTTCACCAACCCTGGGCCTACATATAACATAAAGTGATACTGAACTACTAGATGCAATCATTGTAAACGTTTCTAGTTGTAATTCTATACGACGGTTCCAGAAGGAAAGTGACTGTGTATATTTTTTATACATTTCAGTCGCATTTTATTTTCCTTCAGATTCTACTGGTTTGTTTTCTTGGATTCTGAGATTTCATTCAGTAATCCATTAATTGGTGAAATCGACCTAGACGTGTCACCTGGATGTTGGTTTCTCATTGCGAACAAGATCTGAAAATAAATTATACGGATTCTATTAAAAATGATTATCAATAACAACAACGAATTCAGCGTCACATTTTCATCATATTTTAATTCTAAAAAGCAACATGATGTACTTACAGTACAGAGTATGGCGATTCCAGTGGAAATGGTACAAAGCAGAATAAAACCTCCAGCAACACCATAGTGTGCGGATGGGTCAGATCCAAGAGTAAGTGTGACAGGAACACCAATCAAGGCAGCAAGAACGGTCACATAAATACAGATTCCAAGATAGTGGTCCATCACATATCCCTTTCCATGGGCAGCCAGCCTGAAAGAACGATACGATATGATACCTATTGTATTATAATTGTATAGTCTAATGTATAACCCATTTGTAGATTTTCAAAATGACGCTAGACAGACAGTAACGTGTTCAATTGATGTCCTTTCCCGTTGGTACTTGTGCATACATAACTAAACATTAAACATGATTAAGAAATACGATGACGTTAAAACAATTTACAAAATGGGCAAAGTTTAGAAGACGTAACTTACCAGGCGGGCCATGTAATGAATGTAGCAACTAACAACACGATTGCTTTATACACAATCATCACAATTCTCCAACCATTCATTTTCTCGGAATCACAGACAGTAATTGCTATTTGAAAAATTGTATCTTGACTTTCGTCATACTGAAACACAATATGTAACAACAATAATAGACTCAAAAACATAGTCGGAATCGGAGAAACAAAACTATGGTGTAGAGTAACAAGGGACCGAAAGAAACTAAGCCGAAACAATGGTCTGAGGTAAAATAAACAGTTTTCAATGCAATATGACAGTTTGACACATCGAATAACATTTCCAATAAAACAATCTGATCATTTGTATCATCCTGAGGAGGTCATGACAATGGAAAGAACGTCTGATGAACTAGAGCACGTTTGTGTAATGATCCATCAGCAAAAAAAACCAGTACAGAGGCAAGATATGATATATTCAATTTCAAATTCAAACTTTCTATGAACATAATGCTTCAAGGTAGTATGGAAATAAGGACATGATTGTATATTTGCCCCACGTTCACATTCTCTATACCAACCTCTTTCTGGAGGAATTCTGTCTTGATCGTCAGCGGATCAACCACTTGCCATAATATTAATAGTATCATATCTAACAGAAGGCAAGGCACTAATATCGCACAGTATTTCAACTCTTGTTGTTCCTAAAAAATGAAAAAAATGAAATACGACTGAGACATGACTAGACATCTGATTATGTTAGAGAAAGATACTTCATTGAAAACTTTATGTACTCACTGATTTTGTAACATTTTCCTTAGTGTAGAAATGATAAGTGGCAATTGAATTGACTAACATTCCTCCAAGAGCTAATGTATAGCCAAATACAAACATCCAGGATGCAGTCTGAAATACAAGCAAATATCGTGTAGAAATAATATAGCACACGAGAAACAAACCCTATACTAAGCAGCCAGATTCAAAAATATTGTTCCCTGAAAATATTTTATTCTTTTCACGATCATCTCTAATTTCACTACAATTTATAATGTTTATATTCTATAATATAGGATTATTAAACGATATATTACTTGGCAAGCACCCTGGTATACACTCGAGCTAGAATCAGAATCATCTACACCCATGAGGATAACTGCTATGTTAAGGACAATACAACCAAAACACACAATTACTCTAATGATCGGCCAATCGTGCACGATGCCACTGCAAAGGATGAATGGTCTAAGGATTTAAGCCCTCCAGGACTCGGTGTATTGTGGACTGAATCATTTCTTTGAATGAAGGTGTTGTTTTCAAATCCTTGCATGAGCGCGCAGCGGGAATGAAACAATGCATCAAGTTGTGAGCTTAAATTTTTTTCACACATTGCAAGATATTTTCCACGAAATCACCTCAAAGTTCATTAAATGAAGGGTCAAGTTGGCAAAGCATCAATTTCAAACTGTATAGTTAAGTTGTCACCCTGACCATTGCCAGCCATTCAATGAATGACTTCGGGTGTGGTGATTTGTTATATAATGCACTGCAGTTATTTGAAATACTGTGTTCTGATTTGCCTGAATCGAATACACCTTGTCCAGCTATGTGTGAGTTATATAGTTATCACTGTTCACTCGGATTGATGAGAAGACCATGTGCCGCACACATGCCTTTGAATTTGAGCATTATCTACGGAAAATATATACAGGCAAAATTGTTGTTAAAACTGATCATGATGAATTTCTCTGATCCGACTTTATCCAAAAAGGTCAGTTAGCTATTTTCTATATTTTATATTTGTCCTTTGAACCTCGGGCTATGAATACTATGACTGAACTCTTTATTGACGGTTTATCCTTATTGCTTACCCGTGACTTCTGTAAATCAACATCAGAATCAGATCAACCAGGCATATTACAATTCCAACAACGGAAATGGTTACGTATATCCCAAACAACACTCTAGACACTCGTAAATATGTGTACTCTAGCCTAGGTTCAGAGCTTGGTATGGTATTACCAAATGGTTCCCACATATACTCGGGACTCTTTAAAAGATCAAGAATTTGTGTTGTTCCGTCAAATATACCAACTGTAACATGTGTTCCATCTGTAAATCACAGCAAATTTATAATGCTCAATTTGTTTGATTACTACCGTATATGCAGATATGATTATAAATAAATTATGTGAAGAGCTTTTAGTTAGAGGCGTCTAATAAGTTACAGTCATTTTAACTAATTAAGTTCTCTTTTCGCGGGATATATTTGGTGGGCATAAAATATGGGCCCTACTTTGACACTCGATCTCCGAAACCCTCTCACGCCCTCTTCTTCAAAAGTGTACACCCAAATACCATTATGTCCCAAATATATAGACCGAGTTTAATTTCATCCTAAAATGTCCATTTATGGGACCAAAATCAAAAAAGTGATTTAAAAAGGCACATTCCGGGCCAGAGATTTCAAAAGTATGTCCTTCCTTGTTTCGCTTGAAGAGGAAAATATATAAAAGCAAAGGGAACTGCGTGCATCGTTGATATACCATCTCCACACTAGTTTTTGGGATTTTCACCCAAATATAAATGTGCCGTAAAGATTGGAACGCATTGGTTTTCAATTTATACCACGCAGTTTCGAATATGCATTCCTTGGAACCGCGCGGTTCCAATTTATTCTCTTCATCAGCGGCGACCCGTACCCCAAAGCCAAATGTAATAATGTATTGTATTTTATTCTTGTATTAAATAAATAAACTATGTCTACCAACGTTCGTCTTCTTTGATATAAATCCGACTTTGTCCTAAAAGGTCTACGATCAGTTAGCTATTTTCTATATTTTATATTTGAATCTCGGGCTATGAATACTAATAATCTTTAGACATTCAAATGACAAATGATGTTGTTAATATACTGATCAATTTTCAAGGTCATGGCTTAAGTTGTCTGTGAACATAAAATAATTAGATCGAGTTGATATTCGTGGATTTTGGTAATCTAGCTAGATTCATGGAAAACCTACTTCTGACTTGTCGTAAAACTACTTTTTCCAATCTTGATCCTTCTTCAGAAAATCCAACTGGCCCCTATAATGATAAAGGTTCTGGTTTTTTAATACTTTTCATGACAATAACAACGAAAGAATTCAGAATCGGAATATTAATTTACTAATTTGCTTAAACGTACCGTTGCACCGGTAAATGACAGGGTTTTCATTTCCTCTAGAAATATGTCTGTATAATTTTTGTACTTGTATGTAAACTCCTCTAATGTGTGTGGTGCTATCCTCTTGATGGAGTTGTTCATGGTGAGCGCCATACTCCATATTACGTCATATCCATACAGACGACTTGCATCCTCTTTTATGACGCCTATTTCAGACAACGTTTTGACACTCTGTTGTAAAGAAGACCCGATTATATACTATGATATTATACTAGTATTGTTATATACTAGTATTGTTATAGATGGACAAAGCTGATTCAAGTATTTGCAAAATAGAGTTTACGCACATATATAGTAATAAGTGACTTAAATTCGTGGTTTTTGGCCAAAGCTGTCAAATATATTACAAATAAAGGACAAGCACATACCAAACTAGCTAGGCAGTATTTGAACGTGCAAACAACGAAGAATACGATGTTTACAATATTGGTCGGCAAATGAGATCAGTCAAAGATCATAAAATGGGTGTTTTGACCACGTTACTTTTATACAGACTTCATCATTTATAGAATCTCTTATGCTGTTTCGAGGTGCTCTGCTACTTACCTTTCCACCTATAGTTATTGTGTCAGGGAACTGTTCCAGATATGAAATGGGACTCGTCGCGAACATCCCTTCCACGGAAGTCAATATCTCATCCCACGTGCAGTTGACACTACTATACAATTCAAAGTAATCCTTGACACTTTGAGACTTGAAATCAAATAATATATAAAATTAAAAACATAAGATATATTATACTTATGAACAAACAAATGGGAGTAGTATGCCAAATGCTCATGAGTTAAAACATAAACTTACATGATGTCTGTTATCTATCCACACATATCCTGGAGCAATCATGTTTTGCATATATGCCTATGGGTTTAATAAATATATAGAATTACCCTCTGGTCCAAAAAGTCTATGCGTCGTCATAAAATGCTCATAACTGTTGAGAATGGAAACCATACAATTTCATACTTTCAGAGGTTGGTGCCCTATATGTACGAAAGATGTGTCTAAGATTTGGATAAAATATGTGGACTATTGAAAACATTAGAGATCGGCTCTCATAGTGACCCCACAAATCACTGCTTCAACTTTTTGGAACTCTTCCTCATTTTTGCTTATTCAATGGATTGAGTTATTAAAAGCCAGAAGTCTTTTAATATCTCCAAAATGAACTACCAGAGCTTCCATAACGATAGCTATACTATTCAACTGCAGCTGGCAACTTCCAACCGTAACTTGCAACATTAAACCTCCAATTTTTTTATTCTTTAGACATGAAGTTGTGCAATGCCAACAGTCCAATATATAAGCTTGGTCTGAGAGTTTACATGTAGAAATAGGTTGAATGACGTTATACAGATAGTGTAAAACAGAAATGTCTTTTAGCATTTTCAGTGACAATAAAAAAGTAAAGTGGTATTAAATATGAAGATATACGTAAGGTGCCCAAGCCTCCAGTCTCTGATCTAGCTACTTAAGGTGTATGGAATTAGTAGGGATACTAGTATGCCAGCGATTCTTGATGCCAAAGCTACATCTGGCAATGCAATGGAATGCTAAGATGTAAGGGATGTGGACGTCCTAAGTTGATACCGAGTGGTTCTCAACTTGAAAAGACTGAAAGATTGAAACAATAAGGGCGAAAAGACTTTTACTTGTTAATTACTTGTGACAATAATTTGGATTGGCAAGTTTTTAATTGATGTATGATGAAGTGCATGATATGAGAAAATGATCCATTGAATTAGCAAAAATGAGGAAAAATTCCAAGAGAGTCGCAGCAGTGATATATGTGGTCAATATGATTACTGATTTATAGTTTTTTCAATGTTCGATAGCTACATTTTATCCAAATTTTACACACATATTTGGTACATATAGGGCGTCAAACCCTGAGAGTATGAAATTGTATGGTTTCCATTATTAGATTTTTTGGACCATAGGGTATATGTTATTTACATATTCAATAAGAGTTTCAAGGGGCTATATACTATATTAGTACTAAGTACTCTATTTAATAAGATCAAGGTCAGGGAAAGGCCTTGGGGTTAAGATGTAAATAACGAGATCCTCATAAAAAGTCCATTTCGGATTATCTTTAGACAAACGTTCAGCATGACACCAGACAAGAGGGAAACATTTTGAGAATAGGTATGAGCACCAGTAGCTTCTAGGCCACCTTAACGTGGTTATACAATTTGCAAATTGTTTTCACGTTTCTTCCCCCTCTCACATTTGTCTTATCCTTACCTCACAATACAGTTTGTAAAACATGATGGGATAGACTTGGAACACAATAATATGCACACCAGACTCCTAAAAAGAAAGATACACTTTACTTGTTCTTATAATTGTATTTTTATAGCATAGAGATAAAAATATGATATATGTTATCGTAATATCTACCTTAATAGCTGTAAGTATTTCACTTGGATCATCCTCGTCCTCCACTATGTATAAGTTAGACACAGTCACATTGCTTCTTATCAGCGTATCTTCCAAATGCTTCGCCAGCTAAAATTATTAATCAATTAAAATATACAGTGAAATTTGTATATCCAAACACCTAATCTACACACTAATCTAAACAAACATTTTTTCCCGGTCCCATTTTTCCTACCATCGACTCCCATATTAAAAAGCCTTGAAATCTGAGCACTTCCTTTTTGTTATGATATCATAACTAACCATCAACATTCATTGAGAATGCATTTATATATTTTTTTAAATCCAGAATCTTGGGAATGCAAAAACCTCGAAATCGGAACACCTCCTAATAACGATTTTAGCCGATTTTCCAATGGCACTAGATAAGACATGTTTTACTATTTATGTACCATAGTAGCTCAGGCCATCTCAATAGAATTGAGTCCATGACCTTTGAAGGGGTATAACTTCTTGTGTTTGATGATTGGTCAGTTAATGTATTGCAACAGGATTGTAACTGTGCCAGCATGACATGACACATTTGATAATATGTCGGATAAAGAAAAATATAACTTTTTGATGACTTCTGATGATTTTGAAATTGTTAACGAATTGATACATTTTATAAGTAAACTTTTTAATCAGCGTCGGGAGCTATTTGAAAAAGGAAAGATTGTATGATGGTATTTGTGAAACAATGCATGTTTTTTTTTTGTTTTTTTTTTAACTGTATAATTATATGTAAATGTCTTGTAATTGATTTTGTGAGGAAACCAAGTGTTTGGTTTGAAACACAATAAAATCTTGAATCTTAAAAAACCCTATAGCCCTTCTACATTCTTTAAATATTTACTTTCAACTGAACATTAAAATTCACGAAATATGCCACAGCTTTGAACAAATATGAAGCAAAATGATGAATTGTGCATTTGCGTCAGTCATACTATGAACGCCCAAAATATCAATATCAGCTGTTCCTGAAATATTTTTTGGATGTCAGAATTTTACTCTATTTTCAAATATCAAATCAGATTTTGTTAATACTGAAAATTAAAAAAGTTATTTAAGAAAAAGTGACCCTTGAACAATTCTGTCTGGGCTACTATAATCAATATTATATTAACTATACTGTACCATGCATGGTGTCAAATGGCGTTGTGCACACAAAACTAGGAATCATGATACTTAATGATATTTAATTTCCATGCTGGAAATGTTCTGTACAATAAAACTTGAAAAGCTCAGTAGAAATTGTTGCAAATATGGAGGAATAAATATTGCCAGGGGACTTACATCATCAAATCCCAGCTCAGAGATTATCATGACCTTGTTCCATTCATTCTCCATGACAAAGTGGGCAACTAGATCGTTGAGACGAGTACCATCCAAAATTAATTTAATGAAATATGGATATCTACAAAAAGGTTAAAACGTAATATAAGCGAGCCATTGACAGGACAAAACATCATCTCTTAGTTATTGCCCCCAAAAGTGTAAAAATCTTACTGATGCCGAACTCCAACAACAAACGCCGAATTCAAAATATAGTGGGCTGTATAGCAAGGTTGGTCGGGGTCGGGAGCTGGGGATAATTTTATTGCTTAAATATAACCATATCATCATCCTACATTAGAATCCACTCAGTCTAACATCAATTTCTGGTGCGAAAGTTGTCATTTTTGAGTGTTACCCCCCTTGACAACAAATTCTTGGGGGTACTATGACAAATGCTTATATCTAAAAAAGTATTTATTTGATCATCTTCATTTTTGGCATGGGTAATGGACGGTATGTAAAAGTAAAATTTGAAAAATTCATACAAATCGGGTGATTAATCCATTCTAAAGATAATAATTCAGGTATTTTCAAGGGTCAATTTCAACATTTTCTGAATGTCGCCATGAAGTAAAAATGACATTATGACCCAATGGCATATTTATTGAATGTTTTTAGGCTTTAGAAAATAATTTGACTATATAAGCAAAAATAATAACATGAGAATTGTACCATATTGATAATTCTTCATCGCCATCCAGGCACAAATAAACTCCCCCTCCCCCATTTTCGAATATAAAGGTCTATACCTGAAACTTCCTCAAATACCTATATTTCAGAAACTATTACAGCCTACATTCCAAAATTTCTCATGGTGATTATACACATCATACTCTACATAATAGATATATAATTGAGATTTATCCATTCTATATCTAATAATGAAGGTATTTTCAAGGTTCAATTTCAACATTTTCGGAATGTCGCCATGAAGTAAAAATTACATGACCCAATGACATATTTATTAAATGTTTTTAGGCTTTAGAAAATAATTTGACTATATAAGCTAAGATAATAACATAAGAATTGTACAATATTGATAATTCTTCATCGCCATCCAGGGATAAATACCCCCCCCCCCCATTTGCGAAAAGAAAGGTTTTTACCTGAAACTTCCTCAAATACCTATATTTCAGAAACTATTACCTCCATTCCAAAATTTCTCATGTTGATTATACACATCAAAATCTGCATATTATACAGGGTGTCCCGAAAGTATGCCCCCCCCCCCCTAGGCAGACATATTCCAGAGTCCTCATAGTATGTGTCATATATCATTTTAAAGCGTATCCAAAGTTACATTGATTCGCCAAGTATCATGGTTAAACTCCCAAATGGGAAAAAGTTACAGTCATTTTAAAAGCTAGTGTTTTATCAAAATAAAGTTCAATTTTACACCACATTTCGAGTCAATGAGTCCCCCCATTGGACATGTTAACAGCCGCAATTATTTTCAAATATGACCTTAAAACCCCTTCAAATAGGGGTGTGGAATTTTATAACCCTCTTAAAACCTGTTAAGGCACTTTAGAAGAGGTTCCTTGGAGTTTCTACCCTCACCGTTCTCTTTTTCCAACTCAATATCTATCCGACCCAAAAAGAATTGCTGCTGTTAAGATGGCCCGGGGGGACAAATTGACTAGTGATTTGGTGTAAAATTGAACTTAATTTTGACCAAACACTAAATTTTGAAATGCCTGTAACTTTTTCACATTTGAGAGTTCAACCATGATACTTGGCGAATCAATGTAACTTTGGATAAGCGTTAAAATGATATACGACACATACTATGATGACACTGGTATATGTCTGCCTAGGGGGGGGGGGGCATACTTTCGGGACACCCTGTACATATAATTGAAGTCTTAACACTTTTTTGAGGGTGTAGCTAAGAATAATAGTATATTTATTAGACATCTTAGAAATCAAAATATATGTTTTAGAAGGTAGTCACAACACTACAAGAGAGATATTTTGGATTGTCATCATTTTTAAAAATATTACAAAAACATATTTATATTATGCAATAATCTCCTATTTTCATTTGACATCATTGAAATATATTATCCAGCTAGTTTTAATGATTTCAGTATATGCATTTAATCCTGAGATGCACTTAGGTTTGATATCCATAAAGTAATCGTTTCTTTTTTGTTTGTAATTTAGTTTCTAAGCATAAAACTATAAGCATTAAATCTGTATGCTTTAGGATATACGTAATCAATAGCGATGACTAAACATTCAATTGACAACATTCAATCAATATGCTTGACAACATTCAATAATGATTAATATGTTCGACCAATATGTTTTTGAATAACTTCACCAATACACTTTGCTTGAGTATTCAATTCAACATTTGCTTCAAGCAGTTGAACATTGTAAGTTATCAACATCACCTGAACATATTTCATCTATGAAATTGTTGACTTCATTATCTGTCATATCATTATCAATTTTGTCATCTGATTCTTTGTTATAAATGTCTACCAATTCTTGTGGAAGAATGGCATTTGGATTTTCAGCCCATTGTATATCAAGTTCGCCATTTTCTAGGATCCATCCATTTTCTGCTGGAGAAGGTATATCCATTTGGGCTTTGTGAGACTGCTTCCATATGTAAGCTTGGTAGTTACATCTTTTACAATGTTGAACAAGGGATGACCTGCATGGAGGAAGGAGGCTGATGTCTATCCCATCATAGTTGTTGATAGAGGCTTGAGGTTGAAATCTGTTTGCAAAATTTATGTATCGTACATGATTGATGTCTGTTTTTTTTCTTTTCCCCGTACTTGATGCACCCAAGTCTTTCGAGTTCTTGAAGATGCCTTGGTCAAGAACTATAGATTTTCCAAGTTCTTGAAAGATTGCATGCATGTCCTCCCTCTTGATCAGCTGTTTCAGAGGGTTTATTTTTCCCTTTCTCATGAAGGCACTGGTGGTATCACACCCTGTAAAACAGTGGATACCGATCAGGGTGGCTGTGATTGGACCACCCAAACCTGCTACATCTGTCTTGACATCAATGAGGCGTCTCTTGTTTGAAACTCCAGTGTCAAACAGTACTTTGAGAAGTAGGTGTTTGATGTAATGTAGCAGGAGTATGGGTACATCTGTGTCTGGAGATCTGACAAGTATGGTCTTGGCCTCAGCCCCCACCTGCCTTGATGCATATAAAGCATGGAGAATGATTTTTTTGTCAGCTTCATCATGGCTGCACCTTAGGTCTAGGACTTCCTCACTAACAACATGTGACCCATCACTTGTGATTAAGAAGCACTTCTGACAGACAAAGTAAATTGGCGTGTTCTGAATTTTTTGCATATTTGTCCTTCCATTCTGCGAGGATAAGTTGGAAAAGCTGAATTTTGTTTCTGCTATTTGAAAGGAAGTCTTTCCAATTTTTTTAAATGGATATACTGAAATCATTTAAACTAGATGGATAATATATTTCAACTATGTCAAATGAAAATAGGTGATTATTGCATGATATAAATATGTTTTTGTAATATTCTCAAAAATGATGACAATCCAAAATATCTCTCTTGTAGTGTTGTGACAACCTTCTAAAACATATATTTTGATTTCTAGGATGTCTAATAAATATACAATTATTCTTAGCTACACCCTCAAAAAAGTGTTAAGACTTCAATTATATGTATAATATGCAGCTTTTGATGTGTATAATCAACATGAGAAATTTTGGAATGGAGGCTGTAATGGTTTCTGAAATATAGCTATTTGAGAAAGTTTCAGGTAAAAACCTTTCTTTTCGCAAATGGGGGGGGGGGATTAATCCCTGGATGGTGATGAAGAATTATCAATATTGTACAATTCTTATGTTATTATCTTAGCTTATATAGTCAAATTAATTTCTAAAGCCTAAAAACATTTAATAAATATGTCATTGGGTCATGTAACTTTTACTTCATGGCGACATTCCGAAAATGCTGAAATTGAACCGTGAAAATACCTTAATTATTAGATATAGAATGGATAAATCTCAATTATATGTCTACTATGCAGAGTATGATGTGTATACTCACCATGAGAAATTTTGGAATGTAGGATGTAATAGTTTCTGAAATATAGCTATTTGAGGAAGTTTCAGGTATAGACCTTTATATTCGAAAATGGGGGAGGGGGGAGTTTATTTGTGCCTGGATGGCGATGAAGAATTATCAATATGGTACAATTCTCATGTTATTATTTTTGCTTATATAGTCAAATTATTTTCTGAAGCCTAAAAACATTCAATAAATATGTCATTGGGTCATAATGTCATTTTTACTTCATGGCGACATTCAGAAAATGTTGAAATTGACCCTTGAAAATACCTGAATTTTTATCTTTAGAATGGAGTAATCACCCGATTTGTATGAATTTTTCAAATTTTACTTTTACATACCTGTTCATTACCCATGCCAAAAATGAAGATAATCAAATAAATACTTTTTTAGTTATAAGCATTTGTCATAGTACCCCCAAGAATTTGTCGTCAAGGGGGGTAAAACTCAAAAATGACAACTTTCGCACCAGAAATTGATGTTAGACTGAGTGGATTCTAATGTAGGATGATGATATGGTTATATTTAAGCAATAAAATTATCCCCAGCTCCCGACCCCGACCAACCTTGCTATACAGCCCACTAATAGGAGTGTCCTCACATCCAGGTGGTGACATGAAGGCCATAAGTGATAGCCTATACGAGGGTTATATGTTATGGAGGGCTTTTGGATATCGGCCATATCCTGAGGAAAATATATAAAGATACCTTACAGAGGGATATACCTCACTCATATCCAAAACCGACTATCGCATAATCAACCTCAGATGGAAAGCAACTTAAGATACATGTTAAATTGACAGTTTAAATTATAATTTCTCAAACCACAGCCAATCAAATCATCGCATCCATTCAGATCCTTCATAAACTTCACGTTTGGGCAAGGGCGTTACAATACCCGGGAATTTATCGGTTCGTCCAGTACTTGTTTGTGATAGAGCCCTC